TTTTTCAAAATATACATTCATCAGGCTTCAATTCTAGGCTTTGAATTTGGTCTGTCATCATTAAAATAACGGTCCTAGTTAGAACAACATTTGATTTTTATAATTGTGCATTTTTCTCTTTCAGCATAAGGAAATAGTTTGCAGGTTGTAATAGTGTATTATGGAAAGAAAAACTGATTGAAAACTGCTTGGAAAAACAAGCGGAGAAAAAAAATATATAATAATTTATATATATATATATATATATATATATATATATATATATATATATATATAGGCTAAAAGTTATTGAGTTTACGTTAAAACACATTTAAATGCATACAACCAACAAACTTCCTGATCTCCTACTTTTACACCCCCGTCTCATCCCCAATTTATCAATAAATAGTTTTCAGTCACAATTGATGCAGAAAGGCTGTAATCAGCTTTTCAAAAAAAAAACTTATCAGTTTCAAGTTTATTTTTATCAAATCATCACATGGTTTCGTTTGTGTATATATGACTGAAGATTTTAGTCATTCTAATGAAAGTCATGTTTGAGCCTGATTAAGACCAGATTGTCTATTTGTTCCAGAACAGGAACTCACACCACAAAGTACATAGAAACGATTTGAATCATTGAGAAAAGCAGATCTATGTCTCTTCTAGTGTTTTTCTGGGTCCAGAGTGTATATACTGTATTGGGAACCTTTCTACTATGAACCATCAGTCAGCTGATCATCTCATGCTGCTCTATTTACCAAGGGTGGAGTTGTTAGCTCTGCCAGTTTCAAACATCCTGGTCCCAAGAATACCAGCCTACCTACAGTCTATACACTCACACACAAACCCAGAGGGTAAACATCTGTTAAACAGATGTCACTTGATAGACTTTGTTGTTACTGGAGCTCTTAAGGAGCCACCATGTTTTATTTGTTTGTGAGCAATCATCATGAAGAGAAACTCTGGCAACATTTTAATGATGGTTTTCCCATCAGCTTTAAGATGAACAAAAGCAAAGGTTAAAATAAGTCTGTGAAATGCAAAGGTACTGGAATGTCAGGATTTAAAGAGTTGTCAATCACATGTTGCTTCAGTTTCATGTCTCATCATCATCATTGTCTGAACAAACACTTCAGCCAATCAGCTGCTCCGTCCATTTTTTCTCCATCTTACTTTGTGTGGAACTGCAGCGGTGCTAAAAATCTTCTAATAATCTGTCCTGATTGTAACAATGGATCCAAAACAAAGGTAGGAGGGAATTTTTTTAAATTATTTATTCTTTTATGAAAGCCCTTAGTGCCCCGAGTTTTGCAGTAATCTGTGCAAGATTTCATAGGTGTTTCATAGGTATTTTTTTGTTATGACCAAATATTTTTACTGTAACGTTTTAAATATGTTTTTGTTATTCTCTAAAGTTGCTTATATTTCCAAATCAATGTCTTGAATTCAAACAGAATAACATTTCCAAAATTGGCTGAGAGTGGAAGTATTTATTGCCTTGTAATAAATCATGAAATCCTGTGTTTGAACATTTTAAAGGAAAACACATTCCTAGAGTCGTTTTCAAGTATATCTTGACATTTTTTTGCTTATTACTCTTTTTACATAATCATTTTTCTATAAATTTAATCAATTTGAAATTGTGCTGTCTGGGGAGAAAGGGCAACTTTTGGCCCTTTTGAAAAATGTCCTTACCATTTATATGGCATTTCAACCGACCTATTGGGAAAATATTTAAAACGTTCCTGTGAAACAGGACAGTTATTTTTTTATGGAATGTACTATTTTGTAATAAACAATTGTACCCTGGTCCTTCATGATAACATATTGTTTAATTTATTTCCATTAATATCTTTATTACAACAGAATCTGTGGTAAATATTTAACATTTTGAAATAATGCAGTTCCAACAAAGATGAGAAATATAGAATAAAGCATTGTAAAAAAAAAAAAAAAAGTGTAGCTCCATTTCTACATCAGAACAGATGACATTTAACCATCTAGTGCTTGTTTAGAGGCCTGAATGGTCGATACAGTGATGGACAATGTAAACAACCTCCTAGGAAAAGAGATTTATAGATGTTAAAGATAGCATACATAGATTAGTGAAATCAAAATATGAATATACACACTTTAGTTTATTTTGAAGAGTATAGTAGAGTAGATTTTCAAAACTGAATAATAAAACCATCAAATAAATGAGGATAAAACATGAATTAGGTCAAGCAAAACTTCAAAAATGTAAAAATAGTAAAGTTAAGCCCAGTATAATCATACCCCTGGCAGATTGAGTTGTTAAATGTTTGTCAGAAGTGATCAACCTAGAGTCCAGACTTTAATCTGAGAAAATCTGCGGGGGAAGCTACAGTTTAGGGTGATCGCCCCGAGTCCTACCGGCGGTGGCATGAAAAAAGCAGCTCTTCAGTTTTAAGAAAGGTTTTGGGTTCTGTAATTGAACAATAACAACACAAAAATGTATTAATTCTAATCAAACTTGTCATTTGAATAAAAATAAGTTTACATTTTCTTCTCCATGTTTATGCAAGTGATAAAATTATGAAATGTGATTAATGGGATATTTTACGCAAATTCTAGCTATGTAGAATAGCTAAAGTGAAACCAAACTAAACAATGGAAACTAAAAAGATATTTTAAAGTAAAAAAAAAAAAAGTTTATACATTTCTAATAAGAAATTGAAAAATTGCAAAACAAGTCTATAGTGTTTAAGTAAGAGATTAAGTTTTAAGAGAAACATAAAAGCCTACATCCTAAGTAGTTTTATTAGAGAAGTAAATTAAAAATGGAAATGTATGTAACCTCCACCACCAAAGGTGTGATAGGATACCTCAATAGTCATCAGCAAGGTTTTACATGCTTATCCTGTGTGGTAGGTTAATTTAATTGAGTAGGGGAAATGTCCTCTCTGTCCTCCATCAGTGTAAGCCTATAGCAGCTTAACTACAGAGATAGGATAACCCAAGTCACTCTGACTATAAGCTTTAATAAATGATTTCAGCCTTGTATTAAATCTAAAAGATCTGCCTCCCATTGAACTTTTAGAACCCCTACGGACCACTAGTAAAGCCACTGTCTTGAAGCGAAGATCTCTGTGTTGAACAAAAGGAGGAATCATATATTACACGTATGATGAAGCCTGATTATTTAGGGCTATGTATATAAGAATGAGGATTGCAAGTCTAGTCTAGATTTATCAGGAAGCCAATAGAGGGAATCTAAAGTATAAAATAAGATTTATCTATTTAACTTTCATCAGAACTCTGGCTGAAAGCTTTTAGCAACAATTTGTGGACTACCTGATAGTAAATAGGCACAATAGTCCGGCCTTGTAGAAACAATTTCATGTAAAAAGTTTTAAAGCGTTACTCAACAGAGTTGTGGGATCAAAACACATATCTTGTTAAAAATTTAAAGCCATTATTATCATTTTTTTACTCCAGGAGGAGTGAAGTCTGCTTGATTTTCTTTAATGGAAAATTTCAAACCGATCTGACTGTATGACTCAATTGAATTGTCTCCTTAAAGTGCCTTAAAGTGTTTGTGAATTTGTCTTATATAAAGGTCAAATTTAATTGAATTACTTTATTACCAGAGGCCAATCTAATGCCATCCAGATGAAGCTTGGCTAGAGAGCCTCTTTTTTTTAAAGACCATAGCCTCTGTCCTAGTTTATCTAATTAGTTAGAATCTAACTAATTAAATCTAGTTATATTATAATTAAATCTAACTGTTAGATTAATCAGTATTTGTGGACAAACACAGCTGAGTATCATCATCATACCAGTGGAAATGTATCCCTTGGTGCCTGATGATTTTAACTGTTGGAACAAGGATAACTTGTGGTCTGAAGTCTGAAGATCTATGATTAACATTAAGAAACTGGAATCTGTTGGATAAATACTAGAACAGGTACCGGGACAGGTACGGATACAAGTCTATTATCTGAAGGTATGAAAATATCATATATTCCTCTAGCCTTAGTCTCTTACTTGATCAGAAAGTGATTTAACCTGACGCTTTATAGTATCCCTGCAAGGAGAAAGGTTTTACTCTCTATAAAAAGAAGGTCAGATTCATGTTTTTAAAAGAAGAATGCAGACAAACACTGAGACTTCTGGCATAATGCTCTTTGGACAGATGAGTCTAAAACTAAATAACTTGGACACCATATGAGATGTTTAGAGTATGGTAAACCAGACATTCTAGGAATAAAACAGAAACAACAACAAAAATAGAGGTGGAAGTGTGGTGGTTTGTGGATGATTACCTGCAGCAGATTTGTCCACCTCTCCATCATAGGCGGCTGGTGTAAGGAATGTGACCATCTAGAAAAAAAAAGCCCACAGAAACGGACCCTGCAGCATAACATTGATTCAACACATAAAGTGAATTGAAACTGACCTTATGTGTAAGAAATCTCTCAAACACATTTACTCTAGAAGTGAGAAGACGGACAAACTTTTTCTCAGACTAATGTCCGAGGGTTGGAAAAAATGTTTTTTTTTTAAAGGGCGTGGCACTGACTATTAGGGGGGAGGGGTGTGTTAACTTTCACCTCAGCTGGAAAATATAATAATCCTAAAATCACATGTTCAACGAGCAAAAAACGCTCATTAGTTGGTTTTGACGTGTAATTAAACTACTTTTCTCTGCAAAGAGTAAAAACTAGATTAATCATTGATATGCTAACATTTGCTTGCATATCATAAGAAACAGAATATTTCCTCAAGTTTAACAGGGTGGTAACTAGATTCATAGTCAAACAGCTTTAACACATTAAATACAAAAAAAATGTTTGCACAGTGTTATACTTTCCCGTGTAAGAGATTAACAAGAGAAAGGGCAGGTCCCCACTTAGCAACCAACAACTAACACAGCAGCATGCGTGAGATCCTGATCAACTGAAACCACAGCTGGTTAAACAGAAACATATTTTCCTAATGTAAAGCCAAAAGGGGGAAGAGCCGATATATTTAAGGCTTGATAGAGATCCATTTTATTTTTGCATAGGAAGCAACAAGCAGAAGTTGTTAAGTCGTGCAGAAAGTCTGAGAGCCAGCCATGCTTCCAGGGAAAGATGTCAAAGAAGGAAATTGACAGCAGATAGAATATTATGTGTCCCTTCTGATCTGACTGGGCAGATCTTAGGAAAAGTACAGCTAAAGTCAAGTCGGATTACATGTGAAGTGAAATCTTTATTGTGGGAACATAAGACTTTTGCAGAAATCAGCTAAATGGATCTATTGGACAGTCCTGCATCTCAGCAGAGGTGAGACATTGGAGTTTAAATTTGTTTTTCTATTTAACTGACTGCTCTAACTTCTAAGCCTGTCAGTTTACACCTTTAAGTTCGGAAATGGAAACAGTTTTGCTGGGTTAAAGCAAGCAGAAAGGAGTCTTTCCAGAATTTATTTATTTTCCTCAGACCAAACGTGCTTGTAAAGATGCAGGAATATGTTGTTATGATGAATAATCTTCTTTCAATTTTAACAAAAAGAATTCCCAAAAACTATTTGAATTCTCTTTCGCAGCTAAATTGATCAGATTTAAATTTTTCCGTATCACTGTTAATGTTTAGAATTGTTATTATTTTGTGCTTCACATGTAGAATAACTTGTTTTAGATGCACAATAACTATTTTACTGGACAATAATAGAAAACCTCAAACAAATGTAAATACAGTAAATCAAGCTTTTTTTATAAATATATTTTAATTTTGAAGCAATATGCAAATGTCTATTTTTACTGCCTTCAAATGACAATAATTAATTAAACATAAATAATAGACTAGAGAAATTTTTGTTTATAATTATTTTAGATTTTTCCTTCACTCTGAACTATTGCTAGCTCAGCTGTAAAATATTGCGGGGAGTAAAGATTAAGACCAAATTCACTGTTTTTTTTTTTTTTTTACAGAAAGGGGAAGAAGAAGCTGTTTGGCCTCAAAGTGAAGAAGAAAAAGAAGAAAGACAGCGAAGACCTCGTCCTGGCAAATAAAGGCGCTGTGGGTAAGGCCTGGAAAACAAACAAACACATCACTGAGACTCAGCTGTGATCATAAGCAGATGAAACATCCCTGTCATCACCGGGAGGGAGACTAATGCTGCTCAAATAAGTTCAGAATCGGACTGAGACAACATGCAGTCCTGCTCCAACAAAATGGTCCTCCTCCTGATGTGGCTCTCAAATTCAGGTTTCCAAAGTTTCTGCCCTTCACCTACACCTGAAGGCTAAAGGACACTTGTTCAAGAGCAACAATAACCCCATTTACACTACCTTTTCGAAACCGTGCTGAGATCGGTCCAAGCACGGTAACCGAGACAACTGTTGAGTGTAAATGGTACGCACAACTGAACCAGACACAACCAAAACCTCGCTAACATGGTACTAGTTCATCAGTGTGATGAACCTTAACGTCTGTCATTGTTTCCTGCGTCTGTAAGCCCTGATCAGATTTATATCCACTTCCCAAAAGCCGACTCTGTCAAGTAAATTCACCAAAGGCTGCCTTCTTGACTCTTCGTAAACTTCCTGAATGTAACGGGCACCGCCATGTTGATTTTGTTCGTTTACCTCTAGAGAGCAGTGGATCATCAGTAGGAGGCGAGGAAACATGCTAGCGTGGTGTTTAAATGGTCGTAAGGAACCGAGCTCGGCATGGTTAACTGATCCAAGGTCGGCACTGAATGGTTTTCAGAGGGTAGTGTAAATGGGACTTAAGGTAAGTCCATATCCTTGGAAAGGAAGAAAGATGGTTTGAGCGGGGGGTAAAGGAAGCCATCTTTGTTAACCTGGAAAAACCATCTCTCGACTGAGGAGGAGGTCTTTCACATACCCCTTCACCCACCTACCCGCCCCAACCTGACTCACACTTCAATGTGGCATTGGCCACTCCTACGAGGGAGCTAACAGCCAATCAGAACCCCCTGACAACCATTAACCCCCAAGGTGACTTCCTCGGCCAATCAAGCAGGAGGAATCAGAGCCACCCTTTGTTTTTCCCCTAATTCTTTGTTATACCTACAGTATGTTAACCTCAGTGCACCTCACCACTAGTTAGAACTGAAGAAGCCTCTTGGATTAGAATTAAAACATCTTCTAGAAAACTTCATGTCCAGTTACTCAGACTGAATTCATCAAGCTTGACCATGACCTGGATTACTGAGAAAGTTCACAGAAAAGTTTCTGTATGTTTCTGAATGTGTGCAGACAGTGAGGTGGAGGCTTCCTCTGAAGCATCTTTCCTACAGGAAGGAGAGAACCCTGAGGAGCAGCTAGCCATCAGAAGAATAAAACCAAACACAAAGAGGTAGCCTTAACACCACATTCTATCCCTGTTTTAGAAGATGAAACAGTCTAATAATACTTTTAGGGCCAGTTAGAGTCAAGCAAAGTGGAAGTTATAGACATGCTTCGAAGAGTCATGTCATATTTAAAATAGCTCAGCTACAAAGCAATAAAAAACACTCTTTTACAGAAGCGTTTGGAGCTGAAGACTGGAGAAGGCCTGCTGTAAGGGTGTTGATCTGTTATAAAACCACCCAAATCATTTAACACCGGTAGTTTTTGCTTGTTTCTACTGCAGGTGTGAAACTCAGGGCCCACAGTACTAATCTAGCCATTCGCAGAAATGTATTATAAAAATAAATAAGAAGCGTATGTTTTTTAAGTGTTTACACAGTGGTTGAAATGCAAAATAAATTACAGTAAATTTCTAACAACAGAGCAGGTGTGCTTTCTCTAGATGAAACCATTAAACTAAAGTTTCATTTGCTGCACTAAAAAAATTTTAATCTAGATAAGTATTTTTTTCTTAAGATAACTGCATTTTTTTCTTAAATTAAGGAGGTAAAACACTTTGCCAATGGAAGATGACAATTTACATTTAAAATAATAAAATAAAGTGAATTGTCTTATTTCAAGTGCATATTATCTAATTATCTTATTTCAAGAGTAAAAATACTAATGGCATTGGCAGATCATCTTATTTGCATACTCAGATTAAAGATAAATGCACTTAATAAAAAAAAAAGTTGACTTATTTCTCGATCGTTTTTGCAGTGTGCAGCCAACCTTAAAGACTGGATGCTGCTGGACTGGTCGGATATATACTGTATATTTTTTAAATAACCCACCATATAATTATCCTCGTTTCATCTTCCTAATAGTTTTTTTTCAATTGTTTTCCAAATTATTACTGACAGGTCCCAAAAAGTACTATGCAAATCAAAAGCCACTAATCTTTAATTCTTCAGTGTTAGGACTGAGAACATTAGTTTTTTTCTATCAACAGAATGACAAAAAATGCTTTTATATGACTTTAAGATATGCTTGGATTTCCACAGAGCCAAACTTCAAACTCGCATTCAGGGCAGTGAAGGAAAACCAGAGAGCTTCCAGGTAAATAACACACAATGCAGCAGTGACACAAAACAAAACCTTCATTTTTATAGATTCACTTGTTTGTTTCATCTAAAGCTTCATCTGAAGCCTGATGTCTGATTTTTTTTCCCCTTTCCATGTCACAGATTGCCATCAATATCACAGAAGCCAGGCAGCTTGTGGGGGAAAACATAGACCCCAGTGTGGTGATTGAGATTGGGGATGAGAAGAAGCAGACATCCGTCAAAGAAGGAACCAACGCTCCCTTTTACAACGAGGTGAAAAAAACTGTTAGAAACACTTGTACAAATGTCAAAGGGCTGGTGTTAGATAGAAAAATGTCATAAATCACTTTATGCTCTATTTTAATCTTCTCTGTATCCCACCTCTTCTCTCTCCATCAGTATTTTGTGTTTGACTTCTTTGCCCATAAAGAGGTCTTTTTCGACAAAATCATCAAACTGACGGTTAGTCGAAACATGCAAACAATAATAAAACCAACTTTAATCCTCTTTACTTTGTTTACAGACTTTTTGAAAGAACTTTTGTGGATCTCTGCAGGTTGTTCACTCAAAGATGTTGAAGTCATTTACCGTGGGATCTTTTAAGCTGGACGTTTGGACGGTCTACAAGCAGCCAGGTCAACCGTGTTTTCTGATTTAGAAGAAAGTCATAGCAGCGTGGCACAGCTTTGCTGTACAGCCAAACCTTAAATATCTGAGTAAAAAAGTAAAAGAGTGAGGATTTCTCTGCTGGTTGCTGCTGATAGCTTCTTATTATGCGGATGTAAAGTGGATCATTTTGTTCATATCTCAGGTCACCAGTTTATGAACAAGTGGGCAGTGTTGACCAACCCAGGTGACCTGAGCACTGGAGTCAAAGGCTATGTTAAATGTGACATCAGCGTCTCAGCAAAAGGAGATGCCGTGCAGCCGGGACCAAAAGCGAGTGATGCTGAAGAGCAGATCGAAAAGTATGGACCTCATCTGAAAAAGAACTAATGTGTGGTTTTAGACAGACTCGCCACATTATGTTTTTTATAAATAGCACAAAATGTATGCATGCTGCTTTAGCATATACACTAAATGGTTTGACCTGATATTTTAGTCTGTGAGGCAGACACCCTGTCTACTTTTAAGGCTAGGCTTAAAACTTTCCTTTTTGATAAAGCTTATAGTTAGATTGGCTCTGGTTATCCTGAGCTATCTCTATAGTTATGCTGCTATAGGCTTAGCTTGCTGGAGGACATAGGGACCCCTTTTTCATCATTCTACTTCATTCTATCTCTCTGCTTTTTCTCATAGTAGCTTCTCCTCGTCTGTTTCTGTTTGGCTGTGACTCCATCCTGGAGAGAAATATCAGCTGTGCTGCTGCATCAACACCTTTGCTTATAGATGCTGGAGATCTGCCTGTTTTCCAGTGTAGTCCTGTTTCTCTGATTGTGACAGGCTGGATGTGCTCTCTTCATCCTCTGACATGGGAGCTGGCTCGGGGCCGCCTTTTACAGTTGCCTTTTGTATCTCTGCTTCTTTCTGTATGTCTGCTTCTTGTCTCCTTGAACCCCAGTCGGCCTCGGTAGATGCCCGCCCATACTGAGCCTGGTTCTGCTGGAGGTTTCTTCCTGTTAAAAGAGAGTTCTTCCCTCTCAAGTGTCGCAATCAACTGGTTTTCAGAAAACTTTTAATCAATTTGACTGTATGATCTTGTGAATTGTGCCTTGAGATGACATATATAGTGAATTGGCGCAATATAACTGAATTGAATTGATGTGTATGCTTCTGTTATTAGGAACCTCCTGATTCCAGAGGGGCTTCCCTCTGAGCGCCCGTGGGCCCGTTTCTGTGTGAAGGTGTACCGAGCTGAAGGCCTCCCTCGAAACAACTCCAGCATTATGGCCAACGTTACCAAGGCCTTTATAGGAGACAACACAGCACTCATTGACCCCTATGTTGTAGTCAGCTTCTTTAAACAACTGGTGAGCCAAAAATTTTTCTATGTTTTTGTTCAGAAAACAAATGCATCATGAGTTTTCCATTCAATATAGCCTTAAAAACTTTGGAGAGTAAGCTTTGCTGCTTAAGTCTTTGAGTTTGACTCAAAAAAGCATTTATTGAAATGGAGCTTAGGCGGAAGTTTAATTAAAGGAACTGAATACTTACCCTCATCCGCCTCTGACACAAGCTAATCAGCTTTGAACCACACCTCCATGAAAGCCTAACCAGCATCTAGAATTCATCTTAAAAGTGTCTCCACATCTCAGTCTGCTACCCAAAGCGCAGGCAGTGGTTGTGCTATGTCTGACTTTGATTCAGATGACCTTGATTCAACCCACCTCCATCCATTTCTCCACCATCGTAGCTAAAGCTTCATCAGAGTGTCAGAATACCGCCATGTTGAGCCTGGTTCTGCCAGAGGTTTCTTCCCAATGGGGAGTCTTTCCTCTCCACTGTCTCTTCATGCTTGCTCATCACAGACAGGTTCATGCAACCTGTGTTATCCAAGCTGGTCTTCCATCTTCCAGGTCCCCTAGTGAAGCTCTAGTATCAGCTCACGCAGTCCACTGGATCTCTCTATACAGCTCAGCATAGCGTCTCACCAACCAGCACTCATGGACTGACCTACCTATCTCCACTCCATCACCAGTTTCAGGTCTGGGGGGGGAACAGCCATGTCCTTTACTCCTGTTCATGCATATCAAAGCAAAATTCAGCGCTAATGTTTCCTGCTGAGGTCTGAGCGCCAAAGACTATAGTAATTATATCAACAAAATTTAGTAATCAAATAACAGTTCATTGATGTATATAGATTCTAAAACATACCATTTACTGAAAGAAAGTGTGGATAAGAGCAGTAATTAAGCCAAAACAGTACAAAAATACATTCTGCATTGAAGATGAACATAGATTCTTTACCAGCTTAAAAAAATGAAAGAGTGTAATTTGTCATTTTAGGACACCATCTATTTTTATGTTGATGTATTTGATGTAAAAAAAAAAAAAAAAAATCAGAATGTAATATGTGAATTTTTTTGCATTTTTACAACTGTGCTGCAACTGTACTGATTATGGTTCAATCAACCAGAAACAACAATGCTTTTGACGTGCTTAAGTTAAAGTTTCCTGTTTCATACTAATCAATGGAAATTCCATCATTGGTGTTTCACTACTGATAAATGAAACTGTCTTTGGTAATGGACCTCAGGTTTTTGAGGCAGAAATGTCTTCCTGCCATCCTGCTAATCTTTAGCTCCCTTAAAACTGTCTCAAGTCATGACTCTGGCTTACAGTCCAAAATAATAATATTGCTTCCTGTCTATAAATCCAAAAAGACTAAAAGGTGATTTTAACCTTACAGTCATGTTTTTGGACTGTGGGAGTAAGCCGGAGTACCCAGAGAGAACCCACACATGCTCAGGGAAAACATGCAAACTCCATGCAGAAAGATTCCTGACCAAATGTCTCTCTGCATTGAGCTTGCCTGCTCTCCCTGTGAATTTGTGAGTTGTCTCCAGGTACTCTGGCCTTCCACAGTCCAAACATGAGGCTTGGGTTAATTGGCATCTCTAATTAGTCCTTAAATGTGTGCATGGTCGTATGTTTCTGTGTTGCCTTGTGACAGACTGTCGAGTAATATGCTTGTAATATGCCTTTTTGTCTTTGTCTCTCTCAGGGTCGCACGTCCACCCAAAAGTCCTCAGCTGATCCAGTGTGGAACGAGCAGATTGTCTTCACTGAGATGTTTCCTCCTTTGTGTCAGAGATTAAAGATTCAGGTCTGAATTTAAGCAAACACACGTCTTTGCAGCTCTATAAAGAATTTTATTAAATGTATACAGGTATACTCTCCCCATGATCTTACATTAATTTTACTTTAAGGTCTGGGATGAGGGAAGCATGAATGATGTTGCCATAGGAACCCATTACTTTGACCTAAGACGTATTTCTAATGAACAAGATGGTGACAAAGGTGAGGAAGAACTGAGTCATAGATGAAATCAGACCCAGATGTTAGGTGAAAATAACACTGTGGTTTAATCAGGCTGACTTTTTCACTTTCTCATTGGTTTCAGGGTTTTTACCAACGTTTGGTCCTGCTTGGATTAACCTATATGGCTCAGCGCGAAACTTCTCCTTGGGTGATGACACAGGGGAACTTAATGAAGGCATTGGTGAAGGGGTTTCCTTCAGGTTCATAACTAAACATGATGCGTTTTCATTTTTTTAAAATAAAACAACATCCCTGAAATTATTCCTACATCCAGTTGTGTGCTTGTGATTTTAGGGGTAGGGTCTACTTGGAGCTGGCGGTGGAGATCCTGTCCGGAGGCACGGGCTCAGAGTCCAAACTCAGTCGGATGATTAAACCTGTGAAAGACATAAAAGCAGGGAAAGCTGGTGTGAAGGATGCAAAGAGTCCTGCTGGAGGAGCAGGAGGAGGGACAGGGGCAGCTGATGATGATAAAGGAAAAGCAGCTGAGGTCCTTCCTGTTGACCCCCCTTCTTTGGTAAGGGTTAGAAAAAAACATTTAAATTATGATACAATCGAAATGTATCAAAATGAAATCTCATTTCGTATGTGCTTTGCTTCATGGGGCCATGTTTCTGTTAGAACCTTCTCATCTATTGAAGCAGTGGGAAAATTGAAAGCATCAATCTTCAGACAAAAAATATGAAAATGGTGCCCTGACCTAGTTCTTAATAAGATAGGGGTGCTAGTTAGGAGAGAATCAATATAAGAGTGTCACGGTTTGTTTGGAGGTTTTTATGAGGACCCAAATGCAGAGGCTGACAGGCAGAGGTGAGTTCTTCAAAGGTTTAATACAAAAACAGGTATCCAAAAATTCAACTTAAAAATGTTAAACAAAAACAGGTATCCAAAAAACCGACATAAAAATCAAACACAAACCAGAACCATGGAGACATCAGGGGAAAACCATCAAGGAGCCAGGGTTAGAAAAGGTAAGAGGAGGAACCAGCAAAGAGGGACTGCAGAGGGAGTGTATTTATGGCTGACTGAACAAAGGTAGGACTAATGAGCTGATAAGGAGCAGGTGTAACTAGGAAAATAACACAAGGGGGCAACAGAGGACAGACGTAAAAACCTAAGCAACTTAAATGAATCCAGACACACCAATAAAGCTAGAAAACAATGAAAAACAACAGAACCAAGATCGTTACAAAGAGATGAAAATGTTTATTAAAAAGCTTCAAACTGACTGCATTGATTTTTAAATTTAACCTGAGCACTGGCACTCAGAAGGGCTGCGTTCTCAACCCTGCTCTCATTACGCACGACTCCACTTCTCTCCAGCTCACAAGCGTGGTTATGAAGTTTTTGGACAAACCCACTATTGTGGGTCTCATGCCTAAAGATAACGTTATAAAGAAGGGGTCAAATATCTGATACAGTGGTGCTCCAGGAACCTTATGTTTATGTACGTTTCCTCCAAAACTTATGGTGGGAACCTTTTGTGTTTAATAGGCCTTTATTAATAAAAGAAAATGGTAAGTACACAAAGAACAGTTTTAAACATATAAACAGCAGTTAAGTGTGTAAAATAAAACCTGAGATTAGATTATAAATTAACACTTTGAATTTCTTGAAGTTTTAAAATAAGAGAATTACAAAATCTTTAAGATTTGGCTAAATAAGCCATATTCTGATTTTCACTTACAGTATGAATGATAAATGTCTGCTTCCTGCAGTGGGGTGCTGCTCTATTTAATACTGTTTCAGCACACAAAGAACTTTATCTTAAAATTATAGAAACATTCCATGTTTTCTCATTTCTATATTTTTGAAGCCTCCTCTAAAGATGCTTTTTCTTTGTTTTCTGACTTAATTCTCTGCAATACATATACATTTAGGTTGGATTTATTTGCAAATTATCTATATGGTCTAAAATTGACAATAAAATGTCTTTAACTCTTAATCCTCAAGTGGAGCATAAGTGTAAAACTTTTTAAAAAATACTTTCAGATGAAAAAGCTGTTTTTGACTTACCCAAAGAACTAAAGCTAACGTTTGCTCAAAACTGCTTCATCAAGCCCACATGCAAAAAGAAGTAATTGACCGGATGTTTGTATCTCAGTTAAAGATATCTTAATTTAAAATGAGCCAATGCTTGTATTTTTTTATTTCCAGCCAAAAGAAGATGACTGTGAAACCTTCCTGCTGTTTGGCGCATTGCTTGAAGCCACCATGATTGACCGTAAGATTGGAGACAGGCCCATCAGCTTTGAGTTCTCCCTTGGTGAGTCACTATACAAAAGAAAGAAAGAAAATTCAAGCCATTTTTTTTCTTGATTGTAATGTTTGACTTGATGAAAAAAGTAAGAGATCTTTTTGTGTCGGTTGTTATATTTAAGTCCCGTCCTCCAATCAATTTTCTTGCTCGTGACAAGCCAAACCTTCCATGTTTACTTGTGTTTGCTGTCAGGTAACTATGGCAATGTCCTGGAGTCTCCACCTCAGCAAAGCACTGCCAGTCCTGCTGTCACTAGAAGGAGGAAGGCTCTTGACGTCCCAGATAGCAGTGAAGCATTTGGCTCCTCAATGCTGAGCTCCTCTCCTACCAGCTCATCCTCACTGCTTCTACCCAAAGAACCTTTGGACACATCTTTAGCCTCTAAATCCACCACACCTCCAGAGAAACCTCTCATCGTTGAAGGAAACAGGTAGATTTTCTTTGAATGTGCTGTTATACACTTGAGGTTGTCTTCTGTCCAGGCTGTTGAGGTGGACAAAATATTAAAGCTCCATATAAACAAGAAGATATGGATGAAGATAGACTATGTCTGTAGAATAAATTAAAATTCCCAAAATAAGAACATTATTTTTCAACTGAGCTCACTGCCTCAGGTCAAGTCCTGTAAACAGCCCTTTGGGGTTAATTAATCCCTTCTACAGGGGCATCCATTACTTCGTGTTGGCCGTGACGATGTCATTCTTCTGTGCAGCTGTTTAGTCATAAAGACCATAAGGCTTTCAATCAGTTGAACTGAGGGCACAGAAGGTTGGGAGCAAACTCTGACCTCTATGGCTGTGTCTGAATGTCCATCCTAAGCCCTAAATCCCTTAATCACTTTATAGAGTGGGGACTATATAGTGAACTTTATAGTGAACTCAGATAACGGACCTTTTGTAGAGATGATCACTACTTTTCACTCCCCATTGGTCACGTAGCTCCGCCTCCCCGCACAGTGCATACGTCATCTTTGTTAATTGTTGACACTCACACTACCTAACAGTGGGCTGCTGTCACAACAAATCAAATATATCTGCTCGTCTAGTGACCATAAATGTTCACTACTATTCAAGGCGCATTGTGGGAATTTTAATGTCTACCACATTTTCATCCACTAGACGCTCAGGCATTAATTTGAAATAGTGTAACCACTATATATTTTCCCATATAGGGAATCGAATGCAGCCCTTGTGTTTCATCATTCTCTGGCCCACCCATTCATTGCTGACTTGATCAGTTCGTCAACTCTTAGCTGCAATATTTTGTGAAAGGGACTTTTTGCACAGACAGCTTTCTAATACAATCCCTCATTGGAAATCACTGAGCTCAGATTTTAATACACTTACAGGAGGTTTATACATCTGGTAAGATATTATATGTGTTTGTGTCTGAAGAGACGTTTCTGGGGTTTATGGAATAAATATTAAAGATCTGTCTCTTACTCTGTTAGCCATTAGGGTTACCCAGACCCCATCAGGCTAGATGTCTCTGTCTCATCTTTAAAGATCCAAATTATGGTAAAATAGCCTGGAAGGGCAGTATGTAGCAATCGTAGCAAGATAGCTTGGTATTTCTTTATGTTTAATCTGTTTATCAAACATGTAGCTGCTCCCTAGAGGGAATCAGAATCAGAATCAGGTTTATTGCCATTGTTAGTGAAGGAGTTCACAAACTAGGAATTTTTTATGGTACAATCGTGCAACATGAAACATACAATATGGAATAGGTAAATACAATTATAAAAATATCTAAAACACTGTGGGTATAAGGCATGCAATAAAATAGACTAATATATACACTTAGGATAAAAATATGGATATAAAATATAAAAAGTAAAATAGCATCTTACAAGGTAGTGCAAATAGAGCAGTGTGCAAATAGAGCAATGCCTATTGAACACATGCGAGAGCACACACAAGCCCATTTCGTGACTGAGTGCATGTGCTCTCTTCGTCCTCTGGCATGGGAGCTGCCTTGGAGCTCGTCTGCCTGGCTGTGTGTTTCCTGGACGGGGCCGCCTTTTACAGCTGCTTTTTGTATCTCTGCTTCCGTCTCCTTGAACCCCAGTCGGCCTCGGCAGATGGCCGCTCACACTGAGCCTGGTTCTGCTGGAGGTTTCTTCCTGTTAAAAGGGAGTTTTTCCTCTCCACTGTCGCTACAAGCACGCTTAGTGTGGGGGATTGTATTTGAGTCAATGAGTCAATGCAATCAACTGGTTTTCCTTAGATAGAAAACTTTGTATCAATTTGACTGTATGATCTGGTTGAACTGTAAAGTGCCTTGAGATGACATGTGTTGTGAATTTGGCGCTATAGAAATAAACTGAATTGAATTGAAATTGAATTTCTCCTCGTGCACACCCTTTTAAAAAGTGCATCGCTCATACAAGCTTACTTTTCAAAGAAAACACATAGGACAGCCCTACGTAAACATATCACCAGAATGATTGACAATTAGGAAAACAACTTATTTTGATAATCCACTTGGAAGAAGAACATCCTCCACTATATCTTTAAAGTTTTTTTGGATTTAATTTTTTTTCTTTTGTGGTTCTTTTTAAGATATTTGAATATTTTAGTTTTCAAGAGTTGCCTATATCCATAAAATTAAAACTTATCTAACCTATCAAGCTTTTCCAGCACCTCGGGTCAACACTTTGCTGACTTTTAATCATTATCATTATTAAGGCAAAGCCTGTAATACAGTACATATTTTCTTTTTTTAATTTTGCTTCTGGCTTTTACCAAGGAAAATAATGCATGTGTGCAATTATGTCCAGACACTACATGTATTTACCTCTGGAGAAGAAGCCCTGTGTGAATGTGGTGAGCTACTGGGAGGACAGAACTTACCGGCTGCACAACTCAAATATGCTGGAGAATATAGCAACACTCTTTGTAAGTACTGACAAACATGCACAGAAAGCTATCATCTTGTTTAAGTTTTATCAAACCCCATATGTTTTTAATTCATACTTAAGTTGCATCAGTTTATGACCTGAAGTACTCTGCAGGTAATGCAGGTTTAATTATGTTGAATAAAAAGAGAGATTCTGGTAATAAAACAGATGATTTAATCCTTTTCGATAGACTTGGAAAAGGCCGATCAAAGTATTCAAAGACCAGGACAGGAGCACCAGCTCTGGATTATTTAACTGCTTCCTTCCATTACCTCGTTCAATGTAATAATGCATAGAAAAACGTGTATCTCGGCCGTATTCATGTCTTGCAGGAGGAGGGTGTTTCCGCTGCTGCTGAGCTACTCAAGAAGTTGGACCCAGCAGCTGAAGCGACTTTAAGAGCTGTGCTCAGAAACTTTTGTTTGGATGCCAGGTAATTACTGGTAAAATTTCACGTCTTTGAAAGCCAACTTTGAAGCCATGCATAAAATTAACTGTTTATGTTGGATTATTATTATGAGTAACTGCTCATTTAATGTGGTGTGGTATCCCTGTTCAACAAATTACTTATTTTAAAACTTTTAAATCTCCACACTTTTCATATATCAGCAGAAAATATCTGTCAAGAAATTCACCAAAGTTTAATGAGACCATTTTTCAAAGACTCCCAGCCCTTTTCGTTCTAGAAATGACAGTCGGAGAAGCAAGATCTTCAATATCTCTGAGAAATCCTGATCTAGTTTTTACTTACTAGTTGTTAATATCATATCTAACCCTGACCTTTTATTTATGCTTGGTAGAGGTGCAATAGCTGAAAGCAGATATTTTTAGTATGAATTTTCCCTGATACTCCCATCATCGCCTTGTGTTTTACAGGAGTTTCATTGCAGCTGCAGAGGCCAAACTGAAAGCGGGGCAGAAGAGCAGCTTTCTGACTCTGCTGGACAAGAAACGCTTGACCATGTGCAAACAGGAGCTGGTGAGGAAAAACCACACCACCTTACAAGATATTCAAGATCTTAGTCTTAACTTTGGGATCCCAGAATTATTTGTTTAATTTAATATCTGATAGATAAATATGATTTTATCAATATCCTTTTAAATAAATGTTCGGGCTTTTTTCTATAGCTCTTATTCATAAATATTTGAATCAATAAAACATATATTGTCTATATAAAGTCTAGTCCGATCCTATATGTTTTGAGAAAAATGTGATCGGTGCTTGTAGAGTCACACCCAAGCAATGTAATTTGATCTTTAGCAATTGATATTTTAGCGCACCGATACTAAAGTAACTAAAAGTCTTTCTCATTTTTGCCTACTGACTCAACCTCAGAAAAAAATCACTGTTTTCTATTTGAATTTATTTCAGGACTTTGACTAGACCGTATTACAACAAATTAATTTGATTTCATCTAAATCTAATCTAATCCAACTTTAGTTCAGGCTGTATGCTTGAATTTGTTGACCTGTTAGGAGTTGACTCTACATCCCGTCCTGAAGTCTTTTTCTCACTGCTTTAAGCAACCATTTAAAGTTTTCTGACCTTGTCTTCAGGGGGATAAGCAATGTTAGTTTTCCACCCCACAGAGCATTTTGTATTTCAACACTATAATTTTGATCCTTTGTGTTTGCAGCCAAATTGCCACATGTTTGCTGCATAATTTGGCTACAAACAGGATTTTTTAAAGCTTTTGAACTTTCACTTCCTATAAAGGCCAGATTTGTGGTCAGATTCTCCAACAGACAATAAAAAAAGAACTAAATTTGTTACATATCTGTTGCCTGAATTTGTACAACCTGCAGTATGTGACAGCTCTGATAATTATGACTGCTGTAATTCAAAGCTCTAAAGAGATCTTTAATTGAAGAATCACCAGATCAGTCTGCAGCTATGGTGTTCTCCAGTGACATGTCATTGCAAAGCATTAGTAGAATAAAACACATAACATGTAGGCATATGTTGCAGGAGAGCATGATCGGAGAGGCTGAGTCGTTGTTGGGGAGGAAGAGAACAGGGGGAGCAAAAGAAATCCTGCAAGAAGCAACTAAGCTAACACAAAAACTGCGTTTCCTCGTGGAGGAGGTGAAGCAAACATTCAAACTGCTGCTGATTGACATGTTTACCATAAATAAGCTAACTTTTCACTTTCATACATACACATCCTTACATTGCAGCCCCAACATACAGTCCCGGACATGTTTGTGTGGTTGCTTAGCAACAACAAACGTGTTGCATATGCCCGGGTTCGAACCAGAGACCTGTTGTACTCCAGCAACCAGGAATCCAGAGGAATCCTCTGTGGGAAGATATTAACACTATATCTGAAGGTAAGAACACATATTACACTGCTCCTGTATAGCCTGGCACGTCTGGCAGAACAAAAAGGTCATGTGTGGGTGGGTGGGGGGGTTTGTGCAGCCACCAGGGAAGCGGCCTTCAGGATTGTCAGTTCAAGCCAAGCTGGATGTGTATCTGTGGTTTGGAGCTTGCTCAGACTCTGCCCACATGCTGGATGACCTGCCTGCAGGATACCGACCAGACACAGGGGGCGCCGATGGTAACAGCCCTCCTTCATACCTGCTTTGCACAGGTGAGCGAGAAGCATCAGCATGAACACTCTTAGCATTATGTGAATTTTGGATCGATCCAAGAAGGACGCAGAGTCACTGGTCTTACAAATTGTTGCCGCTCAGTCTTTCAGAATAATTCCACTAAAAATGTTAGATATCCAAGAGTGGATATATCCAGGTCATCACAAGCTATGTCTATATATCCAACATATACTGGCTGTGTGTTACTGTCACTGAACCAGTGCATTTATAATATCACTGAGTAAATTGATCAGAAAATAGAGAACTCAGAGATAACCAATGATCTGCATTCAAACTGGCAGAAAAAAGTTTTCCCTGCAGAAAATTTTGAAGTGTTCATTCAACTCCTGCTCAGTTAAATTAAACACTTTCAAAGTGTCTATTTTGGTCCACATTATATTGAGTTAGAATAGCCAATTTAAAGGGTTTCATGACATAATTTGTTTGTTTTTTTTTACCTAATTTCATATATATATATATATATATATATATATATATATATAGCAGTTCTCGCCGTAAAGCAAGACTGACTCTCACGAGACTTCTGAGCCTGTGGGTGCGGGTCGGTGCTCCTGCAATTGCAAGTGCAGTATTTCCCCCACAGACCACCAGGGCGGCCGAGAATTCCTTTGTTTTCAACCTGAAATGACTCATTTAGTCATCCATAACGTTATGGAACACATTAATTAACTGAAAAATGTTGCATAGTGTCCCTTTAAATCTGCCCCCCAAAAAAGCATTTTTAGAGCACTATTTAGGGGTTTCGTTATGTTTCTTTGTGACGTTAATGGGGAAACTCAACAGGTAGATTGTCTGCTTATACGGTGGCTGAGAACAAAGACAGAGCTTTAGTACAGGTCACAGCAGCGTAACATGCTGGGGCTGCTAGCAGCACCTCTCTTTAAGGTCCTCTGTCTGTAAAATATCAGGCCTTCTGTCTGTCAAAACTCCTCCAGTGAATTCAGACAGGCACTTTGCCAATAGAACTGGCTCTATTTCAGAATAGAGCTGGCGGTGCTTGATCGCCCAGCTCAGCTATCAGCTCCCCTGTCAGTTTTGCTGCTCCGTTCCATGCAGCACTTATCAATTTCTATCCTGATGCAAACTTATGTTAGATGTCAGATTATTTCTGCAACCAACCAGCAATGCACCATTTTACCTTAGTGATACTGTTTTAGTAATATTCCGTTTACCTGAACTCGTTATAAACGATATCTTTACAATAATTCAATTCAATTAATTTTATTTATATAGCGCCAACTCACAACACCTGTCATCTCAAGGCACTTTACAGAGACAATTCAACCAGATCAAACAGTCAAATTGATTCAAGGTTTTCTATCTAAGGAAAACCAGTTGATTGCATCGACTCATTGACTCGAAGGCAATCCCTCACACTAAGCATGCTTGTAGTGACAGTAGAGAGGAAAAACTCCCTTTTAACAGGAAGGAACCTCCAGCAGAACCAGGCTCAGTGTGAGCGGCCATCTGCCGAGGCCGGTTAAAGTAGACCGATATATGACCCCAGACTTCAAATTGGAACAAAGGGATACGCCCATTCTGGATCACTTATATCTTTTATTACATCTTAATCATACAGGAGTGTGAAAGTTTGCCCAAGTTTGCATTATTATTATGCTTTCCTATCATTTTTTTTCTTTTGATTAAAAAGTGTTAAGCAGCCAACATTTGGATGCAGGTATAGGTTAAGATCTGCATTTTAACAGCCTCATAAAGTCTGTTCATAAATAATATGTCTATTGGTTTAAAGAATTATTAGAATCAAAATATTTCCACCACCCCCTAAATGAATTATTGTTTTTGGTGACTTGGTTTAGCTGATGTAATCAGGTATGAGGTTTTATTTTTGCAGTAAAATATGTCAGAAGTTTTCAGAACTGAATGGATCTGCTGTAATGTGTTCCCTCAGAGCAGAACCAGTTCGCGCTGCGCTGCCACATGTATCAGGCTCGTGGTCTTATCGCTGCAGACAACACAGGCCTGTCGGACCCATTTGCTCGAGTCACGTTTCTCTCACACTGCCAAACCACCAATGTGAGTGTGCCATTATGTGTCCTGCTCGGTATCCTGACCAACGCTACTTTAAAATCATCATGACTTTGTGGTTGTGTGTTTGCTGACAGATCATTAATCAGACTCTCAGTCCTACATGGAATCAATGTTTACCAATGAGCAACCTCGTGCTGAGTGGAGACCTGCAGCATGTCCTGGCAGAGCCGCCATATGTTGTTGTTGAGGTTTACGATGATGACGCTCTGGTAATCCCCACAGAAAGTAGATGATGCAGAGGAGTCTGTCTTTCTGCCATCTCTAACCACCACAATGTCTGGGCTCTGTTTAGGGAAAGGCAGAGTATCTGGGTGCCACAGTGGCCGTCCCTGAAGTGCGGTTGGCCTCCGAACCCTACTCCCCCCCTACCCTGCAGTACAGTCCGATTCACTGTGGCAGCCAGTCAGGAGGAGACCTGCTGGCCGCATTCGAGCTGCTGCAGGTTAGTCACTACCATTGCCGAAGAGACAAGGTCAGATTTATCCATATTTGCTATCCACAGCATCTTTTTAAGAAATTATAAACAAACCTTTTATAACAGTAATGGATGCCAATGATGTACAGCAGTTACTTAACATAATTATTCAAACATGATAATCTAATTAAAATCAAAATAACTCAAATTGGGGAAAAAGTTAAAACAATTAAATGCGGTCTGTTTAACATAAGATCGCTTTCCTCTAAAAGTCTACTAGTTAATGACTTGATTTGTGATAATCACATTGACTTGTTTTGCCTTACAGAAACCTGGCTGCAGCAAGAGGATTATGTGAGCATAAATGAGGCAACTCCTTCAAGCTATTTAAATTTTCACATCCCCAGAAGTTCTGGGCGAGGAGGAGGAGTAGCAACAATCTTCCAGTCTGACTTACTGATTACTCCCAAAACAGTTAATACCTACAACTCTTTTGAACATTTAACCCTTAATTTCCCTGATCCAAATTTCAAGGCAAGAAAACCTCTTCTTTTTGTAACTTTGTATCGTCCACCAGGTCCTTACTCTGAATTTTTAGATGAGTTTTCAGAGTTCCTTTCTGATTTGGTATTAAATACTGACAGGGTCATCATAGTGGGAGATTTTAACATCCATGCTGACATTGAAGGCGATAGCTTAAGAGCAGCCTTTAATGCTATCTTAGACACTATTGGCTTTGTTCAAAATGTGAATAGTCCCACGCATTCTCATCTTCATACTTTGGATCTTGTGCTGACATACGGCATAGAATGTGAAGAAATAACAGTATTTCCTCACAACCCTGTCCTCTCTGACCACTTTCTAATAACCTTCAGGATTACTTTAACAGAGTTCTCCTCCCCCAAAAGAAGGTTCAATTTTAGTAGATCTTTATCAGATAGTGCAGTTATAAATTTTAAAGAATCTGCTTCACTTTCTCTCTCCTCTGTGTCACTGAGCAGTGCTGCAGAGTGCAAAAGTTTAGCTTATTCCCCTTCACAGGTTGATGATTTTGTTGATGGGGTTGCTAGTTCTCTGCGTATTGCCTTAGACAACGCAGCTCCTTTGAAAATGAAAACCGTTAAAAATAGAAAGCTTGCTCCTTGGTTTAATGCAGAGCTGCGTACTTTGAAGCAAAATGCTAGGAAACTGGAGAGAAAATATCGCTCCACAGGCCTGCGAGAGTCCTTCCTAGTCTGGAAAAATGGTTTACTGCTGTATAAGAGGACCCTTTGTAAAGCAAGAGCAGCATACTTCTCCTCATTAATAGAGGAGAATAAGAATAATCCTAGATTTCTTTTTAATACAGTTGCCAAACTCACCCAGAGCCATAGCTCTGTTGAACCGTCCATTCCACCTGCTCTTAGCAGCAATGACTTTATGGGATTCTTTATAAATAAGATTGATCTTATTAAAAATAAGATCATAAGCACTCCTCTATCCGCGATTGTACCTGAGGTAGTCATGGAATCTGAACTGGGTTTAGACTGCTTTGATCCAGTTGAACTCTCTGAATTAGCAAAATTATTGTCTTCATCTAAGCCTTCAACTTGTATGTTAGATCCAGTTCCAACCAGGTTATTTAAGGAGGTATTCCCTTTGATCTCCTCCTCCATTTTAGATGTGATTAATCTATCTCTGTTACAGGGATATGTACCTAAAGCTTTTAAGGTTGCTGTAATTAAACCTCTGCTTAAGAAACCGTCTCTTGACCCAGATGACTTGGTCAATTATAGACCTATATCCAATCTTCCTTTCTTATCCAAAATTCTTGAGAAAGTAGTTGCCAAACAAGTTTGCGATCACTTCCACCATAATGAACTTTTTGAAGAGTTTCAGTCTGGCTTTAGAGCTCATCATAGCACTGAAACAGCTCTGGTGAAAGTCACTAATGATATTCTCATGGCCTCAGATAATGGACTTGTATCTGTGCTCGTCCTGTTGGATCTTAGTGCTGCATTTGATACAGTTGACCATAATATTCTTTTAGAAAGACTTGAATATTTTGTTGGAATTAAAGGAACAGCACTAGACTGGTTTAAATCTTATCTATCTGATCGAATTCAGTTTGTTCATGTTAATGATAGATCTTCAACACGCTCAAAGGTTACCTGTGGAGTACCACAGGGATCAGTGCTAGGACCAATTCTCTTTACTTTATACATGCTCCCAATTGGTAGAATTATTAGACAGCATGGGATTAATTTCCACTGTTATGCTGATGATACCCAGCTATATCTGTCTATAAATCCAGATGAAGCTAACCCATTACATAGATTACAGGCATGTCTTGAAGACATAAAAACCTGGATGACTCTTAACTTTCTGCTTCTGAATGCAGACAAAACAGAAGTTATAGTCTTTGGACCAGAGTCTCTGAAAAAGAAACTGATTAGCCAGTCACTTCATTTGGATGGGATTAAACTGATTTCAGATAATAAAGTAAAAAATCTTGGTGTTGTTTTTGATCAGGACCTGTCATTTAGGTCCCATATCAAGGAGGTTTCTAGAATTTCCTTCTTTCATCTGAGGAACATTGCAAAAATTAGAAATATCCTGTCCAGGGGTGATGCTGAGAAACTAGTCCATGCATTTGTTACTTCAAGGCTGGACTATTGTAATTCTTTACTATCAGGAAGTCCACAAACTGTAGTTAAAAGCCTTCAGCTGATCCAAAATGCTGCAGCCAGAGTTCTAATGAAAATTAAAAAGAGAGATCATATCTCGCCTATCCTGGCTTCTCTTCATTGGCTTCCTGTTAAATCAAGAATAGAATTTAAAATCCTCCTTCTCACATATAAAGCCTTAAATGGCCAAGCTCCATCTTATATCAGAGATCTGATTGTTCCTTATGTTCCTAACAGAGCACTTCGCTCTCAATCTGCAGGTTTACTAGTGGTTCCTAGAATTTCTAAAAGTAGAATGGGAGGCAGATCTTTTAGTTATCAGGCTCCTCTCCTGTGGAACCAACTACCAGTTTTAGTCCGTGAGGCAGACACCCTGTCTACTTTTAAGGCTAGGCTTAAAACTTTCCTTTTTGATAAAGCTTATAGTTAGAGTGGCTCAGGTTATCCTGAGCTATCTCTATAGTTATGCTGCTATAGGCTTAGACTTTTGGAGGACATAGGGACCCCCATTTCATCATTCTGCTTCATTCTCTCTCTGTTCTCCTATTCTGCAGAATCTGTTAGTTCAATCTCTAACCTTCTGCTCTCTCTGCTTTTCCTCAGAGTAGCTTTGCCTCGTCTGTTCCTGTTTGGCTGTGACGTCATCCTGGAAAGAAACATCAGCTGTGCTGCTTCTATCAACACCCTTGTTTATAGATGTTGGAGATCGGCCTGTTTTCCAGTGTGGTCCTGTTTCTCTGACCGTGACTGAGTGGATGTGCTTTCTTCGTCCTCTGGCATGGGAGCTGCCTTGGAGCTCGTCTGCCTGGCTGTGTGTTTCCTGGACGGGGCCGCCTTTTACAGCTGCTTTTTGTATCTCTGCTTCTGTCTCCTTGAACCCCAGTCGGCCTCGGCAGATGGCCGCTCACACTGAGCCTGGTTCTGCTGGAGGTTTCTTCCTGTTAAAAGGGAGTTTTTCCTCTCCACTGTCGCTACAAGCATGCTTAGTGTGGGGGATTGTATTTGAGTCAATGAGTCAATGCAATCAACTGGTTTTCCTTAGATAGAAAACTTTGTATCAATTTGATCTGGTTGAACTGTAAAGTGCCTTGAGATGACATGTGTTGTGAATTTGGCGCTATATAAATAAACTGAATTGAATTGAATTGAAACATCCTTGTGAACAGAGGAATGTGAAGAAGGGACAGGTGACCATGTCACAGACTCTGCAGCAAACTGACCATATCAAAGCCTTTTTTTTGCACCATGTTTTTTTTCTCCCACAATGTTTACATTTTATCGCCGCTGCACTTTAAGACATTGAAATGTCATGAGTGCAGTACTAAAAACAAAATTTTATTTTGTATACACAAGATGGCAAAAAATGTTGTCTAAGTGTCATAAAACAGGACGGATGGGCCCAGTATTTAAGGTGAGACAGTCAGTAGGAAAGTTCAAAACTTTTATTAAATGAAAATAAACAAAACTAAAGTTGAGCTGCTAGGATCTGCGGCTCGCGGATGCTGCATGAAGGGGGCGGGGCATCGTCCAATCTCAGACACTCTGTGGGAGAAACACAGGTAAGTGACCACGATCATCTGACAGAAGATGATGATCTCAGTGAGTCACTTGCCTGATTTTACAGTCCAGTCCATCTTCCTGGAAAGGGGTGCAATCCAGCCGCTGGACTGAAGGCAGATGTGGCATGCGTCACTGAGATTGTCCCCGGTGCACCAGTCCCAGAGGATTTGCAGGAAGCCGATCCTGGACAGGGATTCAGAACAGGCAGCAACAGACAGAACAGGCAGGATCCAGGCTTCCAGGCATCCTAGAGCTCCCAGGCAGGTTCAGAGTCCAGAAGCGTGACCAGGTGGACACGCACAGGAGCAGACAGGATCAGGTGCAGACGGGCAGGCTCAGTGGAAGAGGGTAGCCGAGACAGGACGTGGAACCAGAACTTGAGCAAGACCTTTAAACTTGTCTCCTCCTTGCAGCGAGGCTTTCTGGAATAAAAACTGAACCTCCCCGCGTACAGAGCCAAAAACCCAGAGGGCTCAGCAGGGAAGGAACAGTGGACGATTAGGAGACGAGACAAACACAAAACCCTCTTTCTACTGGCCGCCAGGTTCCAGGACATGAACCTGAAAATAAACAGAGCTGAACAGACTGAAAAGAAAACAACATCTAATGATCTGGCCATGATAGCTGGAACTGAGCCCAATATAAGGGCAACTGCCAGGTGGATGAGATGAGTGATAATTAGGAGCTGAAAGAGTAAAGCAGGTGAAAGGCCTGAGTAATTAAGGCCAGCTATCACAGCAGATCATGACACTAAGTCTGAGTCATACCCAAGCTGGTCGTAGCAGGGCAAGTCTGGATCAGCTACTACATACAGTAACAAAACTTTCCGACTTATCTAGTCTCTTCAGTAGAGGACCTCAAATGATATAGATTTGTTCTCCTTCTGTTGACTTTTTTAAAACCATGTTATAACTTAATAACGAACAATGCATACTCATTCACTATTAACAAAAGTTACTGTTTCTAACATAGTAATCCACAAAGAAGGTTTCTTATGACCACTGTGTAGGTTAAAGCCTCTGAACAGCTGAATGTTCCAGATTTAGAGGAGCAGGAAGGAGGCATCTATACTGTTCCTGCCTACATTAGGCCTGTTCTCAGCACCTACAGGCTGGAGGTTTGTCTGCTTTCATCACTGATCAAACGGTGTTAAAATTATCTTTAAATTGACCTGTTAAAATGGATGTTTATGCAGGTTTTGTTCTGGGGACTGAGGGAGCTGAAGAAGGTTCAGCTCCTATCCGTTGATCGGCCACAGGTTTGAAAAAATACCTCACTTCATACAGAATGTGAATTGAGCAGAGAATTCATAATCATCATAAATTCTGCATTTATCAAAATGTTTCTTAATAAATCAGGGATACTTGGGAAATTAGCTCTAAGATTTTTATTTTTCCAGGTGTTCATCGAATGTGCAGGTAAAACCCTGCGCTCCTCGGTTATCCAGAAGTACAAGTCCAACCCAAACTTTACCACACTGGTAGATGCCATTGAGCTGGTAAGATCAACATCCTTTACACAAATAGACTACATTAGGATGAAATTTGTTGCACCCAAACAGGTCTGTATCTCATGGGTTATGTTAAAGTGTGGCACACAGATCAGTCAGCACAGAATATATCTCTTCAATTCAGATCTCACCACAATTTGTCAAAGGACATCAGGAATCTGAACCTAGCAGAAAAGAATAGACCTACATTAATTAGAACCATTTGGTCAAAAAATAAGGCAAAAAATCTCCCAAAAGCTGGAAGAGGCCAGAAAACCATCAGCTGGATTTCAGCTGAATGAAGTATTTCTACAATTTTTTTTACGAGAAGAAGAAGTAAAAACATTTTAACAACATCTGGAGAGATCACCAAAACTTCCCAGATGTTGATAGATGATTGTGAGGCAAGATTTCCATGCTGAATCATACTTTTTGGGGAAAATATCTTATAGAAAGACAGTGAGCTGCCTCAGCAAGGGAGAATTCTTCTAAAGCTAAAACATCAGTTGACATAAAATATTCAGGAATACAAAATAAACAGGGTGCTGACCCTGCGATAGAAGGAACTGGGCCATCTAATGCCCCTTACAAAAAAAAAAAAACACCAACAGGCAGGAATAAAGCTTCTTTCAGCTTGTCACAGACTCTGCATCAAACTTACATCATCAAAACAAAACACTACATCATTGCACCATATTTATTTAATCCTCTGAACTTACATATCAATGTGGGTTTTTTTGCACCATGTCTGTTTTCTCCCACACTGTTTTTATTTTTACCGTTTTTAAGAAATGGAAATGTCATGAGAGTTGTACAAAACAAAATTTCTCTTTATATGCACTCTGTGTATACAAAATAACAATAAAAGTTGGCTGAGTCTTTTTAAATACATTTTGAGGAATGAATGGGTCGAGGGGCTTCAAATCTCAATCAACTCTCTTACATCCTTTCTTGACTGCTACTGCAAAGACAACTGAGAAGATAAAATAAAAAAATGTTTATTGAAACAGGCCTGTTTTGATAGAGAAAATGATATCTATAGATTCAACAATAAGAAAACTGGCTTGAGAACTTCCCCTCCACCACTATTACAGTCTTACCATGAGACTGACATAGGCTTGTCCCGATCCGATCCACGTATCGGATCGGACGCCGACATTGGCAAAAAAATGCGTATCGGCAAAGCATGTAAAACTGCCGATCCAGACTGCCGATCCAGTTAAAAAAAAAAAATCCGGTCCGTATTTTCCAGTTTCGTTGATTGAAACAATCCATTCCACTGTTTTGCGCCAGTGTTCCCCGACCGGGCCGTATTTTCCAGAACACCTTCAACACACCCACAGGTCTTTTTGGGTCTGTCTCCCGGCCTAACCATTAAAACAGGTGAATTGGAAGATAGCGGGGAAAATGTCAGCCGTGTGGGATTATTTTATCCTGCACGATGTGTAGATGGAGACTAGGTGTGGAGGACATTGGGGAGTATAAGGCATTTTTGTTTAACTATTATTTGCACAGATTTTTTTTTAAGCAGTGTCTTTTTTTCAAGAGTAGAGTCCTGATTCTAAGTTAATAGACTATTTTCCACTCCTGTCTGTTTTGCATTTTTATTAAAACTTACAGTAATACTTGCACCTTTAACTGTTTACGGTTTTACTGTTCACTGTGCAATATTAGATGGCTATTCATAATTTTGTCCAGTTTGTGTTTATCTCTTAATAAACAGGTACGTTTGTTGTTACCAATCATTGTGTTTTATTCAATCTCACCTAATTCAGCTGGCTAGATGTTATCAAGAGTACTAAAACCCTTTTCAACATGAGTCCTACAACTAAGGCTAAATACTTTAACTTAAACTTAAATACATGCTCGGATAGGCTGGTATCGGCCAGTATCGGTATCGGATCGGAAGTGCAAAAACCTGGATCGGGACATCTCTAGACTGACATTGATGCAATACCCTCTATATGTGTAGTAGGATGTGTAGTAGGACTTGTGATAAAAGAATGTCCTTTGAGAGCTCAGTTCTATCTTTTTTACAGGTTTATAATGGAAATGATCTCGCATGTAATCACTCATTTTAACTTGGCAGCAGCTGTTAGAGCAGTGAAATAGTTCCCTTGTTTACTGATGCACAGGATCGTCTTAATCTTATTTTTGACAATGTACCTCATGTTGCACCCTGCACTGATCTATGGGTGGATCACAAAAAAATTGTCTTTTACCTCTATTGTCTATTGTGTTACAGGAGTTACCAGAAAATGAACACCTACATCCTCCACTCAGTATAACAGTTGTTGACTGGCGGGCATTTGGCCGCAGCACACTAGTTGGAAACCACATTATCAACAACCTCAAGGCCTTCACATGCACTGCTCTGCCTCCTCCTCCTCCTCCTCTAGTTCAGTTACCCAACCCTCCTCAGGTCACGCTAACCCCAAGACCTTCTCTGACCCCAGAGCCACATGGAGTTGAGGGTAATGGCCGTCTGTAATGATATACTTTGTTTACTGAGAGCTGTCAAAGCAGTTTGGGCCTTCCAGTTTTCTGGTGTGGTGTAAAATAAAAGGTCAAGGTGACCAGCAGTTTAACTAAATACATAAAATGCTGAAAAACCTGTTTGATTTCTTACTTAACAAACCTGTAGTGCTTGTTAAAGTACAACCTAAAAGTAAGTAAACATTCCTAGATGTAAGTGGAATTGCCTTTCATTTGAGCAGGTGAGTGAAATTACCTGACAATGAAATAAGTACTTAGAACCTAAAATAAGTTAAATGTCTTAAGACATATATTTGACATTCAAAGAGGTTAAAAAACACACTGTGATATATATATATATATATATATATATATATATATATATATATATATATATATATATATATATATATATATATATATATATATATATATATATATATATATATATATATATATATATATATATATATATATATATATATATATATATGTGTATGTATGTATGTATAAAGATATAGAAACTTTTTTTTTAAATAGTTACTTGAGTTATAGAAGGTTGTAAACAAAAAAGACCTTAAAGAACAGGTCAGATTTTTACTGTAGAAAAAAAGCAAATTATTAAAGATAAAAACAAAAGAAATACAACTTAAAAAAAGAAACCAGCAATACCGCAACACTGCCCAAAAAAATAACATCTAGTGAACCGTAAGGCTTAAATTGAGTTGCATTTGACTTAAAGTCATTTTTCTTTCCTAAAGAAGAGTGGAAATAAATTTTTTCATGGTTATTTAAATGAATCCACTCAAAAAAGTTTGGAAACAAAGGTGTCAAATGAAAAAGCAACCTAGGTATTTACAGATCTATGAGGCAACCCCGATTAGTTGAACATCACATAGTTAGCGATATGTATAACCATTAGAATGTGCAAAATAAATAAAAATGTACAAAATACATGCTGAAAACAAAATCTATCCTAGAAAGAATAACAACACAGTGAGCTGTCTATAATGCCTGACAGTAGGCTACTCTATGCTTGACAGTAAGATGTAATTATTGGACAGAACTCGACTGGGTGGATCTGAAGTGATTCTTGACCAATATAACTGGATATTAATGATATCAGTGCCTCCAAATTTGTATAAATAGACCTGAAATGAGCTGCGGTTGACAGGGCTGTCCCAGGATGCTATGGAGACCTGCTCGACAGTGGCCCTCACCAATCAGGACTTCCTAATTACTGTGGAGGACGAAGCTTCTCCAGCTCCAGCTCCACCTACACCACAACCAGAACCTAAAAGAAAGAAGGTAATATTCACACAATAAAAAGTTTGACTTATATCACATTTACTGACTAACATTTGTTTTGTCTTTATGATTATATAATTTCCACACAGGAGAGAATCTCAAAGAGCATCCACAGATCCACCAAGAGGAAGAGGCGGACAATTGCGGATGAATCTGCAGAGTCTGTTATTGACTGGTGGTCCAAATACTTTGCATCTGTAGACAAACAAGTAACTGAATATTCTGTTTTGTGCAGAAACAGTGGTCTGGTAGTTTTAGGAGACTTCAACATGTGCTGTTCTCTTTATTTCAGGCAGCCCAGAAGACAAGCTTTGAACTACCAAACGCGTTTGAGAAAGGTAAATAATTCTCATCTGAGGTTAAAAGGAATGCGCTGTCCTAGTTGATCTGTTTTATGTTGCCAAGACAGGCCCCAATAACTAACATGAACAAACTGAAATATTCAAACCAGCCAAGTGCTGTTCCCTTAATTCATATAAAACGTCAAAGAGTTTCAATTTAAATTGAATTCAGTTTATTTCTATAACGCCAATTCACAACACATCATCTCAAGGCCCTTTACAGTTCACCAGATCATCCAGTCAGATTTATCCTGTTATCTATCTAAGGAAAACCAGTTGATTGCATCGACCTATTGACTCTTCAGCAATCCCTCACACTAAGCATGCTTGTAGCGACAGTGGAGAGGAAAAACTCCCTTTTAACAGGAAGAAACCTCCAGCAGAACCAGGCTCAGTGTGAGCGACCATCTGCTGAGGCCGACTGGGGTTCAAGGAGACAGAAGCAGACATAGAAAAAAGAGGCAGAGATAAAGGGCAACTGTAAACCAGTCCCTGTCCAGGAAAAACACAGCCAGGCAGACGAGCTCAGAGCCAGCTCGCATGTCAGAGGATGAAGAGAGCACATCCAGCCAGTCACAGTCAGTGAAACAGGTCTACACTGAAAAACAGGCCGAGCTCTAACTTCTATAAACAAAAGGGTTGATGGCTTCTGTACCTTTGTTTGCTTAAGAGATCCTGCTGATTCCAATTTAAATGGGTCAGATTGCACAGGGCCTGAGCATGCATGGTAGCAGTTAATGACATTAAACCTGTTGACCTTGTTCTTAAAAACAATCCTTATCTAAGCTTAGCACAGACCAAAGACATCCTATCATGGAAACAGTAATCCATGGTAGTTGTGGCCCATCAAAGCAGCAAAATACCTCCCTATCAATAAGCAAAAATGGTTCAGGATTGGTTTTATACTTCCCAAGAATAAGTTTAAGCTGTTGATTTTAAGTTACATTTTCTAGATCCTAGTTTAGTTGAGAAACATTCAGAAATGTGCCTTTATAGGAGGTCTTTTCAGGGGTCTGGTAGAGTCTGTATTCTGACGCTTGGCAGCAAGGCAGGGACGATTTCACATCAAGCAGGGCGTTGTGATATTGTAAATCACAGATTTACAGAAACATTTAGTTCCATTTGGGAATAATAAAGTATTTCTGAATGCTGATCTGAATATTGTCCATTTCCCTCATGAGTTGAATAAGCTTAAGTGGATTAAAGTGTATATTTAAAGGGTTTTCCTGCCACTGAATAATTTTGTTGGGAAATGTATTGCTTGTGAAATCTTTTCTTCTACCTTTATTTTCTGTATTGATATTAGATTATTGTTTTATCATAACTAAGTCCCTGGGTCAAACAGGATGCGAGACATTTTTGATCATTTATAAATAAATGTCAAACACCAAAGACGCCTCAAGGAAACTATCATAAAGTTAAGCATTGTTAATAAAGGAAGGGTGTCGTGTTTTTGAGCTCACACTTATATCTGATGAGGTGAAGGTAAATGTCCCCTGACCGTCATACATTGTTGTGCATTGCAGCTTCACCGTACCACAGCATGCTCAGCGATGGAATAGACACTTTGGGTAAGGATTCGGCTACAGGAGTTGTTGTTAGGGACAAATTCAGCATCTGGTAATTTCACCTCCTGGGGAGTAATCTTCTGCTTGGTCACTGAATGATTTTTGCAGGATTTGGGGACTTTGTGAATCTGTTTGGTTTCTATGGCACAGCTGCAAACAGATGTGACTCCAAGGCTTTTAACTGTTCAATGTGAATAAAATGTACACTCACCGGCCACTTTATTAGGTACACCTGTCCAACTGCTCATTAATACTTAATTTCTAAGCAGCCAATCACATGGCGGCAACTCAGTGCATTTAGGCATGTAGACATGGACAAGACAATCTCCTGCAGTTCAAACCGAGCATCAGTATGGGAAAGAAAGGTGATTTGAGTGACTTTGAACGTGGCATGATTGTTGGTGCCAGAAGGGCTGGTCTGAGTATTTCAGAAACTGCTGATCTACTGGGATTTTCACGCACAACCATCTCTAGGGTTTACAGAGAATGGTCCGAAAAAGAAAAAACATCCAGTGAGCGGCAGTTCTGTGGGCGGAAATGCCTTGTTGATGCCAGAGGTCAGAGGAGAATGGCCAGACTGGTTCGAGCTGATAGAAGGGCAACGGTGACTCAAATAACCACCCGTTACAACCAAGGTGGGCAGAAGAGAATCTCTGAACGCACAGTACGTCGAACTTTGAGGCAGATGGGCTACAGCAGCAGAAGACCACACCGGGTGCCACTCCTTTCAGCTAAGAACAGGAAACTGAGGCTACAATTTGCACAAGCTCATCGAAATCGGACAATAGAAGATTGGAAAAACGTTGCCTGGTCTGATGAGCCTCGATTTCTGCTGCGACATTCGGATGGTAGGGTCAGAAATTGGCGTCTACAACATGAAAGCATGGACCCATCCTGCCTTGTATCAACGGTTCAGGCTGGTGGTGGTGGTGTCATGGTGTGGGGAATATTTTTAGGGCACTCTTTGGGCCCCTTGGTACCAATTGAGCATCGTTGCAACGCCACAGCCTACCTGAGTATTGTTGCTGACCATGTCCATCCCTTTATGACCACAATGTACCCAACTTCTGATGGCTACTTTCAGCAGGATAATGCGCCATGTCATAAAGCTGGAATCATCTCAGACTGGTTTCTTGAACATGACAATGAGTTCACTGTACTCAAATGGCCTCCACTTTGGGATGTGGTGGAACGGGAGATTCGCATCATGGATGTGCAGCCGACAAATCTGCGGCAACTGTGTGATGCCATCATGTCAATATGGACCAAACTCCCTGATGAATGCTTCCAGCACCTTGTTGAATTTATGCCATGAAGAATTGAAACAGTTCTGAAGTCAAAAGGGGGTCCAACCCGTTACTAGCATGGGGTACCTAATAAAGTGGCCGGTGAGTGTATGTGGTTCTGTCGCTGAACAATCTGCTCTATATCTGTAGCTGTCGAGGCAGTTCTTTTGCCAACGTGAACAAATATTGTTTAATTTTGTGCTTCCACTGGAAAGGGCGAGTTGGATTAAGTCTTAGAGACGGCTGGCTGGTCTAAGAATGAGACATAATGCATGTGATCGCAGAAATGCTTTGTTTAATGTGTTCTGTATCAATCTTTCCTTCCTAACGTTTGCTGTGCTTTCCCACAGTCGGCAGCCAGTCAGATGGAGACAAGAAGAAGAAACAGAAAGGAAAGGGGACGCTGGAGCTCCCTACTGGCTTACCTACTAAAATAGTGACACTCCAGGTAACAAGTTAGGAAAGCAATGCATCAAGTTAGCTTTACGTTTCTGTGCAGAACAGGGGTTCCCAAAGTGAGGTTTAGGATCCCTTGGGGGCCTTGAGGCAGCAAGATGATTTTCACAATCATTAAAATGTCATCTCTAAACTATATGGAGGGCCAAAAATAGATCATGAAATAAAAAATGTACCATGGAAAAATCAGATATAACATTTATTTATTTGTCTAATTCATGATTGAAATATTAAATATATAACTAAATTATAAAATTCACATTTAAATAATTAAATGCCTCATTAAATGATAAAACTGACACTGAATGTTATTGAATGTTATTAGAGAATATATTTTTTAACAATCTTATTACCTCCCTATTTATAAATAAGTTCAATGTTAAATAACAATATGTATTTTTAGGTTCCTAGTATATAGCACTGTTATTTTTAAAGATTACAGGCTGACATTTTTGGGAACCGCTGGTGTAGAACAGCAATAAACCTAGAAAAAACAGCAGCTACTTATGAAGACAACCGAAGGGTCCATAACGTGGTAATGTAGGTCAGGGATCTTTAACAGTTTTCAATCCGTGGCTGGAGAGACGGTGCAAAGATCCCCTCCCCATGACTGGGTGGTGTTAGTGAGACGGTGGGTGTGGTCTTGTCACCATGCCTCTGACTGATGTTGGACCCTGGCAACATGGTGAGGCAGATACGTCTTTGGCCTATTTGTCAGCGTGAATGACTTTCACATGGGAGTTAAGGGAATAAATTCTGCCTGGGCCCTCTTCTTGCTGCATTTACATTGAAATTTTTTGTTTTTACTGTTTCACAAGTTGCTTTTGGATTTAGGCATGTTTCCATTTTCCTTCTTTTTTATTTTATTTTTGAGTAACTTTTGACCAAAAAATAGATTTAATTTATATTCAAGGATTTTTTCCTGCCAATATGCAGCACTTGGTGAGGCATTAATGCTCTATGCTGGCAACTCTTCTCAAAAGATCAGCTACATAACGGATCAGGGTTTGATCCGACTCTGAATGAGTCATGTGACCCAGAGCCATTGATCAGTCCCCAGAGCGCCGCTTTATGCCAGTCTGAGCTCTCCGAGAACACCAGAGCTCAGGGACGTCAGCTGACCCAACACTATACAGGGGCACAAAAAAATGCGAGCGTGCAAGGAACACCAGAAAAATATTTTTGCGCAATCATTTATTTTAAAAAAGCATGGGCACAGATAATTAATGCAAGCACGCGAGCAAATATTTTAGAACACTTATTATTATAAAGCGTCATAAATAAATTGTTCAGACAGCAAACATGAACTTGAAAACTGAAAACTTGAAATGTGCAACTGTAAACGGAAAAACAAAAAAACATCTCTACATACATACATGTCTGTGTTTATCATTTCTATCTTGGCCCATACCATGATGGTGTGATGGTGATGATCCTATGAGCTATATGTTAATTTTTTTAACCGTAAACGGAAACGTCTCGGCTGCGTCTCAGCTGTCGATGAATTTGGAGAGTTCTCCTCTCTTAACTCCGCTGTGAGGGCAGAAAATTAATTGATTAAAAAGCTAACTAAAAGTTGTTAATAATAAAACCCCTACTTGATCAGACATATTATTGGTTCTCTGACATAAGATTCAAAATTATGATCATACAGTCATAACTTGACTGTATGATTGACTGTATAAGGGGGGATATGGCCTTGAATTTACAAGGAACTCCATGACTTCTTGATCTGCTAGTCCAAAGTTGTCTGTTATCAGCTTCTGATAGTTATGGATCTAGCGCCCCTAGTGGCTAAAATTTAAAGTATATATAAATATAAAATTTATAGTGTTGCTTTAACCCTTTAAAGCCCAATCCAAGAATAAAACAAAACAGAAAGAAAATAACTTTTTTTTGGTTTGAAGTCCTTATTTGGCCTTTTAACAAAATATGTAGAAATAAAAAAACAGAAATACATTTTTGATATTAATAATTTATTACTATGCGATAAGTCAAGATTATTTTTTGTGTAGTCCTCTACTGGCTGTTATCAGGTATATCTGATTGTTTACAATAGGATTTTGAGCAAAGTTTTTACCATTAAATTATGCAAAAGGTGTCAGACGCAAAACATTTCAGAAAACGTATGTATCAAATACGATACATTTGGCATTACAGGGTTAAGGATTTACAGAGGTTGTTTTATTTAAACATTTCATGTTCTAAAACACAAAAACTTTAAACTTTATTATTCTTACTGTGACTGATGGAGATCTTATCGGTGCAGCTATACAATAAAGAGCTGGAGGCAGAGTTTGGTGCGTTTGATGATTGGGTCAGCACATATGAACTGTTCAGGGGTAAGGCCAACGAGGAGGAGGGAACATCTGATGAGAGGTTCGTTGGGAAGTTTAAGGTGAGTTCCATCTGCAGGCTCTGCTGTTTTTTTCGATTTTCTCGACATGCCTTAACCTGTATCTTTATTCTGCTCCATTAGGGTCGATTCTGCCTCTATAAGATAAGTGATGATGAAGCAGAGGATGAAGAGGATTTCATCGACTTAGGCCACTTCAGGGTGAACAGAGGAATCCCTCAGAACATTTCTGTACAAGTTCTCATCCGGGTTTACATCGTCTCAGTGAGTTCATCTCAGTCCTGTCGGTTGTTTTAAAATGACAAGCGGTTGCATACTGCTTTTAAATCCCTGTATTCTTCCCAGGCGTCCAACCTGCATCCAGCGGATCCAGATGGGAAGGCTGACCCTTATATTTTACTTCGCCTTGGGAAAAATGAAATCAAAGACAGAGATAACTACATTCCCAAACAGCTAAACCCTGTTTTTGGAAGGTAAATAATTAATCTATTGTATATCTGAACATGTTCCATTAGACTTGTGTTTTGACTGATCTCTCTTTCAGATCTTTTGAGATGCAGGCCACGTTTCCTCAGGAGTCTCTGCTGTCGGTGCTGATTTACGACTATGACCTGGTAGGAGGTGATGACCTGATTGGAGAGACTCGCATTGATCTGGAGAACCGATTCTACAGCAAACACAGAGCCACATGTGGACTCCCCACTGAGTACAGCCTGTAAGTTCAAGGGTTTTCCTGGCTGGTAAATCAAAAGATTGATTTAAGGTTGAAGAAAATATGTACTTAATATTGTACAGTAGGAAAACACAAGAAAGCTTTTAATCGGAATAGAATACTGTCAAATGTCTCATTAACTGTACCCCATACTTTAAAGGGGTGGACCCACAACATTACTGGATTACTGGATCTACTCAGACAGAGCAGTAGAGACTTTTTCCATTCTTTTTTATTTATATTTCCCCCTGACAACTGTCAGGTAAAAACCTTAGGAAAGACAGGATGGTTAGTGAACACATAAGATTCAGGAAACACATAACCTATAAATGGCTTCAGAATAATTAAACCAGTCTAATCACCATATATGCATGACAGTTTTACTAAATGTACCACAATATTGCACCTCGCCCAGACATTTAGCCATAAATACCACACAATATAACCTCATAAAGCACAACATAAGTACACATATCCCAAAAATTATTTACATCACTGCAGCTATTTTCAAATTGAGGTGTACAAAGTAACAGAGGAAGAAATCACATGACACTAAATTAAACACAGCAGCAGCAGTAAGATCCTAGATAGCAGTCAGATTTCTCTTCAGTTTTTTGACAGTGGGTTCTCAGTTCTCTGCAGTTAGTTTGCAGCATTAATCTCTCACACAACTTGCAAGATTAGCAGCTGCCTTCCTAGATGTAATTTATCCCTACAGCACTGCCTATCAGGCAAAGCACTTCAGGTGTGCACACAGCAATAGCCCCGCCCTGGGGTGCCACCATTCAAAAGGTCTATGCAACAAATACAATAGAATAGAACAGAACAGAAATACGTTTTATTGTCTCACAATAGAGAAATTTACATACAGTGGTAATGTAAATAGGAATAATATAGTGTACATGAAACACAAGGCCAAAAATATGAAAAAGGTACCAAGGTTATCGGAAGTCCTATTTATAGTCCACAACAAGCCATTTAGGGGACCCACCAGATCAGACTGAAACAGATTTTTGATTTTTTTTGTGGTGAAAAGCTCTGACTACCCATTATCCTGAACCAGCATCAGCAATAAGGATGCATCATGCTCTGGGGATGTTTTACTTCACCGAGAAAAGGGAAGCTTTTCAAAGATGATAGGTAGTGTCGTGGGAAAAAAAGTATTTCAACTATTCATCCTAGTTTAAATAAACGGAGATCGATGGATTTCACTCAGTCGGCACATTTATTCATATGTTTGCAAAGAGTTCATCACGAAGCCCTCATGGCACAGCATTCTGCCCTGTTCTGATCTGGACAGCGTTCATTCCCCCTTTCTTACAACAATGGAAAGTAGTAAAAGTCAAAACAAATTACAAACACTTTGGTTAAACAGTAACATGTTATGAATAAACCTTGAGAAAGAATCTGGTTTGTTATGGGAAGAAGATATGTCTGGTCTACAAACACCATCCTGGAGAGAAATGTGTGGCCTTGAGAGAGAAACAGACTGAGTGAAAACTTTTATAGTGAGTAAATAGGATAAATTAATATATAATAGAACAGAGATAAAAATTTTTCCGACAACAGTAGATAAATTGATATAGATATGGGGATCCTAGAGAAAGGGAGGAAGAATTAGATTTCAGTAAAAATTCACATATCAGCACAAAATTAACCCTTAACATAAATCTAGGGTAAAGTTATGTGCTTTAGATGAAAGCAAATTAATTTGCCAGCGGGATGCTTCAAGTATCAACCTGCTTTTTGCAAAGAATGGACAATTATTAAAAAAAAAAAAAATTGATCTACAAATCTGGTAGAGACAATTCCCAAAAAGACTTTTAGGCGTGAATAAGGCGAAGCTATAGGGTGCTTTCAGAAAGTGTTAAATTAAAGAGACTGAATATGAAACCTTACCACTAAAAAATGTAACAAAATGTATTCTGAAGAAATATTTTGTGCTGATTTATTACATAAATCCTGATGAACCATAATGGTAATTTTGAAAAGAATTAAATCTTGCTAAAACAAACCTTATTTCTAACCACAGAGGGGGTTATAATGCCTGGAGAGACTCTCTAAAACCATCGGAGCTGCTGTCAAAAATGTGCAGAGAGAATGGTGTGGATGGTCCTCATTTTAGACCAGGACGCATCACCGTGGCTGACAAAATCTTCACAGGCAAAACAATCTACATGGATGAAGGTAAGAAAGACTCAAACATGTTAAGCATCTTTTTTGAGGGATTTTTTTTGTGTACGAGACGATTGAGAATATAGTATATAAATTATAACACGACAATTTACAACACAAGTAATCTCAAGGCACTTTACAGAGCCAACCGATCCAATCATAGACAGAGTCGTTAAGGTTTTCTATCTAAAGAAACCCAGCTGATTACATTGAGTCATGAATCTGCAGTAGATACTCCTTGCCTTGTGTTTTTGACTCTGCAGCAATTCCTCACACAGATCATCCATGCAGTGACAGTGGAGAGAGAAAATTTCCTTTTAACAGGAGGAAGCATCCAGTAGAACCAGGCTCAGTGAGAGCGGCCACCTGCCGAGGCCGACTGAGGTTCCAGTAGACAAAGGCAGAGATACATAAGGAACATAGAAACACTGATTCATGAACACTTTGTATGTTAGGGAAGCTCATGTTAATAATAGCTTTATAAAGGGCCCTGTCTATGCAAGAAACAGTGAAGCAGATCAGCTCTTAGCCAGTTTTCATCTTAAAAGAAAGCACATACAGGTAATCACAGTAAAAGCTGAGCACATAGCTATGTCTAGGAGAGAAGCAGATAGTTTATCATCAGAGGTGTTAATGGCCGCAGCCCCACTGATATTTCCCTCCAGGATATTGTCACAGCCAAACAGGAACAGGCCGAATGACGTGAAAAATCAGAGAGAAGAGTTAGAGGACAAACTACCAAATACTAGAGAATAGGAGAATAGTGATAGAATGGTTAAAGTGATCAAAGTAATATGGTGATATACCTCACTGACAAGAACTGCCATAACATACTATTGGAGTGCCTCCTAATGAAGTCAGTGTGGGGTTTGTTTTGTTCATATCTCAGGATGAAAATAGCTGTTGAATCATGTAGGAAGACAATTGACATTTTGACAATTATTGGCAAGTGTAGGAATTATCTAAGAACCCGATATGCAACAAGGGTTCAAGACTGGATGGAGGGCCTTCAGCAAACAGAGTCCACTCGCCTTCTCCTTAAATACGTATCTAATATCTATCATGATCAAGATGGCTGGGAACCAAGATGGGTATCTCCTTCATTTGCACCTTTCTACCTTTTTTTGTTAAAAGTTTATCCAACAATTTATGCAACATTTGAGAATAGAAGTACAATACATCAAAGACAGGGAAAGTAGTCCCTGTGTGCTCCAGCAGCTGAAGCCTATAGCTTAATATCCATATAGGTCACTCAGGGTAACCTTAGCCGCTTCAACTATAAGATGTAGAATGAATTATCAATGAGTGTAAATGGACAATCGCAAGAGTTTTCTGAATAGTGTTCACTTACAGTTATATTTAATAGCCAACCATTTTCTGGTGTATCTTCATTATTCTGTGATTGTAATAAATATATTTGCTTGCAGTTGCAGACATTTACCAGCTTTTCATTTTACACTATATTACCAAAGTTTTTCAACATTAAGCTCCCACCTCTACGTCAGTGATGTGTTTCACCACTGATTCCAACTTTTTGGATTGCACCTGGGTCATTCCTTGGAAAGTGTAAAGATTGGACCTCTGAATTTAGAGGTTTTTGATCAAAACCTTTTTTCCTTTTTTTTTGTTTCATAGCCTGTAGAACATGTAACACTTGCGATAAAACATATATTTTTCAAGCTCAGACACCATTTTCTGCAAATATTTTAGCACATTATATCCAGGGAACAGAGTTTCCTTTTCCACCCCGTCACAGGAAAAAGGTTAACAAATTAAAGGGTAATTTTGGATAAAAGAAAGACAAACAAAATGCTATTCACTTCAGAAAGTGTCTTTTTTATTCAGAAAAACCAATAGTGTGTTCAAAGTGTTTTTTTTTTTATGTTTTTATGTGATGTACAGCATTAATTGAAAATGAAGAACGTTGCCAACTATCACAATGATTCCAACCCGTCACACCAAAGCCTGTGACGGGGTGGAAAATCTAAATAAATATGCCTCAATTTCTGGACATGTTAAAACCTGATGGTGCCGTCAGCATTGAAGTACAATGATAAATGAATGATTAATACAAATATAATTTCAAAATTTTATTAACAAATTGTTTTCCCCACTTGTGTGTGACAGGGTGGATATGCTATGGTTAACAGAAAGGATTTTGAAGGAAAAATGTACCAAAAATGTGCTTCCATGTTTGGACTTCTCTTCTTCAAACTCTTGAATGATGTCACTTCATGTTAGTGATGTCACTTCTAGGAAGTGTATTGCGTTTTGGTGCAAAATAACATTGGTGTGACGGGGTGGAATATGAAATTGATGGACATAGAAAAATCATGCTATTTCAATAAAAAAAATATGACATTTTAATATAATTAACACATTTCCTATTAAGAGGAAAGTATTTCTAACCATAACAACAAAACATTTTTGAGATTTATTTCATATTTCTTAAGTTTTACATTACACAAATGAGAAAAATGGTCACAGCAGACATGAGAGAATGATTGCAGTTTAACATAAAAAGTTATAAATGTGCAAAATTTATTATTCAATTTTTTTGACCACATGCTACCAACTAAACTTGAATCAATGCCTTTAGACACTTATTACTGACACAGTACAAAGATACTGTATTACTGACAGATTTATTATGCTTCCTATTCCTCTTTAAATGTTGTGGACCCAAACTTAACAGTTTTTATGGAATGACCCACTTACATCCATTTCCTCATCATGGAAACCTAGGTGACAAAGCTCTTTCAATATGATTTATGATAATCTAAATCTTATAATAATCTGCAGAAATGTGACATCTGTACAGCATACATTCAGCATTTCTTGATCTTTTCCTGAGCTGTAACATGGTCTACCAATTATTATTTGATCATTTGTTTTAATTACTTTCACTTTATAGCAACTCAAAACACTTTTGACTGTAATAAGTAGCAATGAAATATTTTTGACCGACTTTAATTCACAGTCATTGCATTACCATGCAGGAATTTACTGAGCACCTGAGGTCAAGCAATTCTTTAACAGTTTTTTATAGCAACAGTCTACATGCGTCACTGTTTTTATACTTTGTGATCTTATACACCTTCTGAAATTGGGGTGTTTAGAATTTTAGTTACTGGGATGTATTAGTGAATCCTTTACCAATATGTTGCAAAAGTCTTTTCTCATACTATTATATTTACTATTCATATCTATGTGTTGTTTGTGTTTGTGCATGTCTTAGATGAGCCGGTGGAGTCCTATGAGCACCTGTCCCTCAAAGTCCTGCATCGCTGGGCTGAGATCCCAGCTGTGGGATGCAAACTAGTACCAGAACACATTGAGACAAGAACTCTTTACAACAAGGCACGGCCTGGAATGGATCAGGTATTTATCACTTCCCAGCACCTGAAGATTTCACTGTGTTTAGAGAGTCAAATCTCCTCTTTCCACTTCATAGATATTTATCCCTGTTTTGGTCTTTATCATAAAATTCCCCTAAGAATGCAGAGTTGTGCAGATATAATGTGCAAAAATGTGAAAATTTTATATATACTTGGCGAACACTTAACAGGAGTTTGCCCTGCAATCGGAGGGTTGTCGGTTCAAGCCCTAGCTCTGGCTTTCAGTGACGTTGTGTCCTTGGACAAGATATTTCACCTGCATTGTCTACTGATGGTGGTCAGAGAAGGTGGCGCCAGTGTCCAGCAGCCTCGCTTCTGTCAGTGAGCCCTAGGGCAGCTGTGGCTACAATGTAGTTTGCCTTAATCAGTGTGTGCGTTAATGTTTGAATGACTGAATGTAGTGTAAAGAGCTTTGGTCAAGTCTCCTGACTTGAGAAAACAACATTTACCATTTACTTTTGCAAAACTATTCTAATCCCTTAAACCAAACAACTTTTGACATGAAGAATGTTGTTAACTTCTGAATGTCTCAGCAAAATATCTGTTTATTAAAGTAATGAACAAAAAGGCAATAAAAAAAAGTTGTAAGAAAAAGAAAATATTGAAGTTTGACTGCAGTCATCTTGTTTCAAAAGCACCAATATTGCATATTATAGGAGTCAGTTTGGAATGTAATAAATTCATTTATTACTCTTTTAAAATTAGGGAAACAAAGAATTTCACCTGAGATAACTGAGATGATCTGTTTCCTAAAATGTATTTCATGTATCATGGGATTTTACAAAATACTGAACACTATCCAGATCAAATGGAGACATGCTGCAGCTGCCAATCATAGTTATTTTAGTTCTATACTCAGAGCTATGCAGACGTCAAACACTGAAACATTAGTCAAACAGAAAGCAACAGCATTACCATTATTGACTGACTACTGGAAAATATTTCTCAAATGTACTTAGAATGACAGTTTATTTGAGGATCTGTACAACTAGATTGTTTTTTTTTTAAAGTAAGAATATTGATCGTTTTAATTATAACTGGAGAAATTGACATGTAGGACCAGTACAAGGCAGCAGGTCTAGGTTAGATCAGCTAATACTGAAGGCCCTCACCTACCAGCCCTCTCAGATTTGCCAGCACCTCTTAGCCTGACCCAGTAGATGGTTCCAGTGCAGTGGAAAACATCTGGCCTTGAATATAAAAGCTAACCTATTCAATTCAGTTTATTTCTATAGCGCCAAATTCATAACACATGTCATCTCAAGGCACTTTACAGTTCAACCAGATCATACAGTCAAATTGATTCAAAGTTTTCTATCTAAGGAAAACCAGTTGATTGCATTGACTCATTGACTCAAATACAATCCCTCACACTAAACATGCTTGTAGTGACAGTGGAGAGGAAAAACTCCCTTTTAACAGAAAGAAACCTTCAGCAGAACCAGGCTCAGTGTGAGCGGCCATCTGCTGAGGCCGACTGGGGTTTAAGGAGACAGAAGCAGAGACACAAAGGCAGCTACAAAAGGCGACCTATACGTCTTCAATGATCACTGATCTGCTATTTTACATAATTCATGATATAAGGCTTACCCAGTGATCACACTATTCACACTGTGCAGGAAAGCACCATGGATACATTTAGGATCCATTCATTGATGCGGACAGCAGCACCCCATCTTGGTTTGAAGCTTATCAAATCTGTCATCTTTGCATTCCTGAATTCCTTACTGGCTCATATGGACTTTTGATGTTGAGATACTTTATGCATCCGCCAAAAAAACAAACCCGGGGTTAGCCAAACTTCCAATTTTGGCAATATCAGATAAAAGTAAATATAGGGTCAACATGAAAACCAATGTTTCTAAATCATTAAGTTTGACTCCCATTAGACTTCTGACCTGGTCTGGGTGGTTGGTACACTGACAACAGGTCTGTAATGTTGCTGTTGCCTCTTTTACAAGACCACAGCTGGTGAAGCGTGAATTTGAAACTGAAACATCAGTCCCATACCAATACCAACTACTAAACTGTATTGACTGAAATGGCTTTTATATGCAAGAGAGAGGAAAAACAGCATGGATGATGGAGTGTGAGTGAACCCATGGTTTTAAGGATCCTGTTGCCCAAAAACACGTCCCTTTCAGGACCTCCTGCTGTTTTCTTAACATCATTGAGCTGGAGGTTCAGGTGTTGTTAATAAAATTTAATCTCGATAAGCCCAAGGACATTTTGGGAAAATATTTGGTGGACTGACAAGTTAGAGGAAAAGATTTGAAGGTGTTTGTCATTTTCCATCTACTGTAGAACTAACAGAGAACTTTAGAAATGAGCATTATACCAACGGTCAGACGATGGCGTTAGCCTGATGGTCTGAGGCAGCCTTGCTCTGTCTAGACCTGTACAACTTGAAATGAACTATTAAGTCAAATATTTTCCTCTCTAGCAGAAAATCATAAAGTGGAATCTCAGTTAAGGAGTTTTAAGGTAAAGCACCCTTAGGTTGCAGAGCAGGCAATGATCCAATGTACACTGCCCAGTCCACCTCTCTATGGCTATAGAAATACTGCAGAATTTGAAATATTCAGCAAACGAAAGTGGGGCCATAATTTACCGCAGTGAGAAAATAAATCATGGTTGATAAAATCATGAAAAGAAGAAATCTGCTTTTTATAATAGTAGCAGGTTGGTAAATACATTTTCTTCTTTAAGAGATAAAATCCTTTACTCCATTACTCAGTTTATTGTAGTCTGTTATTTTATTTGATTGATTAATTGAAATATTCAAACCTGAAAGAAACATAAACTAAAAACAGGAGGAATTTGTAGTTATTTTTCTAAACATGTATCAAGTTACCATTTCAATCCACATTGTTATATGAAAATAATTTTATTTTGTACAAAATGTCTGACTAAAGTGTTTTTTTTAAGTGGACTGAACTGAAAGTAGCAAAATTAGGATTTCACTGTTAAACATTAACCACTAACCGCTGAAGACAGAGATAAAATGAGCTTTACTTCTTCCAAATTAATTGTTTTGTTTGTAATGAGTGCGCTCCATTATGATGTCTTAGGTCCTAAAAACAAAACTCCCTTTTTTTGTGTTTGTGTGCAGGGTCAGGTCCAGATGTGGGTGGATATGTTTCCAATGGATTTACCTCATCCAGGACCCCCAGTGGATATTTCACCCAGAAAACCCAAAGGGTAACCTTTGACTGTCTCCTATTACCTGACGTCTGTCTCGGTTTGTTAGGGGAAGCAACAATAACCTAAACATCTGTTTCCAGGTATGAGCTGCGCATCATCATCTGGAACACAGAAGATGTGATCCTTGAAGACTCGAACTTCCTGACGGGTCAACAGTCCAGTGACATCTATATCAAAGGGTACAAATACATTTATGCTGCGTATTTCATGGCGTTGACTTAGAGCCAATGCAGCCTAATGTCAGGCTATTACTGCCAATTAAGCCCTTTGATAGAAAGGCTGAACAAAGTCTAAGATCTCCAGCAGCCAAAAATATAAAAAAATAAATGAATTGATGTCACTGTACAGATGAGATGCAAAAAAAGTCACTTTGCCTCAAGCATGAGCAGAAATGATGCCACTCTGTCTCAAACCACTGCTCACTGATAGGAGAAATTAGGTGTGTTGTTTACTGGGCAGGCGCTAGGGGTGGGTGTTGGCAGAGAAGTCACGATACGATTCAAATCACAATTCACATGCCACAATGCGATTCTATCACGATGCATCATGATACTTGAAATATTGCGATGCATTGCGATATTTTCACTGAACACTGTAAGAAAAAGATACAGCCCTTACCAGTGGCTGACTGGCTGGGTATGATCTGGATAGTGTCTTCAATTGATACATAACTAAAAGCAACTGAATCCATACATAACTGTATTTATTATAATGACTTTTGGAGGTGTTACCATGAAAACAAATACTGGACAGAAATATTACTATTACTGGTGTGGACACACTGACAAAATGATCTTAGGATTCATCAAACTTAAAATAACAAAATAAGGATAATCAGTGCCGTTTGCATGCCCTCAGTGGTCCTTTAAACCAATGAAATGAAAACATTCAAATGTATGACATTTCACCTTTTGCAAATGATGTGCGTCATATCAATTTCGTTTTTACCTTCTTTGTTTTTAAAGCCAAAATGCATCCAAGCATCTGACTTGAAATGTGATGGAGCCGCGGGGTGAATTTTCATAGTGTCCTCCATGTTTTATTTCATATGACTCCACGGCCGGAAATGCTTGTGACACAAAGCAGCAGGCGTCAACACATCCGCAGCAACATCTGCTGGACTGGAAGTTGTATTCCACTTGGTTTGGCTGATGTGCGCCAACCATTCATGTATTTTATTTGTTCTTTTTTTTTTTATAATCGATTCTTGCCTTCAAGAATCGATGCAGTAGATCACAAAAATTAGAATCGTCATGACAATTATTTTTCACACCCTTAGCAGGCGCAGTGTTAACAAGGTAGGTGCTTCTTGGAGGATAATCATCACTGCTCTGCAGAAAACAGTGCAGAAACAGTTTTTACACGTCACCTAGGAAGTGCTGCTGAAAGAGCAGAATTCAGGAAGAACACTCAGACAGGCATGAATTAAGCAATATACCATGCTGGAGATGATTTTGATATAATGAAGCTCACCTTCACTGTGTTATTATGACATTAAAAAGCTTAAAGACGTGGATTTTGCTTGATATAGACCCTTAAATTTATTGTCCAACCAAAGACTCTCATTGGTCCTCAGACTGTTATTTGGTCTGGGCCGTTCTAAGACATGACGGCTGTGGTTTAAGTTTCTATTGTAGCTCTGGCTATACGTTTGCAGTCATTGTCATACTGGAAGGTGATTCTTTGAGTCTTTTGCAGAACTCAACAGGATTTTTTCAGTTGTCCTGATTGTCATGTATGTAATGTTAATCTATGCAAGTAAGATTATGTACGAGATGGTCATGGATTAATATATTGTATTTTACATTTCTAAAAGTACTGCACTGGATGTTATGTAGCTGTATCGGAGTAACTGGGCTACATACAAACACAGCATAGTTTTCAGGCCAACTATTCCCTTTAATGACACCCCCTTCAGAGACATAGACAGGTATTGGGCATTGTAGGTCAACAAAAGAAGCTAAACGACCCCCATTCCAAAGGGGTGGACCCCTTCGTCTGTTTCAATTTGCATGTTTTCCAAGTAAAAAGCAGGCTTTGTTGGGCTGCCGCATAGAGCATTAAACTCAACGCTCTTTATGACAGCTTCTTGGATGGGAAGCGAAATGTCTTCAAACTTTGAAACAAAGTCCAGTGGATTGTTTTTGAATTTTTTTTTGGAATGACTATGACCTGGATGACTGGGAATCTTCACCAGCATTTTTCAAGAGTAGGGACCATAGGTCTCCTTTTTCTTTATCTTTTTTAAAAACATTTTTATTACACTAAATCTTAACAAAATACATAAGTAACTTTACCACATTTGAGTAAATTCCAAATGCAGAGTATTGTACTACTTATTGTCTGGTTCTTTATCAGTTTTACTCACTTAGTACAAGTTGTGTTGGTTTCCTATTAGAACTAGTGAAGTGAGCTCTGCTGCTGTTCTCTCTTTATTTAAAGTTGGCTGAAAGGTTTAGAAGATGACCGACAGGAAACTGACGTCCACTACAACTCTCTGACCGGAGAAGGAAACTTCAACTGGCGCTTCGTATTCCCCTTTAGCTACCTGCCTGCTGAAAAGGTACAGGCAGAATAGATTGTGCTGTTTTATCTAGAGTTGTGAGATTAAATGAACCTAGAATCAAACACTAATGTCAGCTGTACTTTCCTTGTTCCTCAGGTTGTGGTGGTGAAGAAGAGAGAGCACATTTTCTCCCTGGATAAAACAGAACAGAAGCTTCCAGCCATCCTCATCCTGCAGGTTTGGGACTTTGAGACGCTCTCCTCAGATGACTTCCTAGGTGGGTGTGTAGGACCACTTCTCCATCTGTGTGTGTTTTGGTTTTATGTGTTTGACTGTGGGTGTTTAGGTACGCTGGAGCTGAACCTCCACGGATTTCCCCGTGGAGCGAAAACAGCCAAGTCGTGTAAAGCTGACATGCTGACGGAGGTGACAGACAGAATCTCCATCTTCCAGCACAAGAGAGCTCGAGGCTGGTGGCCTTTCAGCAAGTCTGGAGAGCTCACGGTACCTGCACAAACACACTCATTCTTGTCTTGTCATATGTTGTGAAGACTGCGTGTTTACTTCCGTAGACTTCCATGGATTTTTATCCATTTCTATGCCAAGCATTACCACTGCACACCTAACCCGAACCTTAAAGCATGTCATTGGAAATCCTGCAGGGGAAGGTGGAGGCAGAGTTCCATCTTGTGACGGCTGAAGAGGCTGAGAAAAATCCTGTTGGAAAAGCACGGAAGGAACCAGAACCACTGCCCAAACCAAAGTAAGAATAACAAAGAATGTGTCCTTGTTGATCTACAAAACAGGGTTTGAGATGTTTTGCAAATCATGAAGGTAGACAAATGTGCCTAATTGTTAAAGTTTTACCTGTGAGTGTCGTCATTCCACAATTTTATTGTCAAAAAAAAGGGACAAAAAACAGCTTAATGCCTGAATTTATACCCATCAAAAAATGTATCATTTGTGTTTTTGTTGTAAATCAACAAAAGTTATTTATGCCAACATTGCTTCTATAACTAGTTTAAATTTAGGTATGAAGGGCATTTAAGGATCAGCACAGTTTTCAATGTGTGAACTATTTATTAATACCGTTTTGCTCAAACAAAACCTACTGTTTTGTCAATGCATGTTCTAAACAAGATAGTTGGTTTTTTTTTGTATTTTTTTAAAGTCATCTTAGCATTTCAAATTGAGCCAATTTGTGGAAAGTTGACTCGCTACGCAGCTAAAGATACTGCCAGGCCTTTAATTACAATAATGCTGCGTTCACACCGGGCGCAGCTGGCGCGACAGAAGCAGCGAGTTTACATGCAAAGTCAATGGTTGACGCGCGTCAAGGCGCAGCAAAAGGTCCCGCGGCGCGTTTTGAGCAGCAGGCGCAGCGCGTCTGAGCAGCTGAAGCAGCGCGTCGGGCGCGTTTAAGCATCTGACGCGCGTGACGCGCCGCAAACGCGTTGCTGCTCGAGATGGAAAAATTGAATTTTTGCTGCTCGACGCGCCGCGTCAACCAATCAGAGAAGCTGATCTGGGAGCTGGCTGGGAGAGAGACACAGCGCTGATGACACAGACCGCTCTGATTACTCCTCTTAAACAGTTTATTAACGCATAATTAACTTAAAATATATACATCTGCCGGCATGTTCGCTTTTATTATTCTGGTGCCTGCAGATCGGATTATTTAGATGAAAAACACCTACCAGCCGCCGCGGTAAACCGCGAGGAGGCGACCCGGCCAGAGGCTGCTGATGAAGGGCTTCCTTCTGTCGGCGCACCGCTGGTATGTGGGGGTCTGAGCGGCTCCGACAGAAATAACATTGGGAGGCAGGATGATAATCTGAATGAACTGACTGCACTGATTACGTTTTCAGGTGGACTTTATCACTTAAAAACACATTAAAACAACTTTATTCCCACTGATCACAGCAAATATAGCTGCAAGGCAGAGAAAGGATAGTGAAGCTCCGCCCAACGCGCGTCAGACACACTTTTGCACCGTGCAGCCAGAGCAGCAAAGCTGCTTCAGCCGCGCGTCATAACTAACTGGTACAAGCAGTAAAAATGAAGCAGCAGACGCGATTTTGCTGCTTTTGCTGCATCCGGTCTGAACGTAGCATTAGGAAACAGTGTTTGAAATTGACCTACAATATGTGTTTTTTTTTTTAAATTAGGATTGTCAACTTGTGCTCTGACATGGCTGCAACTACCCAGTTTGATCCCCACAGACTGCCACTCTGGGTCCCTGAGCAAGACCTTTAATCCCACACTGCTCCCCGGGCGCCGCACAATGGCAGCCCACTGCTCCCTAAGGGGATGGGTAAAATTCAAAGAGTGAATTTCCCCATCGTGGGAAAATAAAGGGATTTACATTTTAATTATTAGAATGTTTCAAGTTCACCTAAACACTGTAGTTTCTTTGCTCCAACTCATGTCCTCGAGGGCTGGTATCCTGCAACTCTTAGGCCTCTTCCTGATCCAAATCACCTGAATCAACAGGCTTTATTATCTCCTCTGTTGATTGATTGATTGATTCCGGTGTGATAAAGCTAAGAGTCATATAAAAGCTGCAGGAGCCTGGAGAACTGGATTCTGACATCCCTATTTAAATGGCAATTTTGCCATTTAAATAGAGATGTCAGAAAATCCCTATGGCCAGTGGCAGCTGGTGGATTTAAATTCAAAATAGATATATACCAAAAAACAATCAAAGGTATACCATGTTTGGACATGTTTGACTTCCTGTTTGGATTAACTGAGTGTGCAACTGAGTGTGCAGCTGTTCAGAGGATCTCCATCTGAAGTTAAGTTATTTTCTCTGTGATATCTCTGTATCTAAGTAACTCTAACTGACTACTTTAAAACATAGCACCTTCTGCTGCACTTTTCTACTGAGCACTTGTCAGTTTCACACGGTTTTATTTCTGATAGCAAGAAGTAGCTAGCCTAGGCTAGCGCTAGCTTAGCATTGCTATGGCTTCTCTCTCTCCCCCCCTTGACTCTTTTCCAACTCTTCCTTCTTCCTCTCCTCTCTCCTGCTCTCTGTGTCAGATGTTCAGTTATTCCTCTGCCTCCTTTAGTGATAATGGGATGTGTAATAAGTGTAGTATTTTTGTAGCTTTGGAGGCGAGGGTGTCAGAGTTAGAATCCAGGCTTCAGGCTGTTGAAGTAGGCCCCCCACGTAGCTGTCCTCCAAAAGTGCCTGAGCAGCCAGGCGATTGGGTAACTGTACGCAGAAAGCGTAGTCGTGGATCTCTGCCCACTGGTCACCACCAACCCGTTCACGTTTCTAACCGGTTTTCCCCACTCAGTGACACACCCACTGAGAAGCCCACTCTGGTGATTGGCAGCTCCATAGTCAGAAACGTGGCATTAGAGACACCAGGGACCATAGTCAAATGTTTGCCGGGGGCCAGAACGGGCGACATCAAATCCTACCTGAAACTACTGGCTAAGGATAAGGTTAAATACAGTAAGATTGTTATTCACGCTGGTGGTAATGACACCCGGTTACGCCGATCGGAGGTCACTAAAATTAGTGTTGCTTCGGTGTGTAAGTTTGCCAAAAAAATGTCGGACTCCGTAATTTTCTCTGGTCCCCTCCCTGATCTGACCAGTGATGACATGTTTAGCCGCATGTCGTCATTCAATCGCTGGTTGTCTAGGTGGTGCCCCGAAAACAACGTGGGCTACATTAATAATTGACAATCCTTTTGGGGAAAGCCTGGTCTGATTCGGAGAGACGGCATCCATCCCACTTTGGATGGTGCAGCTCTTCTTTCTAGGAATCTGGCCACATTTATTAGTCCTCCAAAACCCTGACCACCCAGGGTGCAGACCAGGAAGCAGAGTTGTAGTTTAACACACATCTCTGCAGCTTCTCTACTGTTACCCACTCTTTACTCCATCCAGACAGTGTCTTGCCCACGACCAAAATCTAATAAATTAGCAAAGATTCCCAAAGGAGTAAATCATGATAATCTAATTAAAATCAAAATAACTCCAATTGGGGAAAAAGTTAAAACAATTAAATGCGGTCTGTTTAACATAAGATCGCTTTCCTCTAAAAGTCTACTAGTTAATGACTTGATTTGTGATAATCACATTGACTTGTTTTGCCTTACAGAAACCTGGCTGCAGCAAGAGGATTATGTGAGCATAAATGAGGCAACTCCTTCAAGCTATTTAAATTTTCACATCCCCAGAAGTTCTGGGCGAGGAGGAGGAGTAGCAACAATCTTCGAGTCTGACTTACTGATTACTCCCAAAACAATTAATTCCTACAACTCTTTTGAACATTTAACCCTTAATTTCCCTGATCCAAATTTCAAGGAAAACCTCTTCTTTTTGTAACTTTGTATCCTGGTCCTTACTCTGAATTTTTAGATGAGTTTTCAGAGTTCCTTTCTGATTTGGTATTAAATACTGACAGGGTCATCATAGTGGGAGATTTTAACATCCATGCTGACATTGAAGGCGATAGCTTAAGAGCAGCCTTTAATGCTATCTTAGACACTATTGGCTTTGTTCAAAATGTGAATAGTCCCATGCATTCTCATCTTCATACTTTGGATCTTGTGCTGACATACGGCATAGAATGTGAAGAAATAACAGTATTTCCTCACAACCCTGTCCTCTCTGACCACTTTCTAATAACCTTCAGGATTACTTTAACAGAGTTCTCCTCCCCCAAAAGAAGGTTCAATTTTAGTAGATCTTTATCAGATAGTGCAGTTATAAATTTTAAAGAATCTGCTTCACTTTCTCTCTGCTCTGTGTCACTGAGCAGTGCTGCAGAGTGCAAAAGCTTAGCTTATTCCCCTTCACAGGTTGATGATTTTGTTGAGGGGGTTGCTAGTTCTCTGCGTATTGCCTTAGACAACGCAGCTCCTTTGAAAATGAAAACCGTTAAAAATAGAAAGCTTGCTCCTTGGTTTAATGCAGAGCTGCGTACTTTGAAGCAAAATGCTAGGAAACTGGAGAGAAAATATCGCTCCACAGGCCTGCGAGAGTCCTTCCTAGTCTGGAAAAATGGTTTACTGCTGTATAAGAGGACCCTTTGTAAAGCAAGAGCAGCATACTTCTCCTCATTAATAGAGGAGAATAAGAATAATCCTAGATTTCTTTTTAATACAGTTGCCAAACTCACCCAGAGCCATAGCTCTGTTGAACCGTCCATTCCACCTGCTCTTAGCAGCAATGATTTTATGGGATTCTTTATAAATAAGATTGATCTTATTAAAAATAAGATCATAAGCACTCCTCTATCCGCGATTGTACCTGAGGTAGTCATGGAATCTGAACCGGGTTTAGACTGCTTTGATCCAGTTGAACTCTCTGAATTAGCAAAATTATTGTCTTCATCTAAGCCTTCAACTTGTATGTTAGATCCAGTTCCAACCAGGTTATTTAAGGAGGTATTCCCTTTGATCTCCTCCTCCATTTTAGATGTGATTAATCTATCTCTGTTACAGGGATATGTACCTAAAGCTTTTAAGGTTGCAGTAATTAAACCTCTGCTTAAGAAACCGTCTCTTGACCCAGATGACTTGGTCAATTATAGACCTATATCCAATCTTCCTTTCTTATCCAAAATTCTTGAGAAAGTAGTTGCCAAACAAGTTTGCGATCACTTCCACCATAATGAACTTTTTGAAGAGTTTCAGTCTGGCTTTAGAGCTCATCATAGCACTGAAACAGCTCTGGTGAAAGTCACTAATGATATTCTCATGGCCTCAGATAATGGACTTGTATCTGTGCTCGTCCTGTTGGATCTTAGTGCTGCATTTGATACAGTTGACCATAATATTCTTTTAGAAAGACTTGAATATTTTGTTAGAATTAAAGGAACAGCACTAGACTGGTTTAAATCTTATCTATCTGATCGAATTCAGTTTGTTCATGTTAATGATAGATCTTCAACACGCTCAAAGGTTACCTGTGGAGTACCACAGGGATCAGTGCTAGGACCAATTCTCTTTACTTTATACATGCTCCCAATTGGTAGAATTATTAGACAACATGGGATTAATTTCCACTGTTATGCTGATGATACCCAGCTATATCTGTCTATAAATCCAGATGAAGCTAACCCATTACATAGATTACAGGCATGTCTTGAAGACATAAAAACCTGGATGACTCTTAACTTTCTGCTTCTGAATGCAGACAAAACAGAAGTTATAGTCTTTGGACCAGAGTCTCTGAAAAAGAAACTGATTAGCCAGTCACTTCATTTGGATGGGATTAAACTGATTTCAGATAATAAAGTAAAAAATCTTGGTGTTATTTTTGATCAGGACCTGTCATTTAAATCCCATATCAAAGAGGTTTCTAGAATTTCCTTCTTTCATCGGAGGAACATTGCAAAAATTAGAAATATCCTGTCCAGGGGTGATGCTGAGAAACTAGTCCATGCATTTGTTACTTCAAGGCTGGACTATTGTAATTCTTTACTATCAGGAAGTCCACAAACTGTAGTTAAAAGCCTTCAGCTGATCCAAAATGCTGCAGCCAGAGTTCTAATGAAAATGAAAAAGAGAGATCATATCTCTCCTATCCTGGCTTCTCTTCATTGGCTTCCTGTTAAATCAAGAATAGAATTTAAAATCCTCCTTCTCACATATAAAGCCTTAAATGGCCAAGCTCCATCTTATATCAGAGATCTGATTGTTCCTTATGTTCCTAACAGAGCACTTCGCTCTCAATCTGCAGGTTTACTAGTGGTTCCTAGAATTTCTAAAAATAGAATGGGAGGCAGATCTTTTAGTTATCAGGCTCCTCTCCTGTGGAACCAACTACCAGTTTTAGTCCGTGAGGCAGACACCCTGTCTACTTTTAAGGCTAGGCTTAAAACTTTCATTTTTGATAAAGCTTATAGTTAGGGTGGCTCAGGTTATCCTGAGCTATCTCTATAGTTATGCTGCTATAGGCTTAGACTTTTGGAGGACATAGGGACCCCCATTTCATCATTCTGCTTCATTCTCTCTCTGTTCTCCTATTCTGCAGAATCTGTTAGTTCAATCTCTAACCTTCTGCTCTCTCTGCTTTTCCTCAGAGTAGCTTTGCCTCGTCTGTTCCTGTTTGGCTGTGACGTCATCCTGGAAAAAAACATCAGCTGTGCTGCTTCTATCAACACCCTTGTTAATAGATGTTGGAGATCGGCCTGTTTTCCAGTGTGGTCCTGTTTCTCTGACCGTGATTGAGTGGATGTGCTCTCTTCGTCCTCTGGCATGGGAGCTGCCTTGGAGCTCGTCTGCCTGGCTGTGTGTTTCCTGGACGGGGCCGCCTTTTACAGCTGCTTTTTGTATCTCTGCTTCTGTCTCCTTGAACCCCAGTCGGCCTCGGCAGATGGCCGCTCACACTGAGCCTGGTTCTGCTGGAGGTTTCTTCCTGTTAAAAGGGAGTTTTTCCTCTCCACTGTCGCTACAAGCATGCTTAGTGTGGGGGATTGTATTTGAGTCAATGAGTCAATGCAATCAACTGGTTTTCCTTAGATAGAAAACTTTGTATCAATTTGACTGTATGATCTGGTTGAACTGTAAAGTGCCTTGAGATGACATGTGTTGTGAATTTGGCGCTATATAAATAAACTGAATTGAATTGAATGTTATCACACCAGTATACGTACATTCCAAAGACACTTTATCAAAACAAAACATAAATTCATGTACAGGTTTAGTTTTTGTACATACATTTTCTTATGCCCTTCTTAGGCTTTGTGAAGGCAAATCTGGGTTTTGCATGGCCCAATATGGTGGTCAAACCTAAAAAAATAATGTACCAGTTTAATAATGGAGAAGCTATTAGTCAGCTTTATATTTTTTCATATATAAAAACTATTTATTTTCTAAGAATGTGTTTATTTAAAAGCAACTACGCAAATTAACAAACATCTAAAAAAACTACACTACATTCTATTATTTTCCATGTCAATCCCAGATTGTTCATTCTCCTTTGCCTTTTCTAAGAAAAATCAACCATACCTGTCTTTTTGCTGGGTCAGATCCTTACATTTGAAAAAGGATGCAGGAAAAGCAGAATAAAGCATTAGCCTCGCTGCATGCAGTTAGCCAAGCCTTGTAGAGAAACCAGGTCCTGGAAAAAGAACGGGTGTACCGTCCCCATCTGATTAATTTTGATGTTCGGCTGATCAGGTCAAAGGTACCTCAAGCTTCTCTTGGTGAGTTTGCCTAAAGGAATTTAACTTCTGTGACTCAACCTGTCGATCAGCAACACTACGATTGCGATAACAGTTACTGTTAGTAAAAGGTCAAAGATTTTTGCACCCCAGGGCGGAATAACTCAACGAACAACCAAACAGCTTTACTCTCTCGTACTCGTCGTCTCCCGCTTTATCCGGAACCGGGTCGCGGGGGCAGCAGACTAAGCAGAGACTCCCAGACTTCCCTCTCCGCTGACACCTCCTCCAGCTCTGTTGGGGGAAGCACCTAGGCGTTCCCAGGCCAGCCGAGATATATAGTCTCTCCAGCGTGTCCTGGGTCGTCCCCTGGGCCTCCTCCCGGTGGGACGTGCCTGGAACATCTCCTGAGGGAGGCGTCCAGGGGGCATCCGAAGAAGATGTCCGAGCCACCTCAACTTACTCCTCTCAATGTGGAGGAGAACCGGCTCTACACTGAACATCTCCCGAATGACCGAGCTCCTCACCCTATCTCTAAGGGAGAGCCCAGCCACCCTGCGGAAAAAGCTCATTTCAGCCACTTGTATCCAGGATCTCGTTCTTTCGGTCATGATCCAGATTTCATGACCATAGGTGAGGGTAGGAACGTAGACCGAACGGTAAATTGAGAGCTTTGCCTTTTCGCTCAGCTCTCTCTTCACCACGACAGACCAGTGCAGCGTCCGCATTATTGCAGCAGCCGCACCGATCCGTCTATCGATCTCCCGCTCCATTCTTCCCTCACTCGTTAACAGGACCCCAAGATACTTGAACTCCTCCACTTGAGGCAGGGACTCTCCTCCAACCTGAAGGGGACAAGCCACCTTTTTCCGGTCGAGAACCATGGCCTCGGACTTGGAGGAGCTGATTCTCATCCCGGCCGCTTCACACTCATCACAGCTTTACTCATCATTAAAGATTAAATATTAATCTTAAACATCTTAAAAATATATATTAGTACATTTTGTAGAATTTTAATTTTATAATTTGACTTTTATGTCTTAATCAAGGTTATTGGGTGTGTGGGGATGCACCCTAGCGCCCTCTATTGGCCAGCCGCCACTAAAACTGGCCAGTACTTTATTAGCACTTTGTTGCTTTTGTTTTCAAGATAATTTTTACCAATTAACATATGCACTAAACGGATGTTTTATATTTTCATTTGGTAGATTCTTTATATGTGACAGCTTACTGCCAAATCTTATCCCCTTTTCCTTAACATGCACTTAACGTTTGTAATGTTTAGAAACTCCAGTAGCAAATGATTCAGAAACAAACTCATTTCTATAGTCTTTGAACTTGCTTTTGCACCTTTCTCATCTTTTTATTTATACACTTAAGAGTCAGCAGTCTAATCAACCAGCATCTCCAGCAGTGAGGGTGTCAGTCAGTGCTGCTTCTGGCTCTACTGCAAACAGCAAAGAGGAGGACGGTCATTTAGTGTTACAACTTAACAAGGTCTTCTGTTTGTCTTCCAGCCGTCCAGACACCTCCTTCTCCTGGTTTGTCAACCCTTTCAAGTGTTTCTTCCACTTGGTGTGGCGGAACTACAAGAAGTACATCATCATCGCTCTGGTCCTTCTGATCTCCGTGCTTTTCCTCGCCCTGCTCTTCTACACCCTGCCAGGAGCGATCTCTCAGAAGATTATCAATGGATAACATTTGACTGGGCCGGCAGTTTTTGGACAGATTTAGAAATGATCATTATTCAAACTTTAATCTGATAAGTTAACAATATAATGAAAAAAAAGAATCCAATAAAACAAACAGTTGTAAAATTATTTATGCAAACTCAGAACTCGTCCCCCTGTAACTTTATCTTATGTGATTTTAAAGTTTTAATACTAAGAAGCAAACACCTCTGACTGCTGGGATTGTTAAGAAGACCACTGCAAGGATCATGGTAGAAAAAACATGAATAAACAAAAAAACGTAAAAACAGGGTTCCTACAGCATAAGGCAAATTCAAGACTTTTTAATGCCACTTGAAATAAAAATTTAAGACCAAATTCACAAGAAACACACAAAAAAACCTGCTTGCGACAACTTAACCCAAAGGTTTATTTTAACATAAACCAGTGCACTAATGTTTCAAATTTTGAAAAGCTTCCCATACAGGAAGAAAGCTAAAAACACACAAATGACAGATATATTTTAACAATTATTTAACTGAATTCACATACTTTGTTTTAGAAGGGATCAAAACAAATCAGTTTTAAAGCCACAACATAACCAGTGCTAAGTCTTTTTTGCAGCTATTTTTCTTTGTATCGTTTTCTTAGTATGTTTGATTTGGTGATAAGTGGAGGCGTTGCAGAGACAAGGGTGGAACTAAACTGAGAAAAACCATCTGTTTCTCGGTAACTCCATTTTGACGCTTTGTGTTCCGTGCTTTGCATGTGCGAATCCACTGCCTTAATTCCCATCGTTCAGAGCTTGAATGACTTCTTGCACAAAATCCACTGTGCCTCATGTATGTTCTCTGGTTTTAGTCAGAGAAAACTCTTGGCTGGAGAAAATTTTCGTTACATTTACACTTGCTCATATTTTCCAGACAAAAAGTTAATGGTGCATCTCCCAAATGTGCCGGCCGTAACAACGTTTTTATTGGTTCCGCCACCGGGACGGAACTAATAATGGCGAGCCGTTGTTTTTTTAAATAATAATTAAAAAAAAATTTGTCAAAAATTGTTTTATTTAGATTACAAAAAGAAATCGTAATAAAAATAATCCTATTTATGATGTTTTAGAAATTAAGACCTATGAAAGACTAATTTAAGACATTTTAATACTAATTAAGGCCTTAGTTTTATTTTGAAGAATTCAATACCTTTTAAGACTTTTTAAGGAACCCTGAAAAACTATTCAGCTCTAAATTTTGTCCAGATGATATCAGGGATTCCTACTATTTGGCGTCTCGTTGGTGATTGTATTTTTGTTCTAGCTACACCTCAGCGGTGGTTCTGGGTTGCATAGGAAAACATTTATCTGATGTAATGAACGCAGTCGGCATACAGTGACAGAAACAATATTTATTGAAGTTAACATGTATTACATCAACGGTGAGCATGTAGAGAACATCAATGATCCTATCAGAACAACACATTTACACTTTTACAGTATTGATAAAATATCTGCAGTCATCTGTGCTTCAGCTAATCTACCAATCGTGTTGTAATGTGTGACATTTTATTCAGCGTGCCATAAATATTACATTCTGTTCATTGGAATATGTTTCATTCTCTTCCTCTGTGTGTGGTTGGGTTCCTATAAAGCCTGAGATAAGCTCCATGCTGACTGCTTTGCTTTATGTGAAGCTCACTGGGGAAAATGCACATCTGTCAGTGAGATGCTCCGTTGCGACTGGCCGACCCGATCATAGGAGGAAGAGGAGGATGATGATGATGTGACGGCGTGCTCATGGGGGGCCACGTTAGGGCCCCGCAGGATTAGAGAGGAGGAGGGGACGGCTGGCAGGATGGTGGGGCTGTTTGTGGAAACGCTGCAGAGGAAGCTGTGGGTGTTTGGAGCCACTGAGTTCTTTCTTTGCTGGCTGCTGGAAGCTGAAACACAAGATGAGACGAGTAAAAAACAGCCAAAGTGCATCCCACAGATATCTGTAAGCACTTTGTTATATGTGCAACATTCAAGTCACTAATTTATATTTAAATGAGCTTTTGTTTGGTGGCAAAAACACATTTTATATAGATAAAAATAAATTTAGGCAGCAATAAGTTAAGTGGTTTTATGACCTACTGTCATTAATAACATTAAAGAGACTAAATCTTGTAAGCTACTTTATTAGTATTGTATTATTTATAACTATGTTATTATTTCCTTATACAATGGAGTATTAGAACTAGTCAGTTATGGCCCTTGATTGGCGTGATATTACAAAAAATCTGAGCGTAAAGACAAAATTATATAAAAAAAGGTTGTTTAACTAAGAAAGCTTCAGTAAAGATCTGATCAGCTGAGCAAAACAGCAGCTTCAGGTCAGCATTAAACACAGGCTGCCTTTTGTCTACCACTTCATACGACTTTATTCCCCTCGACCTGGCATTGTGACCTTATTCTTATTAAAGTTTTTCTCTAATTTTTTAAAAGACCAGCCCTCTCAACTTTTAAAAAGCCCATTTCTCCTTGTGCACGCTCTGTTTAAAAGTTGCTGTTCTCATAGTTTCATACAACCTTACTGTGTTTGAACGACCACTCTAACCCCTAAAACCCTCAATTTATATATAGAGCGGGGACTATATAGTGAACTTTATAGCAAACTCAGTTCACTGACTGTTCGGACAGATGATCACTTCCCCGTTATTCTACTGCCTGTCTGGTAGCAGGGATAGCAAAATCCCATAATGCTTTGCAAGAAAAGCCCTCTGTGCTCCGCGATGCCTCTTCTGAGGCCTTTCTTTTCTTCTCATACACTTCGTAGACACATTTTCTCTTACAACCCTCGGCCATTTTCAAAGAACCGTGGTGAGAAAGGTGAGTTAAATGACTGTCTTAAACCGTAGCTCACCACAGACATATAGCTCAAAGTGCGCATGTGCAAAAAAAGATAGTTAACTGGGCAAGCACGAAGGACGGTCTTACGTAAAGATATCACCAGAATGATTGATGATTAGGAGGACCACTTATTTAGATGATCCACCCAGAATTAAAAGATCGTCCTCTATACCTTTAAGCTTCACTTTCTATTTACCTATTTAAATGGGTAACGAGTTGAAGGCACAAACTAAACTGTTCATAATTCATTCATAACATGTAGGTGAATCACTGTCCCCAGACATCCGCGGATACAACTCAAGTCCGGTGCGTCATCCGCGCACCAGACTGGAGTTGTGACAGGCAGCCCGGGCTACAGGCGGCTACGCTCTACCCCTTCTATTCATTCTAGCTAATCTGAATCGTTCAATTCCATTTGGAGAGCGAGATCATCTGTGGTAGCAGCGCTAGACATCTTCCAGGCATGTGAGGAAAACTAGCAGCAGTTTAGCAGACAGGAAGAATGAATGGTAGCCGGCGCGCACGGATGACGTCATACACGTGCCGCTTTGTTTCAAAAAAATATAAATAGAAAAAATATAACCGCAGATGTCTGGGGGACAGTGATTGGCCTACATGTTCTGAATGCTGGCGTACCATAAAGAATAAATTATGAACAGTTTAGTTTGTGCCTTCAACTCGTTGCCCATAGGAAGACGTTACCTGGATATAACCTAACGGAATATCTTCAGAACGGCTCCAAATGACACAAAACTCATATTGGTAAGTAGAACATGATGTAATAACGTAAAATCAAAGGGCCAATGTAAAAAAACGTGTTCCCCTTTAATACTTTTTATCTACTTTATTTACAGCCTACCTCCTTAAAAAAAACAACAACAGCATTTTAAAGCTTTAATTTGAATTCCCAGTTTCAGTCACATGGATTTAATGTGGTGTTTAAAAATAACTCAAGTTGACAGGATAGGAGATTTATTTTGGAGGGGTTGTTCGAAATGAGCGTCATGCCAATCAACTTTTTTTCTTTTAAACAGATGAACTACTAAAATTATGTTCAAAATACACAAATTCATTAATCATGCAGCTAAAAAAGGAATTATCTTAGGGTTAGGATTTATTCAACCTACTGAGCCCACTGGTAGGTAGGAGGCACAATCTGAAGCCATTCTATGGGACTGATAGCCGCTAAAAAAGACCATTTATTGGGATGATAACATCCACCTCCATGCTCACTGTGAATAACTCCTATGTAGGTGAGTAAATATCAGGGATGTAACTGAAATAGAGTAGATTTCCAAAGCTGATCATGTTTTCTTACCACAAGAAGTTCTGTGCTGCTGATGCTGACTGTGGACAGGAACACCAGCCTGACCTGTAGCGCCACCGTGAGCCTGACAGTGAAACTTAAAGGTTAGAAGACACATTTGGACACAACGTCGACAAAAATCTACATTTAGTCGTGAAAAAGAAATATCTTCGGTCACATCTCACAATGGGAGAACTTGGCTGATGGATGGTGAAAGAATGGGAGTTTGGTTCCCAGTGTTCACAGATACAGACCAATACTAAATATTAAGCTGCAGGTACAGATATATAGCACCCTGATTAACATTGTGTAATCATCACAGGTTTTGCCTTCCACACAGTTGGACATCTAAGGAATACTCTTGAAGCTTTTCTGATGTTTACTGTTGTCTTCTGGTTGCTGTTTATCATTCTCTCTTATCTCATACAGGTCTGGAAGCAGACTTCTAGAAGTTACTGTGTTCTACTTTTTGCCGTTTTGTTTTATTTTCTCTATTTTAATTTGCTCTTTCCTGTCTCTCTTTCTCTCCCATTAGTTCTTATCCCCTTTTTGTTTCTCACCTACCATTCTTTCTCAGTTGTATACGTTTTTACTCCAAAATGATTTTAAATTAAGTTTATTATACAAGTATCAGGTGGAACCTTATGCACCAACCATTATGGTCTACTTCTGAAAGCAAAGCTGTTGTTCTTTCATCTAGTTCTGGGACATCTATTCCCAGAGCCATATTAGATAAAATGAGCATGGCAGATGCTTCATGTCATCACTGACCTGAGTCTGGTTCAGACAGGCCTGGAGTTTCCTCTTTGCTCTCCATTTGGCCACCCTCAGCCTGGTCTTCTCTCGCCGCTCTCGTACCTTTAACACGACATCCTCATCATGATCAGAAACACATTTCCAAAATAAAAAAATCCCTCTGGCCCCTTGGATTTCCCGCTTAACTGACCAGGTCTGCCAGCAGCGGCTGAGGCAAACTCTTCTCCAGCTCCCGGCGCCTGTTCAGGTTTCTCCTGCGCAGCTCGTTCCTCCGCAGCTTGTATTCCTCATAAAGACTTAGGTCTTTGTTCCAGGGCCGCACTGCCGCTCGGGGCAGGCCCCCCGGCTGCATGGCTGTAGTGGAGGGCGGGGAGCCAGCGTGCTGAGGCAAAGAATCTGAGGGACCAAAGAAACACAAAAACAGATGAGCTGTTAATAAAAGGCATGTAGAAAATATTAACGTTAACGATAAAAGCTCCTCATGACTGTGGCTGAAGCAGCACACACACACCTACACACAGATATACTCACAGACACACGGTGCAGCAGGGGGGAATTTGGAGCTGGGGTTCATTTGGCTAGCAGATGGTCTCATCGGCTCTGCCACCAACCTCTGGGCCTGTAGGAGCAGAGAGGAGGATCCAGGTGAAACAACCTCACAGATCTCATCTCTTCTAATGACCGATAGGAAATTTGTCTGTCTGTCTATCCATCCATCAATCCATCCATCTTCTGACATGCTTAATCCCAAGTGGGGTTGCGAGGGGTGCTGGTGTTTATCTCCAGCTTTCTACGGGCGAGAGGCGGAGTCCACCCTGGACAGGTCGCCTGTCCATCGCAGGGCAACACAGAGACAAGCAGGACAAACAAACATTCACACCTAAGGAGAATTTAGAGAAGCCAATTAACCTAACAGTCATGTTTGTGTACTGTGAATTAATAATAATGAATTTTATTTATCATGCACTTTACATTTGATTTCAAATCTCAAAGTGCTACAAAACAAGTTTAAAAGACCATAACATTAAAAACAGAGTAAAAAGACAGTCATTAAAATCAATACATTAAAAGGCATACGTAGCCTATTAAAGAAAATCTAAAATCAACAATTGTAGGAATTTCTAAAAAGGAAAGTTTTTAGTCCTTTCTTAAAACAATCCACCGTCTGTGGGGCCCTAAGGTGGTCTGGGAGGGCATTCCACAGACGGGGAGCTGCGGCTTCGAAGGCCCTGTCGCCCATTGTTTTTAGCCGTGTCCTGGGTGGGGCCAGACGGTGCTGTTGGCCTGACCGGGTCCGGGAAGAGGTGTGTGGTGTGAGCAGTTCAGTGAGATACATGGGGGCCGCACCGTGCACACAGTGATGGGTGTGCAGAAGAATCTTGTACTCTATACGGGCGTGAATGGGCAGCCAGTGTAAAGTGTGAAGGATGGGAGTGATGTGCTGGTGTTTCCTCACCCTCATCAGGACCCTGGCAGCGCTGTTCTGTACATACTGGAGCTTCTGAAGGCTCCTGCCAGAGATCCCGACGAGGAGAGCGTTGCAGTAATCCAGCCTGGAGGAGACGAAGGCGTGGACGAGCTTCTCTGCAGCAGGGAGGGATAGGGAGGGACGGAGTTTAGAGATATTACGGAGGTGAAAGAAGGACGTTTTGCAGATGGAGGTGACATGATTGTCAAAGGAGAGGTGGGGGTCAAGCTTGACCCCAAGGCTTGTAACAGAGGGAGAGAGGGGAATGGTATGACCACAGAATGAAACAGAGGTGAGAGGAGAGGAACGGAGTTGATGAGGAGTACCAGTTTGGATGGCCTCTGTTTTTGAGGCATTAAGCTGCAGGAAGTTTTGACTCATCCACGCCTTTATATCCTCCAGGCAGGAGCTGAGGCGGGTGACAGAGTTGGCGGGGGAGCTGGGAGGAGTCATTTTAATGTAAAGTTGTGTGTCGTCAGCATAGCAATGGAAGTTGACCCCATGCCTGCCGACGACACAACTAAGGGGGAGCATGTAGATGGTGAACAGGGTAGGGCCGAGCACGGAGCCCTGGGGGACCCCACAGGTGACAGTGTGAGGTCTGGATTTTGCCTCCCCCAGGGCCACGTACTCGGTCCTGTCAGTGAGGTAGGAGTGAAACCAGTGGAGGGCAGTGCCAGAGAGACCAATGAAATGCTGGAGGCGGTGGAGGAGGATGTGGTGATCTACTGTGTCAAACGCAGCAGACAGGTCAAGAAGAATGAGGAGGGACGTGAAACCGGAATCAGAGGCCATCAGCAGATCGCTGGTGACTCTGATGAGAGCTGTTTCTGTGCTGTGGGAGGGGCGAAAACCAGATTGGAATTTTTCATACAGATTATTGCATTTAAGGTGGTTGTGGAGCTGGGTGGAAACAACTTTTTCTAGGAGTTTGGAGATGAATGGGAGGTTTGAAATGGGTCTGTAGTTTGACAGAGGTTCAGGGTCCAAGGTGGTTTTTTTTAGGAGGGGTTTAATGAGGGCAGTTTTAAGGGTAGATGGGACGGTACCCGTTTCCAGCGAACTGGCTATTATTTTGGTTATGAGATGACTAATAGATTGATGGTGAGTTTTGAGCAGAGGGGATGGGAGGGGATCTAAAGAGCAGGTGGATGATTTAGATTTGCGGATGATGTTCTCGACCTCCTGCTGCGTTGGCAGAGAGAAGTGTGATAGGAGTTGTGTGGGAGATGTCTCAGGGGTATCAATAGTGGTGCTGTTTGAAGGTGAAAGTGAAGAGCGGATGCTGTCTATTTTTGATATGAAGAAGTCCAGAAACCGGTTGCAGTTTATATCTGTGTGGTTGTAGAATGAGGAGACCTGTGGTTTGAGAATATGGCTGATTGTGGAAAAGAGTTTTCTGGAATTACCTGGGTTATTGTTGATGAGCGAGGAGTAGTAATTGGACCTGGCCTTGGAGAGGGCTGTTGCATAATTTCTGCGATGTTCCCGGTAGGCCAATTTATGCACCGTCAGGCCAGATGTTTTATATGCCCGCTCCAGGACACGGCCAGACCTCTTCATTTGCCTTAGCTCTTTGGTGAACCAAGGAGCGGAACGTGTGAATGTGACAGTCCGGGTTATTACAGGAGCATGAGTATCCAGGATGGAGTTGAGGCTTGTGTTGTAGAAGTCCATTAAGTCACTGGCTGATGAGAGTGGAGAGGGGGAAAGATGCTGAAGATGTGAGCTGAAGGATGAGGAATCAATGTTTTTGATGTTTCTGAAAGTGATATGGCGTTTTGGTTTGGTGAAAAAGGTTATTGGGAGTCTAAATGTAACTGCCAGGTGATCTGAGACACCAACATCGTATATGTTGATGCTGGTGAGTGGAAGGGAGTCAGTTATAACAAGGTCCAGAGTATGCCCTTTGCTGTGGGTGGGGCCATCTGTCAGCTGTTGAAGATTTAGACAGTCCAAAACCTGTTTGAATTCGGCAGCTAGACGGGAAGTGTGTGAGTCCATGTGTATATTGAGATCACCAATTACAAGAATATTTGAGTGTGCTGTGCAGAGAGAGATTAGGAACTGATGAATGTCAGAAATGAAAGTTGGTTGTGGTTTAGGGGGGCGATATATGACAGCTACTGTAGCAGAGAAAGGATTATTGCATTTAAAAACAAGGCTTTCAAAGGAGGAAGCACCGGGTACAGACAGGAGGGACACTGCAAAGTAGCTGCGAAATAAAACAGCAAGGCCCCCACCCCGCCCAGTTGTGCGGGCTTTGTCCAGGTATGAGTACCCTTGTGGGCAGGCCTCATTCAGGGAGCTGTAGACACCGGGCTGTTGCCAAGTCTCTGTGAGGCAGAGAATGTCTATTTCTTTGTCCAGAATGTGATCGTGGATGAATCCGGATTTCTTTGACAGTGACTGCACATTAAGCTGTTCCATTGTGATGTGGGAATTTGAGTCCAGTTTATGCAGAGAGCGGAGAACGCTGAAATCCACTCCAGGTCTTCCAGTTCGCCGGTCCAACTCAGCCATATCTGAGGTAGGCATAGCGGCGCTCAGATGACGCAGATGGTGACGTACCTGTTGCGCGACAGGACGTGATGCCGACCAGAAGGATGCGATGGAGCTGTGGTCACCGCGTTTGGACATTACAAGGCGGCGCCCGGATCCCCGGTGGATGTAACGGGGTCGACGTGGAAGATCCAATGGAGCTCTGTTGATGTTGAGAATCCGAAGTGGTTGTATCGTGGTGTCGATGGGCAACAAGTGGCGTGATGGTGTGCCGGTGCTAACAGTTAGCCAGGATCCAGGTGAGCAGCGGTGGAAAAAAGCCATACCCAGAAGGATGATCCACAGCTTCAACAGAGGTGGTGTTCCATTCACAGACCTCCGCTGGAAGGCGGAGGCACTGGAAGATTTATGAAGACTGATGGTGCTGATAGGACTCTGTAAACAGAAGAGTTGCTCCGGCTAACTCTGTTAGCGTAGCCAACCCAAACAAGTTGCCACGGGCTAACAGGCCGACGTGCAGAGATAATCCAGGGAGGGCATGAAGCACTTAGACATCTCCGTAGGAATAATCCAGTTTGATGGAAACAAAAGGAAGCAGCAGGATTGGGGGATTTGAAGCCCAGAGAAAAGGACGATTCACTTAGCAAGCAGTGTCCAGCGTAGTGACAGGTAAGTCCAGGGTACCACAACAAATTCGGTGTGTACTACAAAATAATCTGTCTCTTACTGTAGTAACTGAGTTCCCAGAATACGGTACAGTAGGATGGATTTTGCAGAAAAGGACAGATTTTGACGGATTTGCAGAGAAGCGGCGAACAGCCAACGCCAGCGTCCTCCAATGTCCTCCTGTGGGATGAAGCCAGAGTGAAATGTGTCTGTATTCCATTAAAGGGGAACGCCATTTTTTTTTTTTACATTTGGCCCCTTGATTTTACATTATTACATCATGTTCTACTCTCCCATGTGAGTTTAGTGTCATTTGGAGCCGTTCTGAAGATATTCCGTTAGGTTAGATCCAAGTAACGTCTTCCTGTGGGCAACGACTTGAAGGCACAAACTAAACTGTTCATAATTTATTCTTTATGGTACGCCAGCTCCAAATGACACAAAACTTATATGGGTGAGTAGAACATGATGTAAAAACATAAAATCAAGGGCCAAATGTAAAAAAACGGCGTTCCGCTTTAATTCTGTTTGTTCTATGATGGAGTAACACCTTCATCTTTAGTCAACAATGTGTTTCCAGATTTATTGGGTCTATTTCTAGATTTACTCTCCTATCCAGTTCAAACTGGTACCATAAATCAAAGCTAATAATTCTTCTACAACCCATAATTCATATTCTTCACACTCTGCTCTCAAGGTTTGCCGTACTTTAGCTATGAGACCAGAATTTGGGCTAACTATTTCTAAACAATAATACAACCAGTAACAATAATTATCGCCAAAGCTGGATCATATGATTTACTGCAACTCACTCACTGTTGATCCATAATAAACAGCCCAGTGAAGAAGCGTCTAACACAGCAGTAAACAAAATGACATCAGTTAATCCTGCGGAGCCGAGCGATAGCAGAGATGAAGCAGAGCGTGCAGAGAAGAAGTCAACAGCTCGTTCTCAGAGTTGAGCGCGCGGCAGACTGGTTTTGAGCGCGAGTTTAAACGATGCACATTGTTCTCACTGCATGCTTAATTCAGCGGCACCAAAATGACTTTGAATGGGTACAAGACTTTTGATATTTAATTGAAAGTAATATTTAATGTGATTTATTAGATAAGTAAATTATAAATAGATCAGTTGCATTTCCTGTACACGCATTTATTTCTGATAGAGGAGCCAAAGCATTTATTGTGCATTTATCATTATTGAGGTAAAACTGCCCAATTTATCGTGATACTAATTTGAGGTCATATCGCCCAGCCCTATGTGGACTAACATTTTATTTCTGTCTTTTATTTACATTTTGTTTTTGCTCCACCTGTTATTACGTTCAAACATTTTCTGCATTTACCGTAACAGGACCCAGGAACTGGAGGTACGATATTGGGCATGCTGGCAATGAGTAAACTAGGAAGCTAATTCCAAAACACCGGATGCCAAGAGGAATAAGATGTGAGAAGCAGTCAGAATACAAGGTGATCACTGGTGTTCCCTGAAGTGGGAGGTAAAGCTGTCAAGTTGATAGAAGCTCAACTAAGTGTCCAGCAGGTGGCAATGATTAAAATTGCACCTGATGCAAACATAATTTACAAGCTTTCCAAAAAAGTTGAAAACTAATCCACTGGACTTTGTTTCCAAGTTTGAAGAAGTTTCACTTCCCATCCAGGAAGCTTTTTAAATTCAAAATATCCACCCCCTCTGTTTAAAGTTGTTTTTTCTTTATTTACATAGATGGCTTCCTTCACGCCCCTCTCAAACCAGCTGTCTTCTTTGTCCAAAATGTGAGGACCAGAATGTTCCCAGATTTCAGTTTTCAAAAACCTACAATTCAGAGATTGAGTTGATTCCTTCCGCTACCATCGCAACCTCCACCCCTATACAGGGGACCAGAACACCTCGCCTGTTCAGCCAGATCAGCAATTCCCTCTAACAACCCCCATTTCAGAGTCATAGACAGGCTATCGGGTATTGCAGGCTAACAAAGAACCTAAACGACTGCTCATTCCTAAAGGGCGGACACGTTCGTCCGGTTCAATTAGCATGTTTTTTAAGCTAAAATAAGTCTTTGTTTTTGGTCCAATGGAAAGAGCTTTCTGGGAAGCGAAACATCCTCAAACAAATAAAGTCCAGTGGAATGTTTTTTTTTTTTTTTTTTTACATGACTTGGATGACAGAGAACCTTCACCAGCAATTTTCAAGCTTAAAAAGAACTAAGCAAAGAGTAGTCATGGCAAAAGTATTTCATATATTATTTTTTTACAGTAAAAATTGGTTTCTGATGTGTGTCCTTTATTAAAGGCTTAGTTAGTAACTTTAAAAAGTTCATTGAGGAACAAGGTGAGGATAAAATATTAATATCTAATGGTATATATATTATAATTACATCAATTAACAGTAGATATTAGTGTGTGCTTGTTCTAAAGCCTTTAATATGTACATTATCTTCATACAGTTCAAATGTACGCTGCTAGCTGAATGTTGGCTTTTGCTTATCTTTATTAACTTCAACATTACCAATTTTTTTCTGTTTAAGATTGTTAAAAATAACCCAGCTTTGTGTGGATCAGCAAATCTGCAGTGTTCTGTGGATGAGCGCTGTGATGTCATCTAGGAGTGTAAATAATAATCGTTTTGTATCGATGCATCGATCCAACAGCCGACGATCTGATGCATCGATACGTCCGCAAGAGAATCAATTAGGGCTGGGCGATAATTCAATAGCGATATATATCGATAGATAGACGTGTGGCGCAATAGAAAAAAAGAGGGTCGATAAAAGTTCGATAAAAAAGAAACGCAGTTTTCCTTCCTTCTCATTGTAGCCTAGCATGTAGGTTTATGCTAGTCACTGCTTCCTCCCAACCAATCACAATCGCGGACCCAGGCATGCCGTCACCAAGCGCCGCCCTCTCAAACCACAACACAGAGCACATGAAGATGTCACAGCAAGGAGAGGCGGAGGAAATTGTTCCAAAGAAGGGTTTTTGTAGTTGGCCAGTCTGGCAGTATTTCGGTCATGGCAAGTCGGACCAAAAACAAACCACAGTCATCTGGAAAATGTGTAGGGAACCAGTGAAAACGAAGTCTGATAACACAACCAACTTTTTTTTTTTTTTTTATCATCTCAGCCGCTCACACCCGCAGGAGTACGAGCTGTGTAGGCCCCGACGCGGTTCTCCTCCGAGGAATCTTCGGAAAATATATATATATTTTCAGTTCTGGGCAGTTTCCCACGTAGTTCTAACAATTGAGATAAAAATGCTGAGGGGCCAGAAACTTCAAAGTAATAACTCAGGTTAAAGCAGGAAACGGGGGCGGCGGCGGCGGTGGGGGGGCATTTATTTATTTGTTATATTTATTTTGGTCACTTTTCTGGTCCCTTTAGTTTATTCTTTGTCAGTATTTAATAACATAACTCAGGTCTCTTAAGTTATTTTTCTTTAAAACAATTCTGTTATGGTTAAAAAAGTTGGTTAAATAAAGATTTAATTCGAAGTCTGTGTTTGTGTTTTTTATTAAAATTAAATCATTTAGCAATATTGTAAAAAGCCCAAGCAGAGCTGCACATAAAATATGGTTTCAAATCTTTTCAATAATTATCGATATCGATCAATATGCATTTTTTTTTTAATCGATAAGCTTTTTTTCTATATCGCCCAGCCCTAGAATCAATTCATATTTTTTTTCCTCCGGTCTATTTTTATCCATTTGCTCCTGGACGTAATTCTCCCTCCCGTGCTGTGGTGGCGCTAAACCTATTTTGCCCTCCTACCTCACCTCCTGGTTATACTCTTACAGCAGTGTGTCGCAGTGAGCTTGATGCAGACATTTTTGATTTATGCTCAATATTGAAGCGTGGTCTGTGCTACACACTGTGGGTTTAGTTATGGTGAGGCGGCGAGGAAGTGGGGGCGAGTTTAGTCCGACGACGGAGGGACATGAGGGCCAAAAAGAGCGGAGATCCTGGTGGAAAAAGGGTCCCAGCGTTCTCGGGCACCTCGCTCTTCTAGCGGTCAAACTTAACGATTTTTTTTCCGCAATTTCGGTCATAAAAACAAAACAAGCCGGCCTCCTGTCTGCGGCACTGTCTGCGGTCAGCTACAATTTGGGAGAGGAGCAGCGGAGCGTCTGTGGAGGGGGCGGGACGTCTGGAGCGGAGGTATCGCATTGCGCTGATTGCATTGATGTTGTGCAGTATATTTTGATGCAAGGCCTTCAGAATCTATAACACAGGGTATTATTCAGTGAATGAGGTTTTAATAGGAATAGGTGGAGTAAAACTTTTCTACTTCTGTTATTTGCTGTTGTTTCACAAAAAAAAAAGCATAACAATATTACAGCTTTCATTGATTTATTTCAAATTTGAAACATTGTCTCTAGCCTGTAAGGTAAAAAAAAAAAATTTACCAAATAATCGAATCGAATCATATCGTGCTGTATTATTGAGTATCTAAAATAATCAAATCGGAAATTGATACTGAATCGAATCGCCATGATGGGTGTGATTTACACCCCTAATGTCGTCACCTAAAATTGGTTTCTCTAACAGCCTGGAATCTGATTCCAAGGTAACACGACAAACCCTAGAAGTTGGTTCAAATGTTTGACTGGGTCTATGTCTATGAAGCATTAACTTTGCTGGTATTTACGATTTCCTTAAAATTGGTGACCTTATTTTTCTATCAGAGTTTAGCAAACAAGTTGGGACTTTCATAAATCTTGACTACAAAATCAGAAAGTTGAGCCATAGAAAAAGTGAAAATTGTAGATTATTTTCTCTACAACAGTAAATCTTTCCGGAACTGGACTAATTGTCACCTCTGGTTCTGGGGCTCTGCTCTGCTCCGCCTGACAGTCCAGCAACAGGTCGGCCATAACTTCCTGCTCCTCTGCTGGCTCCTCCTTAATGCAGATCACCTCCTCCTCTTCCTCCTGCAAAGGCTGGACCTCCTGCTTCACCTACAGACAATCAGGACCCTTGTTAAGAACAAGCTAAAAACATCCCCACTCTGATTTAAACTTTGTCAGAGCGTCAGATTCACACTTAAGTGTTTTATGAATTGAGCTTAAAATGATGAAACCCCATCAGAAAGGAAACGACACAAATGCAGAAGATGGATTCCCTGAGATGAAACACCTGGATCACAATGATAGGATAGTTTAAAAAAAAATTAAAAAATGTAAGTTTATTGATCTAACAATGGAGAAATAACAAACAGTAGTGTATAGGATTTCCTAAAAGCGCGTTCACGAGTCTACGGAAACCGCGGCAGACCAAACCAGATGAAAGTGCACATTCAGCTCGGCAAAGAACTCATGCTCTTCCTCAACACTGAAGTCCTCAGACATTTTTCTTTAGTTGTTTCTTTCTTTGCACAGGTAAACAGCACATTTCTTCTTCTACGCTTGCATTATCGGCAGAGCAGACGCTGAATGCGCACTTTCATCTGGTTTGGTCTGCCGCGGTTTCCGTAGACTCGTGAACGCGCTTTTAGGAAATCCTATACACTACTGTTTAGGCTCTAAAAACATTCTAAATGACTTCGTTTCGAGTAAATTATGGACGCTACCCACTCAGGACACTTGGAATACATTGGACGAGCAGTATGGAGGAATATTGACACGTTTTTTGTGGACTTTTATGGACCTTTCTGTCTCGGGCGCCATAGACCTCCATTATTTGAATGTCAGCAGACAGCAAGAAGCCTCCCAGATCTCCAGATGCATTTGAGATATCAAAAAAGTACTCCAGAGTGTTGTTCAGCATGGGGGTGAGTAGAAAATGAAGGCTAATCATGTTTTGGGTGTACTATTCCTTTAAAGATATAAGGAAATGATTCTAGAGGTCATCAAAGGTCAATCCCCCCCCAAGCCCCCCCCCCCCACCCCCCCCCCCCCCCCCACCCCCCCCAACCTTCTTCAAATGAGGCAAAATGGGTGTCAATTAACTCGGCTACGCTTGTGCTGGTTTGTGCAGCAACTTATAATTTATATGAAATTCAGAGATTCAGAATGAACAAATGTTCACTGACACCAATTTTGTCTGTGTGAAGAAAGTGTGTGTGTGTGTGTGTGGGGGGGGGGGGGGGGGGGGGGGGGCTGGTTGACCTTTTGACCTTTACATTTTCATTAATATCTTAAAGCCAAAGCAGCACAATTGACAATTGTTGCTGCACAAACTTGCACAAACAGAGCTGAGTTAATTGATAACCATTTCATCTGATTTGAAGAAGGTGGGGGGGCTGGTTGACCTTTGATGACCTCTAGAAACATTTCTTTATATCTTTAAAATGATAGCGGCACAAACGAAAATTTTTGCTGCCCAAACGTAGCACAAGCGTTTGACACTAATTTAGTCTGATTTCAAGAAGATGGGGAGGGGGGACTTCACTCAGGTCTCAGAGACCCAGAATGGCAGTCTGTGGGAGTGGGTTTCAAACTTACAACCTTAGGATTCCAAGCCCTGTTCCCTAACCACTTGGCCGCCACTCCACCAAAAGGTGGAATCGAGTAATTTTCTCAAGTGTTTGCTGCCTTCTCAAGATTTTTCTGTCACTCGAGTGTTTTGAAGTGTTGCCTGAAGATGCTTGCAGAGATACGCATCAAATTAATCCAGCTATGTTAAACTATCAGAAGCTTACAAACGTATGACATCATCATCCGTTATCAAGTTACTCAAAGACATGCAAGCCCTTTGTAAAGTTATAACTTTAAACAAAGTTATTATTTGAGCATCAACTACTCTTAAAATAAGATAATTAGATAATATGCAATTGTTTTTTCTTTTTTAAATGTAAATAATCCTGTTCCATTGGCAAAGTGTCTCAATTACCTTCTCTATTCAGAAAATGTTTTACTTATTTTAGTAACAAATGACTTCTTGAGATTTCAATTTTTTGCAGTGCAGAAAACATTTTCCTAAACAGCTTAAAATGAAATAAATTAGAGGATAGCTGGATGTGTGCTTTCACCTCTAGAGCAGAAGAGGGCAGCATGGAGCTGTCAACCTGGGTTGAGACCTCCGGGGAAGGTGGAGCAGGAGTGGATTGTTGCCCTGACAACAGAGTCAGAGTCCTAACAGAAGCAGGAGCCTCAGCAGATTTTTCCGTATAGGGCTGCATGCTGATGGTCCATTCGACGTCCCGATCTGAATCCTCCCTCTGCGAGGCGTCATGCTCTGAGTGACTAAAAAAAACTGTTCAAAAGACAAACAGTTTTAATGGCGATCCACAAAGGGTGCAGCTACATGGTTTCCTTTCTAAAACCTGATCTCAGATCAAGTGCATGTATAGTTTCTACACCTCCGCCACTCTACCACGGATGGTGTTTAGAATCGGATCCTGGTATGAAAGCGGTGAACAGAAATGTTTGCAGCTGCATAGAGTTCTGCATGATCTGTACCTGCATTGCTGTCCAGAGATTCTGCAGCCGTGTTCAATGTGAGCGTGACGGGGAGCAGCAGGTCTGATGAGTCTGAGCTCGCTCCATCAGAAGGACAGCAAACTCTGGCTGCTGGTCTGTTTGTGCTGTCTGAGGAGGTGCATTCTGGGAACATAAACAGTGGTTAGGAGTGGGACTCTGAAGGAGCGGAGGCAAAGGTCCCATTCCACAGCTACGCACCTTGGCGGCTCCTGAATCGTGTTTCCTCTGCAGATTTCTGAGCCGGATTCAACAGAGGAACCTCTGAAGCCGAGGCGCTGGCCTCACACCTCTGCATCCGGTTCAAGGTGGGAGGCTGGATGCGAACCGACGCGGAGGCCGAGGCTCTCTGCTGGAGCTCCTCCTCCACGCCCTGCCTGTAGTACTTGAGCTTCAGCTCAGTGTAGCGCAGCTTAGCTCGAATGTTGTCGTTCTCCTTCTCTTTTAGGGCCTTCTCCCTCTGCAGGGCCATCACATCCCTCTTCATCACCACCACCTGAGCTTTCAGCTCCTCAAACTTCACCCCGACCACTTTCAGCATCTCGGCCAGAACCGTCTCCACCGCCGTGTTCACTGCCCGCTCCACAACCGTGCCCATCTGACCCCGGATCAGCGACACAGCAATGCTCACATCCATACTCAAAGGTCACTGATGGTCAGATATTTATCTATGAATCTACAGTTTAGAGGAGAACAAGATCAACATTAGAACAGTAAAAACAGTAAAAAAAAAGGAATGAAAAACATAAGCACAATATATAATGACTATGATAGGGCCTGTATTATGCAAAAAACACTTTTTTTTAAAAGTTAATCTTTGTCATATTTAGGGCTGCAACGATGATTATTTTGTAAAATCAACTGATTTGTTGATTTTATTTTCAGATAGCCAAAGGTTCTACGAAGATTTTTTACAAAATCAAACCAGGTGAAACTAAAACATTTCCACAGGAGGAGCTCTGGATAGAGCATATTGACAGACAATTTTATTTTATTTATTTATCTTAAATGAAAAATGTTTAATCCGATTAATCTATTAATCTGATTGATTCAGCCCTAAAAATGGCACAAAAATGAAATGTTTAGATTTTTTTTACAATCTTGGTATTATTATTGCTCTAAGTGGGTTGCTCTGTCAGCTAAATGCATATTTTTAAGTCTCTACACTCCAGTTAACGAACTAATTGATTACTAAATTAGTTGATGATTATTTCAATAATCGATTAACCTGATTCATTGTTTTTAAAAAATAGCACAAAAACAAATACATTTCAGAACAACTAAATACTCCTCAGCGCCAAGATATTATTCCAACATATAAATAACTATAGTAGACTTTGAAAGGCTTAAAAAAACTGCATATAAAGCCTTTAATATGTGTGTATTAATCTTCTTACAAAGCAAAGAAACCAAAACAGCGACAAAACTCCATTGAAGTTTTTAAAATGAGAGCTTTAAGATAATATTAAATAGATATTCAGAAAAAAAAAATTCCTAAAGCTAAATCAAACACCCACTATATTTTCCCTGCTCATAAACACAACATGATTTGTGGGAACTTTACAAAAAAGTCCATCAAACAAAGTCAAGAAAGGCAGATTTCAGATAAAAGCACAAACAATGCAACCAATGTTTGTCATTAAGCTATGAAAATGAACGCAAGTTTATTCAAGCATGGTAAAAGATTCTACTTAGACTTCCTTTATTGTCACTGCACAAAAAAAAAACAAGGTAAATCTCGACAACGAAATGTTGATTACTTGGCTACCAGTGTAACAGAGCTAAAACCTTATTCCTGCACAATAAATATGTTTTCTATAACTAAAAGCTAGCTATATACAGGGTAAACAGTATATATTTACATATAGATTGCACTGAGTTATTGAAGAAGTAACATCAATAAACAAATATTGCACTGAGTTATTGAAAACGAAACATGAAATCGAAGACAAAACTAAACTAAGGTGCATGTATTGTCCATGTCCATGGGGGGTGGATTACATGAGGAAATTATGACTTTTTGAGCTTCAGCATCCACTAGTTGAACATGCAACATGCCATCAGTTACAATCAAAAAGAATCATTTTGAATCAAGATTATCCAATTTCTGCACTAAGGAATCTGTTTTTAATCATCAGATTTTTACCCAACTCTAAAATAAATTTAGCCATTTACAATTCATTTACAAACCCCAAAGAAAACACAGGGTTAAATCTCACATCCTACTTAGATAAATGGGATTTTAAAATTACATCTTACAGAATTCAAAATGAAATGATTGGTTAAGCTAGAATAGAATAGAAAATGTTTGAATATTTATCAAAAACCCAACTTTCTCTGTGGGATTTAAATATCAGTTTCAGTTATTTATCCACTGAGTCTTTGCCGCCATCTAGTGGCCTGAATCTGATTAAGATTTAATTGTATTGTGAAAAACGGTTGGAAATCCCTGCCCCAGACAGCATATAACCTGACATTTCTCTGGTTTAATAGGCCTGATTCAGATGACTGCAGTGTAACAAAACCAGTTAATAAGCTATCAACTGATAATAGTGAAAAACTGATAAACTGAAATAGATAATTACTCTCTAAAATAACACAATGATGGACTGTGATGGATGCACAGGTGTGGCAGGTCAGTTTCAAGAAATGTATTTCAAAATAGTAGCAGGAATAAAAAAGTGATGCACAAACCTGAGCTTAGAAAATGTGTTTTTGTTGTTTTTCAATTCAATTTTAATGCTTTGGATTAATTTGGATATCTGGAGAACCCCAGACTTTTGCATTCTGATGTCATAATTACTGTTGATTTAGGAAGATGCTGTTATAAACACCTCTCTATGAGTAAGTATGATATGTATAAATCCAAACATGTTTAATCCAAAGGCCTTCAGCTGATCCAAAATGCTGCAGTCAAAGTTCTGAGGAAAATTAAAGAAAGAGATCATATCTCTCCTGTCCTAGCTTCTCTTCATTGGCCTTATGTCCCTAACAGAGCACTTCGCTCTCAATCTGCAGGGTTACTAAATGTTCCTACAATTTTTAAAAGTGGGAGGCAGATATTTTAGTTATCAGGCTCCTCTCCTGTGGAACCAACTACAGGTTTAAGTCAGTGAGTTAAGTGCAGGCTTAAAACTTTCCTTTTTGGTAAAGCTTATAATGAAAGGGGGTCAGGTTATCCTGTGCTATCTCTATAGTTATGCTGCTATAGGTTTAGACTTTTGGAGGATATAGGGACCCCATTTCATCATTCTGCTTCATTCTATCTATATTCTCCCACTCTGTAGAATCTGTTAGTTCAATCTCTAACGTTCTGCTCTCTCTGCTTTTTCTCATAGTAGCTTCATCTGTTCTTTTCCTGTTTGGCTGTGACTCCATCTTGGAGAGAAATATCAGCTGTGCTGCTGCAATCAACGGCTGTTTTTTTCAGTGTAGACCTGTTTCTCTGACTGTGGCTAACTGTACGTGCTATCTTTCATCCTCTGACATGGGAGCTGGCTCAGAGCTCGTCTGCCTGGCTGTGTGTTTCCTGGACGGGGCCGCCTGTGGAGCTGGTTTACAGTTACCTTTTTTCTATGTCTGCTTCTGTCTCCTTGAACCCCAATCGGCCTCAACAGATGGCCGCTCACACCGAGTTTGGTTCTAACTGAGGTTTCTTCCTGTTAAAAGGGAGTTTTTTTTCTCTCCACTGTCACTACAAGCACACTTGGTGTGAGGGATTGCCTTTGAGTCAAAGAATCAATGCCATCAACTGATTTTCATTAGATAGAGAACTCTGAATAAATTTGACTGGATGTTCTGGTGAACTGTAAAGTACCTTGAAATGACATGTGTTGTAAATTAGCACTATAGAAATAAACTCAGGGCCCATTTTCACTGATGTCCAATCTTGAACTTTATTAAACATAAGGAGCTTTTGGTGGATTTGTTTGGATTTGGGGATGTTTTTTTTAGTTAACTGCAGGGACTTGAAAGACTGATCTGCACTAACAGAGTGTCAGGTTAATTATCACAGATGATTTGTGAGTTTATTACACCTTAATATTAGCTGCCTGTTGGAGCTAATATTTTCCACAACAGTTTATCTAATTAAGACAGTTCCTCTGTCTGGATATAGTTAGAATTTTCATTCTGTATGTGGCAGATATCTGGGAATGGAATGAGAGCGGTGTCCTTCAGCTAAGAACAATGTATAATATTTTGATAAGGCTGGAGCCATGGATGTCTCCTAATCTGCTCAAATGTATGATGCAAAATGTGATGATGTGGCAGACTGGAGATGTATAAAATGCCTTTTTAACTGTTAATTGGGGCCACTTCCTGAGAGGTGAGCAGCTGCCTTCTGTAACTCTAACTTATTTATCTGGTCATAGTAAGATTACAATTTCTATCAGAATCAGTTGTCTCCTGATTATTTCTTACATATATAACTTACACTTAAGTTATGAAGTGTTATTTTAAGAGTTTGTTTTCAGGGAAAAGAACAGAAAAGATGGAGCTTCAAGGAGGAGCCAAACAGAGAGCATATATTTAACAAGAGACTGACTTAAAAACGCCTCGCATGTTCTCACCTCTTTACCACCCAGAAGCTAACAGGCTTTAGCAAAGATTGCTGACATGGAAAAGGCTCGAGGATACAAACATTTAGTCCATCTATTGATTCCCAGACGCTCACATAACGCATCAAAACATTTTTTAAACAAACACGAATCAACAAACTACCGTAATTCTAACAGAATAATGCCAGCTACGAAGGCATTTACATGTGGATTACTTTAGCTAAGACTTGCTCCCAGCTAAATGTAGCTTAACTGTTTTATAAAATGACGACAGCTTCACCTACTGTTCTCACACAGAGAGGCTCCAATTCTTCCATTCATGACCTGAGTATCACCTCCGACTTAAAGGCAAACATTATAACTTCATTAAAACTGAATTTGTTTATTTACGGCTAAGTACCTAATGATTTTATCTAGCAATACAACAGCATCACAGACACGGATGTTTTGGAAATGACCATTCGCTTTTTTATAAACAGCTTGAGAATGGCCGTTCGGTTCATCTACTGCCCCCTTCTGGTTGGAGTCATTATTGACTAGTCCTGCTTTACTTTTTTTTTTTTTTTATTGAAAACTTCAAAATTTACAGACAAACATGGCTGCATAGATTTCGTTTCTTCAAGTTAGGTTACATAGAAAATATAGCCAGGGGGAACAACTCTTCACACAGATTGAAATATATCTATAACATAGACTTGCTATAGAGGGCTGTTAACATAAACACCAAAGACATAAAACCAAATAAATAAATAAAATAGAAATTTATAAGGATAATTTTAAAATAAAAACAATAATATAGGTAAAGGAAAATAAGAAAGTATAACATGAGGGGAGAATTCAGTCTTTGTTTTAGCTGTTTACTTCTGTAGGGAAGCGTTTTAGGGTATCATATATTTTTTGTGCTTTAGAACCTTTCAGAAACTTTAATGATTTTATATATAGCTTAAACTCGTTTAAAAAAACAACAAGTTCGGGAGATGATTTGACAATTCTACATTTATGAATGAAAAATTTAGCTAGACATACAATCGTATTAATACAGAGCTCATCAGTTTTACTTTGCAATATTAGACCAAAAGTGATATCGTCCCTGGAAATAATGGTTGGGAATGAAAATTGTTGTTGTTTAATCCACCTATGCAAATCACTCCAAAATGTTTGCACCACTGAACATGAGAAGAAAACATGGTCCGTAGTTTCAATGTCATTTTCACAGAACGTACATGTGTTATCATCTATACCAAAGCGAAGTCTCAATAATTCTTTAGAGGGGTAAATGTTGTTCATTATTTTGAAGTGTGTTTCTTTCACCTTTGGGGGTATAGGAAGTGCTAGATACATTGTTCTTAGTTTAGTTATTGAGCTTTTATCAAATTTTTGTAGGATTTTATTTTTATTTTGTCTTTCAGGGTAAAGGTATTCATTAAAACAGTTTCTGATAAAATGGTTAGTGCATTTCCTATCCATAATGTTAATCCCTTGAATTGACAGAGTAGCTAATTGTGGGTGAATTGGATGATATGCCAAAGTATTTTTGATTAAAGGAATAGTACACCCAAAACATGATTAGCCTTCATTTTCTACTCACCCCCATGCTGAACAACACTCTGGAGTACTTTTTTGATATCTCAAATGCATCTGGAGATCTGGGAGGCTTCTTGCTGTCTGCTGACATTCAAATAATGGAGGTCTATGGCGCCCGAGACAGAAAGGTCCATAAAAGTCCACAAAAACGTGTCAATATTCCTCCATACTGCTCGTCCAATGTAATCCAAGTGTCCTGAGTGGGTAGCATCCAGAATTTACTCGAAACGAAGTCATTTAGAACGTTTTAGATTCTAAACAGTAGTGTATAGGATTTCCTAATAGCGCCCCCATGCGCGCTCACGATTCTACGGAAGCCGGCAGACCAAACCGGAAGAAAGTGCGCATTCAGCGTCTGCTCTGCCGATAATGCAAGCGTAGAAGAAGAAATGTGCTGTTTACCTGTGCAAAGAAAGAAACAACGAAAGAAAAATGTCTGAGGACTTCAGTGATGAGGAAGAGCATGAGTTCTTTGCCGAGCTGAATGCGCTGGTTTGGTCTGCCGGCTTCCGTAGAATCGTGAGCGCGCATGGGGGCGCTATTAGGAAATCCTATACACTACTGTTTAGGCTCTAAAACGTTCTAAATGACTTCGTTTCGAGTAAATTCTGGATGCTACCCACTCAGGACACTTGGATTACATTGGACGAGCAGTATGGAGAAATATTGACACGTTTTTTGTGGACTTTTATGGACCTTTCTGCCTCGGGCACCATAGACCTCCATTATTTGAATGTCAGCAGACAGCAAGAAGCCTCCCAGATCTCCAGATGCATTTGAGATATCAAAAAAGTACTCCAGAGTGTTGTTCAGCATGGGGGTGAGTAGAAAATGAAGGCTAATCATGTTTTGGGTGTACTATTCCTTTAAAAAAACAAATTCCTGGGGTAGTGCTCTATGTAATTTGTTAAAGTCTGACTCTAAAGGTTTGAAATGATGTTTAATGCAAAATTGTTTATAATTATAAAAGGCTCCGTTGGCATCCATTAAATCTACTATGGACCATATATTTCTCCCATACCAGTCTTCAAAGAACAAAGATTTGTTGCGGTGCAGAATATATCTGTTGTTCCAGAGAACAGTTGTGTGGGGTGAGAAGTTATGCACATATAACATTTTCCAGTACAAGAGGATTTGTTTGTGAAACTCTGATAGTGTTATTGGCAATTTGACAACATTAAAGTCCGCTCTAAGAAGAAAATCCAATCCTCCAATTTTCTTGAACAAGGACCTTGGAATACAAAACCAAAAGGAGTTGCTGTGTTTGATCCAAGATTTTAACCAATTTATTTTTATGGTCCCATTTAGACAGTCAAAATCAATAACTTTGAGACCCCCATCTTTTGCGTCTTTAACCATACTGCTTTTCTTCATATAATGTGGTCTATTTCTCCAAATGAAATTTAGGTTGATTTGGTTGATAGATTTCATTAATCTTTTTGGAATGGCATTGGAATAAGCCGGGTAGATACATCTAGATAAGCATTCCATCTTAGTTAGGTAGATCCGTCCTAGTATTGATAAGTCCCTCTGCAACCATAAGTTTAGTCGTGACTATAGTCCTGCTTTACACGACGGTCACGGCAGACCGACCGCTTTGGCCTATGGGCGCTGACGTGATTTGGTAGCGCCATCTTTGGGCGGTCGACTATGGCAAGCCACGAAGGCCACTTTTCGCATTAAATTATGGCGTTAAGATTGAAAGTAACCCGCTAAAATAGTGGCCTTCTTAGCTTTAACTACTGATGGATATACAGGAATACAGTGACACAAGTCTCAACTCCTCTGAGATAGCACAGGATGCAATTTTTGGCAATTTATTATTATTAATTTTTAATTCAGTGTATAACATGAATGCATAAATACCTCATTTTATTTCAGTGTTAAATTCTGTTTAAAATAACAGATAATTAAAAATGTCTCCGGACCTTTACTGGCTGAAGATTTTCTTTATTAAGACCCCACTGATTTTTAATTGGTTGCCCCTGGTTTAATGTTTATAAATATTTATGTCACGTCTTGTGCGCCATCCAGAGTGGGAATTTAACCCATGAGACCCCTGAAAGCCTCAAAAGCAATATTTAAAGGGGGTCTTAAATTGTGTCAAAAAATGTAAAATAAAATATTTTTTTGTCACTATTGGTCACTAAAATGTTTTTAAGCTCAACATGTCCAGTATTTAAAATTAAAAAAATTTATTAACAAATATGTTCTGTTTTTTGCTAAGTGTAGCCAGCCAATCCTGTTCACGTATGCAAATTAGCCATGGACAAATTCGACCCATTTCCATTCGTCAGAAGCTGGATTAAAGCAGGACATCGCCTCTCTTCCGCCTGGAAACCAGGACGGCAACCACAAGAATTCGAGCCGAGGCATCTTTGGTCGATTCTAACTTAAGGTAAGAGGCTATTTTATAAATTGTCCTGTATGTAGGCCTTGACTTTGGTTGTGGTCTTAGTGAAGCAGCCTGGCCTTGGAGTTGGAGAATGATTGTATATGTGCTGCATGTTTGTGTGTGAAAGAGAGAGACAGACAGACAGTCTTTGTGCATGTGTGTGTTGTCATAGACTGACTGTCTGTTCAGGCTCTTGCCCGCTCCACCAGATTCACAGAAAGCTTCATCCACCAAGCTGTCAGGAAGCTGACATCCCCCTCCCCTCCAAAAAAAAAAAAAAACACTCCGGACAAACTGTATCCTGCACTACTATTATTACTATATTTATTTACTGTTCTTTTGCACTGTAACTGTTACAAATATATCTTACATAATTGGTAATAATAATTCTATTTTTTTTCTGCTGCCATTACCATCTGCCTTTTTGCACTAGCATAAGTATTGTATATTTTATATTATTGTACATTTTATATTTTATTGTGAAATTGAATGTTTAAATTTTAATATTAGGAACTGATCTTATCTGTTGTGCCTGTGCACTTTATCTGTTTCACTGTTGGTGAATGAGAAACGTCCTCTCGTGTCCTTCTGTCTGGTGAATGTGAAGATTTGACATTAAAGCTGACTTTGACTTTGACATTGAAATGTTATAGGGCTACTGCATATTGAAAAAAATTTAGATCGGTATTGTGCAACAATCTGGAGATGGTCAATATGGTCTGATAAAAAGTACATTTATATGCATGCTTAAGCCAGAATGATGAATTTGACGTTTAAATATGATTTCTCGTCGACTTTAAATCTCAACCTGTCTATTTCTCCATTTAGACCAAAGTTGAGGTCACCCCCAATACTTAGAGAACAGTCCCTGTGCTTTGAAAGTGCTTTGTGGAAGAATGAGGGGTCGTCAACATTTGGACCATATATGTTGACAATACATAACTTTTGGTTATGAATAGATATTTTAATTATGATAAATCTGCCTTCAGGATCAATAATTTTGTCTAATAAAGTAAAACTGAGGTTTTTGTGGATTAAAATTGCTACTCCTCTCTGGCTATAGTTATATCAGGTGGCAAACACATCAGAAAACTCAGGGGAGTTAAGATCACTTACAGTTGCCGCTGATTTAGGGGTTTCTTGAAATAAGACAACATCTGCATTTAATCTTTTAAGCTGGTTAAAAATCTTAAACTGGTTCTCTCTGGTGCAGGCTCCATGCACATCCCATGTCACAAACATTACATTCACCATAGGTGTGAGTGAGAAGATGAAAAGTACATCCCTCTGAATAAATAGTTATACCTAGACCCAGGTAGCATCAAACCGTGTGCTTGTGATTGTGTGAACCACAGGGAAGAAGCAGACAAATAAGTAAAAGGAAGACAGAGAATTAAGAAAGTGCAATGAGTAAGAAAAGGTGAAAGAAGAACCCCAGCCCATGCTTCCTGTACCCAGCTGTAACAGCCATACCGTGCAAACGTGCTCTAGAGCTGTGCATTTATTTAATTTATCACCAAGAAATGTTCTATTCACTTTAATCAGGTGTCACATGCTTTAAATCCACCTGTTGTGCATCTAATAAAGCCAAGGAGTAATCTTCTGATCCCTGTACAACTGACCATTAATATAAAGTTTGTCAACTGCTACCGTAGCTCTGATGCCTTCACTGATATATTTCTTCCTGATTGGGAATAAGACTCGCTTCGATCTAATACTTCCTTTGGAAACTGGTCATTAACGCTAAAATTTGTTCCTCTCAGCTCTCTGCCCTGACTCCTGACCTGCTCGTTTTGCTTGTAATGCTCAAACTTAGCTGCAATTGCTCTAGGGCGGGATTTATCAGGCTTCTGAGCCGGGAACGCGATGGAAGGTGATGTTTTTTACCTGGTCCGCTGGGATTTTCAGCTTCTTCTGGAGGAACTCACGGACTGTTGCCTCAGGGTCTCCTTCTTGCTGCTCATTCCTGCGAAGACCAGATTATCTCTCATGCTCCATCTTGAATGTCCAGAATGGATTCCTTAATCTTTTTATTTTCGCCGGACAGCTGGATCATCCCCTCTGTGAGTTTGGTGACTTCCCCCTTCAGCGCTTTGTTCTCGGCGGTGACGGAGGCCAGCTGAGCTTGGCTGAATTCCAGCGACTCCCTCAAAGCTTGAAACTCCTTATGCAGGACTTCTACCAGGGCGAGGCGGGCGTTAGAGACTGCAATTTTTCTCGTCAGTATTATTAACATTCACGTGATTGGGACGGTACAGGATTAAACATAAACGGGAGCAGACGGGAGTGGGAGCAAACCAATAATAACTAAAAAAAAACTAGGATCGCCAAAAAATGAAATAAAATAGAAAGAAAAAAAATCCAGTACTGGCGCGGCGCCGCCATTTTGTAGTTTTTTTCCTTGAAGCCTACACTATAATGCGAGTCAAAAAACTACACGACTCAAAAACCAACAGTGCTTCCGCTCTGAGTTTTTCACCCGTGCAAAAAAAAAACCCAACAAGAATGGGTGGGTTCAGGAGCGGGAGTCATTCTGAATGGGAGCGGGATGGGAGTGGGAGTAATTTCACCAGGAGTGGGACGGGACAGGATTTAGATTTCTACTCTGGCCCGGGATCGGGACGGGACACAATTTTTTTCTGTGGGAGTGGGACGGACAGGAGTGAAAATCCACTCCCGTGTCAGTCTCTAGCGGGCGTCCAAGCTGGTTAGCTTTTCGTCGATGGATTCCAGGACGTCGCTGTAGCTCCTGTCTGGAGACAAAGTGGAGGTAGAAGCAGCACTGGTTGAACTAGATCGTTTGGTAGAAGGTGTGTTTGTGGATGCAGGATTCCTTGGCTTCCCCATTACGATGTTGTCAAAACACTCGTCCAGGTAGCTCTCCAGGCTCGTCAAGGTCTCGTCTTCCAGTTTGTTCCGTCGGAAATACGGTACAATTATCAATGTTTAAACCTGCTTTGTTTTATTTACATTTATTGGCTTACTTACCTGAGTGGAAAGGTTTTTTGAATTACCCGTATGTCGCCATTTTACTTACACACACAGCTCTCGTGAGATCTCAGCTGCACATCCCTCTGAGACGAAGTTTGAGCATGTAAGACGAGGTTAGACTAGGACCCATCCTTACTTTAAGATAAGATTTGTTAACCATTTAAGTAATTCAGATTCTGCTTCTTACACGTAACCAGCAGGTGCATAACATCTGGACCGAGAAATTAAATAAAAATCTTGGCTGAGGAAAGCCAGAGAGGGAGGGGTTGAGCTGAGTAAATGCAAAGGGCATTGATAAAGGGTTTGAACAGTTTAAGACTTACTCAAATGACATAAGTAATAACTACATTAAGATCTCAGTCATTGATTAGGACGTGAGAGCAATGGTGTCAAGGTGCAGCGTGCCTATGCAAGGGCTTATTACAGTTCAAGAGAAGGAGGCCCAAATGTGTGTGGGTTTGAAATGAGCTCTGTGGGACCTCAGCTAAGGTACAAAGGGTTGTTTTTTAATGTGATGTTAGTTTGTTGTGTTTGTTTCTGCCGGTAAAGTTAATTCAAAGTTTTGGTTTTCATTTCTCTTGTTTCTATATATAGTATGAGAGTCGACCCCTGCCTGGTGGCATGGATCTCCAGCTACCTCACAGACAGGCCACAGTATTTCAGGCTGAAAGAGACCATCTCTGAAACAGTAGTCAGTAGCACTGGCGCCCCCCAGGGTGCAGTACTGCCCCCTGTCCTCTTCACCTTTTACACCTCGAACTTATGTTACAACTCTGAACTGTGTCACATACAGAAGTACGCAGATGACACAGCCATCGTGGGGTGTATCAGGGACAACAGAGAGGGGGAGTACAGGAGTCAGATGGGGGGCTTTGCCACCCGGTGCCACAGCAACCACCTGGAGCTCAACATCTCCAAAACAAAGGAGCCGGTCATAGACTTAATGTGTTAAATCCAGTTTGTGTGTTTCTTCTCTCTCCACCACCAGGTGGTACTCTGTCCTTGTTGGGCCTCCCTGCACACCTGCGGCTCGTTGGTTCATTTCTGGCAGAGTATTTGAGCAGTGGGCTGACACTACCTCAACGCCAGTGTTTGCCAGTTTTGGGTACTCTAGCCAAGCTGAGATTAGCAGAGTCTAACCTAGATTTGTTTGTCTGAGTCTTAAGAGTTTTTTGTCTTTGCTCTTTGGCAGGAAGCCTTCCTGTGAAAACTGGATACCTGGACCTTCTCCCCCTGGAAGGAATTACTAAGTTGACACTGAGCAGGGGAAAACCTCCACAACCCATTTAAATCCCTATCAGAAAACCAAGTGACAGTCCGCTCCTTTACTCCTCTGGGTCCAACGTAAGCCTACCTGTCCACTCTCCAACAAGTTCCCTCTTCTCTGGATAATCCCGCACAGACTGGATTCAAGGATTGACAAGAGCCCCTTCAAGTGGGAGTCCCTCGCCAGCATATTCAAGCCGCAGTATCATTTCCCACGACCCCTGAACTAATCTCTGTGATCTCCCCTTCAGATTTTCCAGTTTCGGTTCACCAGTTCACTGAGTTCCAGATCCACCCTCTGTTAACATTACATCAAATAAACCTGTTTTACTCTTCCCCTTGTTCTCCGAGTGGTTTCTCTGCATGTGGGTCAGATTCCTTAAACCGATCATGACAATTTGGTACTTTGGTAATTGTAAAGAAGAATTTTCAAACAGTTTAAGTGAATCTTATAAGAAATATTATAATGAAGGAAGAGAAATAAATTAAAAGATGCCATTCAATTATTTCAAGCTTTTATTTATGGAGTAGCAATTTGGAAGCCCACATGATTAAGACACCTCCCTCAAGCGGGCAAGGAAAAACTCCCAGAATGAGCCATTGATGGCTGAGCCTGGAAGAAACCTTGAGAAGGACCACACAAGAGGGAACCCCCTTCCTGGGTATTCTGAGTGTCTAGTGGGCTTAAAAACTCAAAGGGTGCCAATTTCTTCTGTCTCCTAAAGTATGGTTCCAGCGTCGCTCCGATCTGGTTCCTCTGGTGACCAAAGATTAAAAAAGCATATCATTAAATGAATCAGAAAGGTTGAATATATATTCTTCACATTCTAATCAGAAAACCCACCATAAAGAGGTTAGACTCCATGGCTAGCGGAGCTGTAACCTGGTTCTTCTCCTTAACTGAGCTGCAGCCTGTGTTAAAAAAGCATAATTAATTATTTCCGTATTTTCATAGTTTAAAGAAATCTGACCTAAACTCCAAAAGGGGCAAAGCAGAGATATTTACCTCTCTGTGTTTGTTTCCTCTGCCTTATTATTTTCTTCTTTCCCTCTCTAGAAACATTCACAAATCTAAAAGGAGAAATAAAATGAAATCAAGGAAATATTTATATTTTTCTCTAATCTTATCCACTATATAATGCAGATAAGGATAATTTATCATGCAGATTGATGTAAGTTTGTCATAAATTCATGAAGAAAACAAATATACTTGTATTATATTACCTGTATTCATTGAAGCTCGCCTTTGATTGGATGTAAAGGAGAAGCTTTCATGATTTTAGGAAACTGTAAACATGGAAAGGAGAAAAAAAAAAACAACCTTCAAAAAACACAATCTAAGTTATTTACACTCTTTAATATTAAAACAAATTAGAAATTAAACAAATGAATACAGATTTTGATTAGTATAAAAATCCAGAAACTCTTCAGATCAGTTGAAATTTCTCATGACTTCACCTTAACCACTGAGGTTTATCTCCACTTTCAGTTATAAGGTCACCAAGCATCACTATGGAAAACTGTAAACACACAAAACAGAAAAGAAATATCCCTAAATATGTGAAACTTGAACAATAATCAGATCTAGATATATAATATTTTATGTTAAATTTAGAGGAAAAATCTAATATTACTTCTTTTGTTCTCCTGAAAAGTGCAGCTGATGAAGAATGCTTCACGGTGTCGGCCAACTGTAAAACAGAGACGAGAAAAAACACAAGAAGGACAAAACAATAACAAAAAACAACAACAAAAAACACAGCAATAAACAAAATTAAGAAACACTACACTACACTATAAATCTACAACAGTGACAACAGTAAAAAAATAGTTTTATAACTTAAAGCTACAGTGTGTAATTTTCAGCGACATCTAGCGGTCAGACTGCAGACCGCAGCAACATGAACATCTCCCCCCCACCGCTTCTCCCCCCCAACAGTACGGCGAGCGTTACGGGACAAAATGTCTTCCACGACGTCCGCATCACCTACCTTCTCAAGTGATGAGGTTTGTTTACATAGATAATTTTACAGATAGTATTTCATTAGTCTGTGTAGGGTATAGATTTCATGTAGAATTAAGATAATAAATATACCCGTTTTTTTTTCTACATCGTTGTGACGTTTTGGTGAGCTGCTTTGCTTGAAGATCTCCAAAGGAGCCGGAGAGAAGTAACCGAGGAATATATCCAGAAAATTATTTTACAGAAAATTACTGAATCATTACCTGTGAAACGTCAGGGACGTTGCTGAATAAGTATACTGGAGAGTAACAGCATCATCACGCAGCATGTTATTGTAATGGGCGATCTCGCAATCGCTAGTTTGTTGGCTCTGCGCAGCCGTAGCGCAAAGATGTCTGCCTCCATGGCTGCGAGACCCGCTCCTATGTAATTATAAATAACGAATTCTAAGGCAACGCAAATATTAAGGTTAAGAGGCTGAGCTCGTAGATGATTATAAATAACATAGTTATGTATAATATATTACAGTTCTGACTGTATATCCCTGTAATTATTACACACTGTAGCTTTAAAGGTATAGAGGAAGATTTAGGTGTGAACTCTCTAAATAAGTGGTCCTCCTAAATGTCAATCATTCTGGTGGGGCGGGTCTTTTAAAAAAGTTGCGAAAATCCTCCACAATACCTTTAACATTAACACCAATCAAAACAAAAAACAAAATGGAAATAATGACAAACAGAATCATTACAAAATAATAATTAAAAAAAGTACAAAATTGAAATAAAAATAAAGAAAAAAAGTACAAGACAAGTAAAAAACAGTGATTACTACCATTACACAGTTCAGAACCTACATTTTTTGCCCATGTGCTCATATTTCCATCCTTCCTTTTTCCATTTGTTATATGGAAACAAATATTTAAGAATTGTAAGCGAAATTTTGTGTTTTTAAACCATAATTGATCAATACATTTATTTCTGATGAATGATATCTACATTCATAATAATGATAAAGTCATATTTAACTTTAATGAAATATCTTGATTCTAAAAGTCATGGATGATTGGGAACCTAATGGACACCAAACGAGAGGTGGGGTGGGGTTGGGGGGGTTAGGGGAGCCGGAGTACCCGGAGAGAACCCAAACACGCATGGAGAAAACAGGCCATGGTAGGACTCAGCTTTTACAACTGAACCACCATGAAGCCTAGCGTTAGCTTTTTCATGTTTATTTCCCTAATTTATCAAAAATATATTAAAAACTAGGATGGAAAAAAAAAAGGTGCAAAAACAGGATATGGAATAAAGGGAGGAAGGAAAAAGGAGGTAGGGACACAAGGGACTATTTGTTCTACGAGCAAAGGGGCAAAATAATCTGGAGCTGAACCAAAACATCAACACAAACACTTTCTGCTACTACTAGTACTATCACACAGAGCAGATTTCAGTGTCTTTTTCGATTCCTCTTTCACTTGTTGTGTGTTCTGCAAAGATAACAAGTTGAGTTGCATGTTATTAAAGGTTAAACTCTTTCAAACTAAATCCCATCAATGTAAACCTACCTGTTTGCTGTCTGAGGAGCTACTGTTGGACTATCCTGAGGATGGCTATTCTTTCTCCACTTTCTCACTGGAGAGTTTGAGTCATCACTCCTACAAAGGTAAAATAAAAATATATATAAGTGTAAAATATTTAATGGTTACTTTGCCAAAAATGTAAAACTGCAACACTTTAATGCTACGTTCAAACCGCTAGCAGCAGAAGCAGCTAGTTTCCATGCAAAGTCAATAGTTGACGCGCATCAAGGTCTGGCTGTGTGTCTGAGCATCTGAAGCGCTCAACACGCTTCACAAGCAGCAGCTGCTGGAGTTGGAAAAATGTAACTTTTGCTGCTGGACGTGCCACATCAACCAATCAGAGTAGCTGATCTGTGAGCTGGCAGAGAGTCAGACACAGCATTGCTGATGCAGATCTCTATAATCAAACCTCTGAAACACTTTATTAACGCCTAAATTAACTTAAAATGTCGAAACATGACGGCAAATATTTTCAATTTTATTATTCTGGTGCCTGCAGTTTGGATTATGTATGTGAAAAACACTAACATCTACTTCCGGCCGCAGCGAACAGTAGCGGAAAGCCGCAAAGAGGTTACCGGGCCGGAGCCTGCTGTTGAGCGGCATTCCCAGTGACAGCGCACCGCCAGTGTACGGGGGTCTGAGCGGCTCAGACAGCGAAATAATATTTGAAGACAGGATGGAAATCTTAATGAACTGACTGCACAGAGGAAGCGTTCAGGTGGACTTTCTCACTTCACTCTGTTTAAGGGTCTTCTTTGGTTTGGACGACTGAGAATCTTCACCAGCATAAAGGATAGAGACCCAGTGCGCATCAGACTCACTTTTCGACCGCTCTGCCTAGAGCCGCAAAGATGCTTCAGTCGCACGTCAGAACTAAACTTGTACAAGCATCAAAAATGAAGCAGCGCGTGTGTTTTTGCTACCCCTGCTGTTGGCGGTGTGAATGTAACATATGATTATTAGAGGTTTTACCTTTTTCTTTTTCTCCGGCTGTTATCCACAACTTTTGATGTTTCTGCAGCTGGAGACTTTTGGGAGTCACTAGTGGAATTGCTCTTTCTCTCTGGAGATTTCAAGTCCTCTCTTCTACACAGGCAGAATAGAAAATATATAAGTTTAAACTATTTCATAGTAACTTTGTCAAAAATGTAAAAATGGCAAATCTTTAAAATTTATTAAAAGAGGTCTTACCTTTTTCTTTTTCTCCGGCTGTTATCCACAACTTTTGATGTTTCTGCAGCTGGAGACTTTTGGGAGTCACTAGTGGAATTGCTCTTTCTCTCTGGAGATTTCAAGTCCTCTCTTCTACACAGGCAGAATAGAAAATATATAAGTTTAAACTATTTCATAGTAACTTTGTCAAAAATGTAAAAATGGCAAATCTTTAAAATTTATTAAAAGAGGTTTTACCTTTTTCTTTTTCTCCGGCTGTTATCCACAACTTCTGATGTTTCTGCAACAGCCGGAGACTTTTGGGATTCACTAGTGGAATTGCTCTTTCTCTCTGGAGATTTCAAGTCCTCTCTTCTACATAGGCAGAATAGAAAACATATAAGTTTAAACTATTTCATAGTAACTTTGTCAAAAATGTAAAAACGGCAAATCTTTAAAATTTATTAAAAGAGGTTTTACCTTTTTCTTTTTCTCCGGCTGTTATCCACAACTTCTGATGTTTCTGCAACAGCCGGAGACTTTTGGGATTCACTAGTGGAATTGCTCTTTCTCTCTGGAGATTTCAAGTCCTCTCTTCTACATAGGCAGAATAGAAAACATATAAGTTTAAACTATTTCATAGTAACTTTGTCAAAAATGTAAAAACGGCAAATCTTTAAAATTTATTAAAAGAGGTTTTACCTTTTTCTTTTTCTCCGGCTGTTATCCACAACTTCTGATGTTTCTGCAACAGCCGGAGACTTTTGGGATTCACTAGTGGAATTTCTCTTTCTCTCTGGAGATTTCAAGTCCTCTCTTCTACACAGGCAGAATAGAAAATATATAAGTTTAAACTATTTCATAGTAACTTTGTCAAAAATGTAAAAACGGCAAATCTTTAAAATTTATTAAAAGAGGTTTTACCTTTTTCTTTTTCTCCGGCTGTTATCCACAACTTCTGATGTTTCTGCAACAGCCGGAGACTTTTGGGATTCACTAGTGGAATTGCTCTTTCTCTCTGGAGATTTCAAGTCCTCTCTTCTACACAGGCAGGATAGAAAATATATAAGTTTAAACTATTACATAGTAACTTTGTCAAAAATGTAAAAACAGCAAATCTTTAAAATTGTTTATTAGAGGTTTTACCTTTTTCTTTTTCTCCGGCTTTTACCCACAACTTCTGATGTTTCTGCAACAGCCGGAGACTTTTGGGAGTCACTGGTGGAATTGCTCTTTCTCCGCTTTCTCTCTGGTGACGTACTTCTGCACAGAAACACAATAACTAAGTCAACTATTTAAGGGCCAGTCTAAAATATATTTTTTTAAGCATGTGAAACATTACCTACCCTTCTCTACCCTGATCCCTCTCAGTGTCTATCCTTTGTTTCCTCTTATATCTGAGGTTATACTTAGAAACTACTTCAGAGGGAGCCTGCTGTGATTCATGGAGGTCCATAATCACCTTTCTCTTCTTACTTACTGGTGATTCACTTCTTGGACTAAGAGTAAAGCAACAAAAATGCATTATTAAAGGTTATAAGTTTCTTAAAGTGTAATAAACCATCTAAAGCTCACGTTATTTACCCGCTAAAATGCAGAATTTTGGAAGCATCGCAGCTCCTCTGTCCTTCAGGGTTTACTGTGACTGTTATGCATGACAAGTCGGTTTGAGTTCCTGTAGACACTGTTGGTAAACACATAAGAAAATAGGTTAGTAGCAGCAATATTTTATATCTCAATATAATGAGATAGTAACTCAATATAATGAGATAGTAACTCATTATATTGAGTTACTATTTCATTATAATGAGAAATTTTTTTTTTTTTTTTTTACAGAGTGGCGAAAACGGGCTTCCATAAATTTCTATTCATAAATTACAAAATTCAACTGAAGCTTTTTTCCTTTGTAAATACCAAAAGCAGCTTTCTATTCTGTTTACGGGGGAGTGGCGGCCAGTGGTTAGGGCACTTTGCTTGGAATCCAGAGGTTCTGAGTTCGAGTCCCACTCCCACTGACTGCCACTCTGGGTCCCTGAGCAAAGACCCTTAACCCCACACTGCTCCCCACACAATGGCAGCCCACTGCTCTCCAAGGGGATGGGTTAAATACAGAGTTAATTTCATTACACTGTACTTGTGACAGTGTAATGACAATAATTAAAATAAAAAAACGCTGTAATATCCTGAAATGATCCAATATCAATAAACTCTGGTAAAACTAAATGCAGACCTACCTGTATCTGCCTCTTCTAAATCAGTGTCCAAGTTCTTTGCTGGTATAGAGCTCTGCGTGTCTCTGGCAAAGCAAGTAGAGTGAAAGGGTTTTAATTTGAACATGTTTATTACATAGAAACATTTCATGAAATGAATAAAAAACTCACCTGTTAGGGCTCAGCGGTGCCTCAGAGGAAAACCGCCTCCTTTTTCTTGCTCCTTTAGACCTGGAGGAAACATCTTTTTCTACTTTTGGTTCCTGTGAGTAGAAAGATGTCCCTTCCTCTTTCGATAAGAAGCTCAGTTGTTCTTGTTGTTGTGAGTTTTCATGGAGGCTGAGACTAGTAGAGAAGGCTAAGGCAGTGTCTGAGATAAGAGGGTGGTCCCAGTGATTTTTCCAATTAGGATCCCGGCAGATCTCCATTGCATCACAACATGATTTGAAACTGAAAGAAAATAAAACATTGAATGAAAACAAGACCAGGAACATGAAAGGGACTTAATGAACAATGATATTGTCCACTTACTAAAAACTGTTGCTGTGGTTCTTTGCTTGGTACTCCATGGTTATAAATGGATTTTCAAGGAGTAAGCTTGGAGTGATGCGTTTGTCTGCATCTAAATTAAGCATATTCTTTAGAAGCTCCACAAAGTCCTCTTGGTCCTCAAGTTCTGCTGTGGTGTCCTCATCCGACAGATGAAAGGGAGACTTCATCTGGATGAGGATCAAATGTCAGTGATGTCAATTTAACAAGACAGGCTAGAATTTAAAGGCCAAAGTGTGATATTTACCGTCAGGATGTCATTTAGGGACTTCGGAGACTGAATCTCCTTTTGGTCGAATAAAGAGACACTAAGGTGATTGCAGAGACTCCTGTAGTTATCATGGCTCTAAAGAAAAAAAAAAACATGTATTTCTTTATGACCTTTTTCATATCAGATCTAATCAGAAAATAGGAAACAAAAACCAAAAATCATTTAATCTTTAAATTAAACAGATGAAATATTCGAACCTTCAGTGACCACCGTCTACAGCCTCCCCTTCTGTTCCTCTTCTTTCGGAAATAATATCTTGTGTTCTCTCCTCTTTTTAAAACCCTCTGTGGGATTTGTCCTCGTGCCTGAATGATAAGTTGAAGCTGTAAAAAGTCAAAAGTAAACTTTTAAATTAGGAAAGTTACATTAGTTGCATAATACCAGAAATTGTTGAGATCCAAGGTTTATTTGTTATTTTTTATCTAAGTTGCCAAGTTTCATGTTAATTAACTTCGTGCTTTAATTTCTTCAATCAATGCTTGGATTTTTTTTACTGATTTAAAACCTCATAAAGTAAAACATATTGAAGCAGGTTAAGCTAAAAGTGATTTTTTAGGTTTTCTTCTCACCATGTTGTATTCATTTCTTGCAGGGAAGAGCAGAGTTCCGAGGAATAACTCGGCAGCAATGCAGCCCAGAGACCACATGTCAATGGCTGATGAGAAGGGAATTCCCAGAATGACCTCTGGAGCTCTGGAGAAGGAAAAATAAAAGCATTGAACATATTTTAATTTGAATGAAGATAAAATCTGAAATAGGTTCTCCTCTTATTTACCTGTATACATATGGTTGAACGCCTGAATCCAGCTTTGGTTCTGGGACGTGGCAGGCCAAGCCAAAATCAATGATCTTAATCTTCAAGGGCTTTTTGACATGGTCCACCAGCATGATGTTATCTGGCTTCAGATCAGTGTGAACGATTTTTTCCTTTTGCAGTAGATCAAGTGCTGTGGCGATCTAAATACAGAGAGGAAACAGAAACAATAGAAAGCTGTTTACTACTTTTTTTTTTTTAACAAGAATTCCTAAATTTCCCAAAAAACTTTGTGTTAAAATCTGAACTTTTTTGCAAAGTGAAACTAAGAGCCATGGTTTTAGTGTAAAAGAATCCTACCTGATGCAGGATTGGGCGGATTTCCTTCACAGTCAGAGAACGGTCTGGTCTCTCATGTTGAAAATCAAACAGACTCATATGAAGCATCTCAAAATCAAAACAGATCTTTTGCTTGTACATAAAAGCATCGTTGCATCGGATAAAGTTGAATCTGTCGGGATCATATTGTCTCATTTTCCAAAGGATCTCCGCCTGCAGAACAGAAGATGGTTGTGAGATTGGTTCATAATCTTAAAACGCGTTTATCAAAAATAAAAACTTGCTCCTACCTCATTTCTGGCCTGAGCTGTCAGGAATTTGCTCTTGGTCATCTTTACAGCCACTGTTTCAGTTGTGGCTGTTTTTATACACTTGGCTACTGTTCCATAGCTGCCCTCTCCAATGAAAGACAAAATCAGATATTTAGAGGATGGAGAGGAGAGAGTCCCTATGATTTTTAGGGGTTTATCTTCAGCAGAAGATGATGATGTTTCTCCTTCCTCTTCAGTTAAAGAAGTAGTTGTCCCTTCCCGATAATCCATACTCTGTAGTGAGATAAAAGGAAGGAACAAGTGTGAGCGAATAGTTTGTGATAATTGAAGGAGAAAACAATATTAGCGCTTACAGTTTCAGGTTTATCATAACCTCTAATAGCCTAAAATATCCCACAATGCATCTCTCAGTTTAAAGTGTCAGATCTTTTTCTTAAAGATGAGGCTTTTACATACTGTTAATCTGCACTCACAAAAATATTTCACCCAAATTTTAGAATTTAGGGTAAATTTATTACATAACAAATTTTCATTTACGTATTTTACATCATTGTAACACAAAACTATTAATAAACCTTCTGGGATTCATTTTATACAAAAATATAATTCTAATTAGTTAATTTATTTCAAATACTTTAAGTTTATTTTTTCTTTGAATTGCAAAAAGTTCAGTTTACCTCTATACTATTAAAACAATAAATTTCATGCATTTGAAATAATTACTCAAATACACTCTTTGGTAATAATTTTATTTCAGTATCTTTTGTGATACCTAATATTAGGAATTTCTACTAAAAAAGCTATGTTGTACAAATTAATGTAAATGTAAGGCCTATTTAATAGGTTTGTGTTACATTTAAAAAAGAAGAAATTGGGAATTTGTTATATAATAAATTTACTTAAACGTTGGGTAAAATATTTCTCTGTGTGCCTGATCTGGTACTACTTTAGGCCAGAAACCTTTTTTCTTTTTTTTTTTAAATGGTAAAATTTCCCAGTGGTTTTAGTGAAAAAGAAGCCAGAGTCTGATTAATGGAAAGATACACTACCGTTCAAAAGTTTGGGGTCAGCAAAGCAATTTTGTGTTTTCCTGACAAGTCACACTTATTCACAACCATAAGTTGTGAAATAAATAGAAAATAGAGTAAAGACATTAACATTGAAATAAACATTGAATTTTTTTTTACATCAAACTTTCCTTTCGTCAAAGAATCCTCCATTTGCAGCAATTACAGCATTGCAGACCTTTGGCATTCTTGCTGATAATTTGTTGAGGTAATCTGAAGAAATTGCACCCCACGCTTCCAGAATCAGCTCCCACAAGTTGGATTGGTTGGATGGGCACTTCCTGCGTACCATACAGTCAAGCTGCTACCACAACAGCTCAATGGGGTTCAGATCTGGTGAATGCGCTGGCCACTCCATTACCGATAGAATACCAGCTGCCTGCTTCTGCTCTAAATAGTTCTTGCACAATTTGGAGGTGTGTTTAGGGTCATTGTCCTGTTGTAGGATGAAATTGGCTCCAATCAAGCGCTGTCCACTGGGTATGTCATGGCGTTGCAAAATGGAGTGATAACCTCCCTTATTCAGAATCCCTTTTACACTGTACAAATCTGTACAAATCTCCCACCTTACCAGCACCAAAGCAACCCCAGACCATCACATTACCTCCACCATGCTTAACAGATGGCGTCAGGCATTCTTCCAGCATCTTTTCATTTGTTCTGCATCTCACAAACGTTCTTCTTTGTCATCCAAACACCTCAAAATTGGATTCATCCGTCCACAACACTTTTTTCCAGTCTACCTCTGTCCAATGTCTGTGTTCTTTTGCCCATCTGAATCTTTTTCTTTTATTGGTCAGTCTCAGATATGGCTTTTTCTTTGCCACTCTGCCCTGAAGCCCAGAATCCCGCAGCCGCCTCTTCACTGTAGATGTTGACACTGGTGTTTTGCGGGTACTATTTAATGAAGATGCCAGTTGGGGATCTGTGAGGCGTCTGTTTCTCAAACTCGAGACTCTAATCTACTTATCTTCTTGCTGAGTTGTGCAACGCGGCCTCCCACTTCTTTTTCTACTTGTCATGATAATCATGACACTACTCTGGTTAGAGCCTGTTTGTGCTGTCCTCTGAAGGGAGTAGTACACACCGTTGTAGGAAATCTTCAATTTCTTAGAAATTTCTCGCATGGAATAGTCATTTTTAAGAACAAGAATAGACTGTCGAGTGTCAGATGAAAGTTCTATTTTTCTGGCCATTTTGAGCGTTTAATTGACCCCACAAATGTGATGCTCCGGAAACTCAATCTGCTCAAAGAAAGGTCCGTTTTCTAGCTTCTGTAACGAGCTAAACTGTTTTCAGAAGTGTGAACATGATTGCACAAGGGTTTTCTAATCATCAATTACCGTATTTTAATGACCATAAGGCGCACCGTACTAAAAGGCGCAGTCTCAGTTATGTGTGCCATTACTGTATTTAACACACACATAAGGCGCACCAGATTATAGGGCACGGGTTTTATATACAGGTACATGTCCTCTACTACGTTTAAATACCTCTACTGCGTATTTAAAAATAGAGCGGGAGCAAAACTGAGTATGTTTATGCTTTATTCATGTATTTATTACAAAGTGTTAATCAAACCCATCGAAGTCATCATCCTTTGTTTCTGAATTAAACAGCTGCGCTAAATCAGACATGCCAATTTCCCCTTCTTCGCTGTCAGAGTCACTTTCCGTGCCGGCTTTTGCGAAAGCTCTAACAGTGCCAGCAGACACGTTAGCCCAAGCATCTACAATCCATCCGCAAACGGTGGCGTAACTTGCCCGGCGCTGCCTTCCACTTTTCATGAAACTGTGGTCTCCGTCGGTCATCCCCCGCCGCTCGCAGCCTTACTTTGAATGGCCGGTTCACACCGATGTGGAGCGGTTGAAGTTCCTTTGTCAGACCTCCCGGAATAAGAGCAAGCACAGCGTTCATTTGTTTCAACATGTTTTTCACATCGGCTGTGAGATGGGCACGCATGGAGTCACAGATTAACAGCGATGGCGATGCGTGGAAATAAACACCTGGTCTCCTTACATACATGTCCCTTAGCCACTCTTTCATCATTTCCTCATCCATCCAGCCCTTTTCACTTGCCTTAAGAACGACTCCAGCTGGAAAAGTCTCTTTAGGCAAAGTCTTTCTCTTAAAAATCACCATAGGCGGCAGTTTCTGTCCACATTTCCCCCTTTAACGTTCTCATGGTGGTTCCAACAACGTCCGCAGTAACAACACACATAGGGCGCACCGCACTATAGGGCACGCCGCACATTTTGCCACTGAGCAAACACATTGTACCATTAGAAAACTGGGGTGATAGTTGCTGGAAATGGGCCTCTATACACCTATGTAGATATTGCACCAAAAACCAGACATTTGTAGCTAGAATAGTCATTTACCACATTAGCAATGTATGGAGTGTATTTCTTTAAAGTTAAGACTAGTTTAAAGTTGTCTTCATTGAAAAGTACAGTGCTTTTCCTAAAAAAATAAGGACATTTCAATGTGACCCCAAACTTTTGAACGGTAGTGTATATTGTCAATTTTTTGCTTAAAGAATCAATTGATAATTTTAGACATTAGTAAAACTATTCTGAGCATGAACAATTCAAGAAAACTGACTTCCTTTCAAAAATAAATTAGAAAATGTCAATATAACCTTTATACAAGTCATTCAAAGTGGTAGAAATCTTGTTTTAAATAAAAAAATTTAAAATAGGAAACTAGTGAAAAGGAAATATGATTCAATGTAGCACATTTTAAGGTTACCTTTAATCTTTCTGTTAACTGCTGCATGTTTAGAGTTTATTGCCCTAAAAAACATTAGTTTATCAAAGCTAGCATACACGTTACAGTAGCATGAAGACTGTTCAAACCAAACATTTATTTGTATGTTTCAGCCCAGTTAAAGTGACAGCATCTGAGTAACAGTAAAAACAGTTTAATCTTACCTTGTTTCCATTAGACATTGTTAGTTTTTCTGTCATTGTTGCTAAATTTTGTATGTCTTGACCGAAGGTCTGCAGACTACAGTTCCTTCATTGCTGCAGTCAGTTGAAGGAATGATTCCTTTAGTCAGCTTAGAGTTCTAAATGATGTCACAGAGAATGCAGGGGTAAACAAAAAGAATTCTAAACTGAAATTTAAATGAAATATTTAAATGAAAACAATTTTGACCTTGACCTTTATTGCCTTGTATTCTAATATAACAGGAACAGGCCCTGATACATTTGATTGTAAATTATCCTTAGCCATGATCTATTACACAGTTACACATTTAGCAACAGTTTTACATGGAAAACCCAAATACTCTTGCAGGAATACTGAGATAATCCTTGTGCTGTAGCTGCACAACAACAAAAAATGTACACCTGACTGCAGAAATGTTTTCAATTTTATTGCATTAAGAAGCTGTTTAGAGCCCCCTTTTTTTTCTTTTTCTTTTTTTTTGTATTTAAAGTTAAATAATTAGCAAACAGTCAGAAATGCTGTTCATCGGTTTAACCTAAAGGAACACACACATCTTCAAATTAAAGTTATTTTAGGATGATCCATTTATTTTTCCTTTTTTAATGGTACAGTATGTAATAATTACAGGGATTTACTAACATAAAAGCAATACCTTATAAGTAAGTTATCACTAAACAGAATATGGGGACTTAATTCTAGCTTTCTGCGGTGGCTCAGGGGGTTTTCTGACAGATTCTGCAGAGTTTTTTTTTCCTTCAGTGTTCTTTATCTGGTACAATCCTCCATGTGTTCTGAGTCAAAACACAACCTTTAGCAAATCCTCTATTAAAATTGTCTTATTGGTGGGTAGCGGGAGCAAAGCAGGCCTTATCACTAGGACTCAGACATAACTACGGTGTTCCTGTCATCTCACCCCCAAACTTGCTGTGAACCAGCATCCATTTGCAGTACAGGATACAGACACACTGACTGCATTTAAGAGCCTATTTTTTATATAAAGCTTATTGATAGCTGGCAGGATAGAGGTGATCCTACTCTCAGAGACCTGATGTGCAATCGCTGCTCACTACCCCTGCACAGAATACAATGTTTCAGTCTCAGTGAAGTTGCTGAGAACAGGAGAGACCAAGCAATGGGCTTTATATACGACTTCACTGTTTTGAACTTCAGCCAGCTACTTCCTGTTTCCTACTCTGCATCTCTATCTGGCTGGTTACTGAAGTCAGGCACACCCGGATTAATCCGTTTTTCCAGAGATGAAAGACAGGGAAAAAAGGAGCTGATTGAAGTTCAGGCTGAAGTAGAGTTGTGCATACAACCCATGTATGTACAACTGCATGTATGTGTGAAGGGTGAACCAGGAAGTAGTAAGTTGGGGGTTAGAGCTTAGTTGTTAAAAACCAGAGGGAGGCAAATCTGGGCCTTTCACTCAGTTACTCCACATGGGTGTAGAGGGCAACTGGCAGCCATTGCACTCGGGCTTTTAAGCCAAATCCAGGTTTGGTGCACAGACAAGAATGTAAAGGAGTTGTCACAAAAGTAGTGCAGACAATAATGACCACATCCTCTTAGGTCCAAGCAATAGTACCAGTCATCAGTTCTGGGAAAGTGTGTCCCACCTTACTTGATGAAAGGTCCTATCACCTGCTGGCCTCCAGAACTTGGAGAGTTCTTTTGTTGGATGTTAATAAAGGTAACTTTTAAATAGTTAAGATAGCAATTTTGATAATAAAATGATTGTTATACTGAATGTAAAATACTTGTATCTTTTAGTAATGATTTGGGTGCTGCTGAGCTGCCATCCACTGTTTTTCCCCCTTGGTTAAAGTTTAGGCTGTACATTAATTGTTTGGGCCTGTATAGACCTTTTGGACTGTGTCAAATTGGATTGACTTAGGGGCACTTTTGCATGTTTGGTTTGGTTTTTATTTGGGCTGTTTGGCCATGTCATATTGATTTTATTTGTGTTTCCCAACTGTATATTTATTATTGCTATTTGCACAACCCCAATTCAGCCAATTGTATACTTGTCCTGTTTTAAATACATCCTGTCATCCTGATACACGGCACCTCCTTCAGGATAAAATCTTTGAACCATTGGATGCACATGGTCCTCCTAAATGAGTCCTCCAGCACAAGTATGGGGCCAAGGGAATGCCATGATATGGCAGCCCAAACTATCACTGATCCACCCCCATGCTTCACTCTGGGCATGCAACAGTCTGGGTGGTACGCTTCTTTGGGGCATCTCCACACCGTAATTCTCCCAGATGTGGGGAAAACAGTAAAGGTGGACTAATCAGAGAATAATACATGTTTCAGATTGTCCACAGCCCAAGATTTGCGCTCCTTGCACCATTGAAACTGACATTTGGCATTGGCACGAGTGACCAAAGGTTTGGCTATAGCAGTGTATATTGACCCTGTGGAGCTCCTGATGGACAGTTTTGGTGGAAACAGGAGAGTTGAGATGCACATTTTTTTTTTCCAAAATATATTTATTCAAGTTTTAACAATTTAAACAAACATCTTGAACAATATACAGAATGTAATCACAGCAATATTTACGTTACTGTTCAAGTCAAAATAATATACAAACAACAAACTGCCTCATACAACATTTATTCCAGTGCAACTGATCACATTTCATACTTAGCCTCTTATAATGAAAATTAAAGTTGACAGGATTTGTCTTCCAATAAATTGTCTTTGGAAACTGCGGTTCACTTGTTCTTCAATCACTTGCACTTTTTTTTTTTTTTTTTTTAGATATTTAGAGTGTTAACATAATTAATGAAGGAGTTCCAAATAGATTAAAACAGGTCCTGTTTGTCCTTTAACATATACATGATTTTTTCCAGAGGGAGGACAGATAACATCTGCTGCAGCCATTGGTTTATGCTCGGTCGGTGAGTCTTTTTCCAAAATATAGATATACATTTCTTTGCAATAAGCAAACTTAAGTTTATAAACACTCGTTCATTTTTTGTGTAAATATGTTTTTCAGGGTATAATCCAAACACAAACAGCCTTGGCTCAAAAATTATCTGTTTAGAAATAATGTTTTCTATAGCACCTTGTACTTCTTTCCAAAACTGTATAATTTCTCTGCGATACCACATACAGTGAACCAGAGTCCCTCTATCCCCTGTGCATTTTGAACATAGATCAGGTATCTCCCTGTTATACCTATTGAGGTCTACTGGTGTTATGTAAATCCGCATTAGCCATTTATATTTAATCATTTTTAGAGATGTGTTAATAGAGCTGGTGTGGGCTAATTTACTTGATGTCTGCCAATCTTCCTCTGTAAACACAATCGAAAGATCTTCTTTCCAAGCCAAGTCTATGCACATTTAATTCTGCCGTGATTTGGGCAGCCGTGGTTTTTGTTTTCTGGATACAATTCGGGTTAGCACCCGAACATCCCTTTCAGACAGCCTCCTCTTGCATCCACAGTTAATCCTGTTGGATGTGGTTCATCCTTCTTGGTGGTATGCTGACATTACGCTGGACACCGTGGCTCTTGATACATCACAAAGACTTGCTGTCTTGGTCACAGATGCGCCAGCAAGACTTGCACCAACAATTTATCCTCTTTTGAACTCTGGTATGTCACCCATAATGTTGTGTGCATTGCAATATTTTGAGCAAAACTGTGCTCTTACCCTGCTAATTGGACCTTCACACTCAGCTCTTATTGGTTTAATGTGCAATTAATGAAGATTGGCCACCAGGCTGGTCCAATTTATCCATGAAACCTCCCACACTAAAATGAGAGTTGTTTCAGTTTCATTGTCCAAGCCCTGTATTAAACCAATACAAATTGGGATACATAAACATTTAAAAACAAGAGCATTGTTCTGCTCACAAAAAAAATAACACTTTTTCAATAAATAATGTAATGAAGACATTAATGATTAAGCAAATGTAGTGCAAACAAAGCAAAACCAGCTTTAAAATTTTTTACATAAGAATCTAATTATACAACATGGATGTTTCTTAGCAAAGGCTGTAGGGAAGTATAGTTTGTTTTTATTTAGAAATTATGGATGTTGGTATTGTTCATTTTCCTTTTGGAACAGTGTAGATTGACCCTGAGGTTCCAGCACCTATCCACTTTTGGCCACCCCTCAGTATGTATTGGTTATTGTGTGGTCACCTTTCTTAACATTTTCTGTCCACGCCTCTGCACGATTCCTCCCATCCTGCTCTGTAGGAGAGCATGCACTATATTATTATTCATTCATGGGAGAAACATACGGTAATGAACGCTTAATTGAATATAAAATTGTTAAATTTCACCATCAGCATCAATCACAAATGTTTCTGCCCAAACATATTTGTTTTGTTTTGGGTCTTTGTAATAAGGATAATCATACAAAATTGATTTCTTCTCTACTTCCAAACTCAGCATCTCTTCAGCCATGCCTGTGATAAGAAGTTTAAAGTTGTAAGATAAACTCTTGGAAACTGTTGTGACTGGATTTGATGAAACTTTTAAGCCTCTCTATAAAATAAATACTTTGATCAAGATGAGAAAAACGCTTCCTGGTAAGTCGGAGTACCAATAGTTTGCATCCAATAATTTAACTGAACGCTCTCAGTTTTTGGGAAAATATAAGAATTATTCTGTAACTTGCAGGTACCAATCTGTCGTTACCATATTTTAATTTGACAAACTGGATCTCTTTGCCATTCTTTTTCCTGTTTGGTGTGATTGTAATTGTGGATTTTGACCTGTACTAATAACTTTCATGTAGGCATCACTTCGTTTTTTAACTTTTTTATTCTTCTGTCTTTTTCAGGCGGATGGTTCCTTTGAATATGTTTGTATTTGCGTTAATAGTGCATGTTCTAAAAAAAAAAAAAAGAATACCAAAAAAAAAAAATCCTTAGACACTCTTTCGTAGTTACTGTGACTGCTCTAAGTACGTCCACTGTTGACGTCCCACAATACAATGGAGAGAATGTAAAACGTTTCTTTTTCTTCCAGGAAAGTGTTCAATGTTTTCTACATGATGTAGTTTAGCATTCTTTTATGTTTTAAGTATATAAGTAAGTATTTTCAGTACCGTTATTACATAGTTTCCAGGCGACCCGGATCTTATTATTCTGTTTGTGCATGCTTCTGGGATGGATCGGGTAGTGACAGTGCGCTTCTCCTCTGAGAAGGTTGCAAGTACCAGGTTTGATCCCCACAGCCTGCACTCTGGGTCCCTGAGCAGGACCCTTAACCCTACACTGCTCCTTGGGCACCTCACAGTGGCAACCCACTGCTCCCCATGGGGATGGGTTATTGTGAGATTAATACAGTCCAAATATTATTATTAAATTATTACCTATGTCATACAGGCTACAATGTTCATTTTTCACCAATCACTCATTTTCTTCAACATAACTGATCAGAATCGTCTTTTTTGTACATTATTACAAATTAAGATTAAAAGATTGGTTACAAAAAAGTTTTCTTTGCACCTCCCTCTGGCCCTATCCTCCCACAACAGTTCTACAGCCTCTACCCAGCCTGCTATGAAGACCTGTTGGCACCTGCTGCTTTCTTCATAGTGTTTTTCAAATCTATGAAATTTTATAATGGTGAAATTTGGCAATGATTCCATTACACCCCTTTGGTTTGTGAACTTTGTGTCCTCTTTATTTTTTGTTTCAAAGGAACTCCAGCGGTGACACTAAATGTTTTTATCCATCGGGTTTATATAACTTGAGTTAGGGAGCAGTATTTGAAGAGTTAAAATGAGTTTGACAGAATTCCTAAACCAGGGGTAAAATAGAGAATATATTATTGGATTTATACTAGAGCTGAAGGAATGCAGCCATATTCCAAAAACAATTTCGTCATGTTCTATGTTTTCACCCAAAAGAGAGTGGCAAAAAAAAGGACAGAAACAAAGCAGAAACACAATCACAACCACACCAAGAGCTGTGGCTGCTTTTCTCTCAGACTTCTTAGCAGTTAAACGAACTAAACCTTGTGTGGTAAAAGCTGTAATATGAGACCTCATGGCCCGAGCTTGTGACACAGCGACAACAAACACTCTTATATAAAGAACTATGATAACTGTTATAGGAGCAATAAATGTTAATATAACATCAAGGGCCCCTGGTAAAAGTTCAATGAAAAAAACGCATTCTCCGTAGCAGGAGTTATGTTTGTCTGGGTATTCTATGTTATCCTTTAGTATTATACCATTATAGAACACAGAGGATCCCCAACACAGACAAATGCAGACTTGAACCCTTCTTCTAGTGACTTTCATGGGATAAGACAAAGGCTGACAGATGGCCACGTATCGGTCCACTGATATTAGCACCATGTTTCCTACAGAAGCAGATGTAATGATATATGCAGTATAATTAAACATTCCACAGCCAAAGCTTCCTAAAAGCCAGCAGCCTCCAATCTCTGTGACTTGAATCGGCATCAAAAGGAGTCCAACAAGAAAGTCTGAGACAGCCAGTGAGAGGAGGAGCAGGTTGGTGGGGGTTTGGAGCTTCCTGAAACAAAGCAAAATAATATGATACAGTCATACAAAAAATCTAAAATTATGAAAAATAATAAAACATGTTGCCATATATATCAAAGTGCAGTTTTTAATGCCTGAATCTGAATGCTAAGTTATGTATTATAAAGTATGCTATTGATGTGGAAATAGATAAAAAGCACCAATTGTGATTGACATATACTAAAGATTACAACAAGCCTTATTCATAATAAATATGTCAAATATGCAATTTTAAACATTTGCCTGAAATAGGAGACTGCAATGATGACCAGCAGGTTGAAGGTCACAGTTATTAAAGAAATACATGACAGCAGAATGTAAAGTAAAGTATTCTCAACATGATGCTTCACTTGCTTCTTGCAAGAGTTGTTGAGTTGTGGAAAACAGAGTTCCTCTCCATTAAGAGTTTCCATCATTAGACAAGTTAGCAAAGGAAGTGTGAACAGTGTGAGCAGAGCCGCCTCTTTTAAAGCTGCTTTTTCTCACTCCTCCCACGTTCATTAACATCACATGTAAGCATTAAATACATTCATTGTATGCAAATACTGGCATATATACAATTGCATGCATTATTGGATTTTTAAATATAGTATGTGTTTTGACTAAATTTACTGTCCCCCGGATTGTGCTGGTAAAAACAAAAGTTTTATTTTGCTTTGAGAATGCCATTTTGACCTCAACACAGACCTTGTGATGGCTTAGAACACACTATATCCTTAATAGGAACAAAGCCTCTATTTTTCTCTGTATTTAGTGTAGTTATGTAAAGAATGACCCTGGACTCACCGCTGTCAACAGTTGAAGTTCAGGAAGAATTAAAAAGCATGCTAAAAAATAAAGCGCCAGGTCCAGACGGGTTCCCTACAGAGTTCTGGAATATTTTGGCCCCAACGTTCCACATAATACTGCAGGAAACTCAAGGAAATGGCGAATTCCAAGTTAATATGAATTCTGCCACCATTAGTCTCCTGCTTAAGCCAGGCAAAGATCCTATGTTTCTGAACAGCTATCATCCCATATCCTTAATTAATGCGGATATTAAAATAATCTGTAAAGCTTTTGCAAAATGATTAGATAAAGTCACTCCTCTCATAATCCACCCAGATCAAACTGGTTTCATTAAAGGAAGGCAGTCAGCCGCTAACACGCACAGAAGGCTGAATTTAATAGATTATTCCTAAAGCAAAAATATAAAATCCTACATATTGTCTTTAGATGCAGAAAAAGCATTTGATAAAGTAAACTGGAAATTATTATTTGCTACTTTACATAAATTTGGTTTTGGCAATTTCTTTATAAATTGGTTAAAATTTACAACTAATACAATACAACATCCTCCACAGAGTGCACTATACAGGTCAAAGATTATTCAAGATGGGTTTTGCACAATCTAATATCTGTCCACAGTGCACAGGCAATCAACTTGATAATTATATTTACACTTAATGGTTATGCAGCCCGGTTCAGAGGTTCTGGGTACAGGTATCTAAGGACTTATCACTGTGCCTGGGTTGTGAAATTTCACCTTACCCATCAGTTTGCTTGCTGGGTGACTTTGAGGGAAGCTCTCTGGGAAAAATTTTTTTTTTTGCATGGCTTTCACTGCATTATGTATCGCAAAGAAAACTATCCTCATGAATTGGAAAAGTAAGGAAAAACTCAGCATCAATCAGTATAGAGATCTTTTGTTGGATCATATTAATCTTGAGACAGCTTCTGCATCCCCATCAGACCGATCTCTCTGGGCTCCCTTGATCGCCTCCATCACTTAGTGTAGTGGGGGGCTGTGGGGCGTGTCCTGCGGGGCGCATGGGCTGGTTCAGTGGTCCCAGGGGGCTCTGGGGATGCTTGGAATGGGGGGCCTGGCAGATCTGACCCTGGAGTCTGTTGCCCCTATCGGGGCGGGGCCTGGTATGCCTCGGGGTGTCCTACAGTGGCTGCTTGCAGTGCTCTTGGGGGGTTCCGTGGTGGCGGACGTGTTTTACTGGACTGGTAGCTGGGTTGCCGCTGGGTGGGTCCGGGGTGGATCCAGGGGTCTTGGGTCCCTCGGGTGCATTGCCCTTGGGCGATTGCCCCAGTGGAGAATCGGGCGTTCGGGTTCTGTGGGGTATGCTGCTTGTGGTCTGGGCCGGCGTACGCCCGGCTGCCCAGCCCTGCCGGAGCCTCTGGTTTGCTGGGGGGTCTCGGGGCCAGTTGAGCTGGTGGCGGGGTAAGGACATTAACATTTATGGCAGATGCCTTCAGGGGTTACCCCTTCAGGGGTTTGCACTCTGCTAGTGGGGGAAGGGGAGGGAGGTGGAGTGGGAATGATCCTAGCCTGGATGTCTATCGTCGTTTGTGTAGTGAGTGGTTTGAATGTTTTCAGTTTGGGGGGGAGGGGGGTGGGGGGGGGGGCGGGGGCGGGGTGGGGGGGGGGGGGGGGGGGGGGTGCATGTTTGAAGGGCTTTGTGTCAGGCTCCCTGTCTTGGTCCTGGTCCATGCTGCCCCCTGGTGAGAGCTTTGTCTGGGGTGGGGGCTGGCCAGCCAGGTTTTTTTTTCTTTTCTTTCTTTGGATGGACAGGATAGGGGGGATGGCGGTGTTGGCCCTAGTGGCTGGCTGGCTCGTGGGCCCTGCCACCTGTCCCTGGCCCCCCGGCTATGACGGTGCGACTGGTGGGGACCCCCCTCTCCAGGGGGGCTCTTGGGGGCGTGCCTATTGGAGTCAGCAAGGGAGCTGGCTACCTGGGAGTGCAGTAAGCGCCCCAGTCCTTTCCTCCCCGTCAGCTTGACCGGCGGATGCCCAATATTTAATGGAGAGGCAAGACAAAAAAGACCTTTAGGTGGCTTTATTGATCTTCAGCTTGTGAACACCAACACCTTCTAACACTAAAAAGAACAAACAGCATGTTATACCAAACTCAATTCAGGTGACTTTAAGGAAGGAACCATGAAAAGAGATTATTAAGAAAAAGAAGCTAAATTAATATACATACAAACCTACACCAAAACAATAAACTATACACATGAAGTCATATTTACATACTGTAAATCCTCTAATATTGGCCTGTATTCCATTAGCGCCCACGCCTCTAATAATGGCCTGTCGGTGGAAGTAAATAATGGCCGGACTCTTATACAGGCCGGGGCTATAATTAGAACCAACGATGTTCCTGGGCAGTCCTCAACAACTTGTGATAGTAACATACAAGTACCACAGGGGGGCAATGTTTGCTAATGAATCAAAGCCATTAGCATGGAAAGTCCCATCCTTGCACAGAGATCATAGTGGCCTTACACAATCGTTCTGATCTGAAAGACAAATGTGACTACCGGTTAGTCTGGTGGTAACCAGTCAGCGCTATAATAGAATTTCATTGGCCTTTTTTGTTCTGAATTTCCCTTGAAATATACGATACTGGTAGCCTACTTCCACTTAGCCTGCCTCAAATAAAATTTCACTGTGATGGCAGAACAGTTTCCATTAATTTTATTTCTTTTACTTTGTTTCACAAGTTAGTTTGGCCAAGATTCCATTCTGTGTCTTTTTTTTTCTTTCGTATTGCCGTGCAGAAAAATTGCAGCTGCTGGAAGATGTCTGAATAATGTTCTGTATACCGTTATGGTAACTGTACGTTTTCAATAAATTAACCTAGTATTTTATAGGTTCAAAGAGACACAAAATCTTGTTCTTATTAATTCCACTGGTAGTCTGTTTTGCTCAAATAGAAATAGAGGCCTGCCTTCTGGCCTCCTTCCAATAATGGCCTGGACCAAGATGTACCTGAGTGAAATAAAGGCCCCATCCTATATTAGAGGATTTACGGTAATAAAAGAGGTCCCTGGTGAACCTCCCATTAAAATACGGTCAATTTTCTCATTTGACTGGCATGGTATACTGTGTCTTATTTTGTATAGACTTAAATGAAATGTACAGATTTGTTTTATTAGACAGATATGAAAATATAATCAAGGAGTTTATTGGTAGTTTATTTTGTACTTAAATAGTTTGTTTTCATTTTAGTGAAAACGTGTGATAATGATGAAAGAAAAAAAATGCTCATAAGTGAAAATTGCATGCATAACCTTTATGCGTGCAATTTTCTTCACAGATTAAACAACAAAAATATTTAACATTATGTAGTTTATGAGATGAGAGAGTTGGTATGATACTTTATGGCTTATTAAACAATTATAAGCACATCATTTAACTTTTACAGATTGAAGAATAAACCTTACGGTTACCAACTATTACTCATTTCTATCTTCATATATGAAAAGGGTGACCCTAAAAGCCTCTGTCCACTGGGTTTATATCACATGACTTGTGTCTCAGTATATTAAGAGTTAGAATTAATTTAACAGACTTCCTAAACCAGGGATAAAATAGGGCATATATAATTGGATTTATACACGAGTTAATGTAAAGCAACCATGTCCCCAAGATAGACTCTGCTTCATTTTCTATGTTTTCACCAATAAGAGAAAGGCAAAAATAAGGACAGAAAGAAAACAGAAACACAATCACAACCCCACCAAGAGCCGTGGCTGCTTTTTTCTCAGACTTCTTAGCTGTTATACAAACTGAACCTTTCATAGTGATAGCTGTAATTTGAGACCTCATGGCCCGTGCTTGTGACACAGCAACTAAAAACACTCTCATGTACAGAACTATGATGATTGTAACAGGAGCTATAAATGTCAATATGGTATCTAAAGCTCCTGGTAATAGATCAATAAGATATATGCATTCTCCGTAGCATGGATTATGTTTTTCTGGATCTTCAATGTTCTCCTTTAGTATCATACCATTATAGAACACAGAGGATCCCCAACACAGACAAATACAGACTTGAACCCTTCTTCTAGTGACTTTCATGGGATAAGACAAAGGCTGACAGATGGCCACGTATCGGTCCACTGATATTAGCACCATGTTTCCTACAGAGGCAGATGTAATGATATATGAAGCATAATTAAACATTGCACAGCCAAAACTTCCAAAAACCAAGCAGCCTCCTATCTCTGTGATTTGAATCGGCATCAACAGGAGTCCAACAAGAAAGTCTGAGACAGCCAGTGAGAGGAGGAGCAGGTTGGTGGGGGTTTGGAGCTTCCTGAAACAAAGCAAAATAATATGATAAAGTCATACAAAAAAATCCAACATAATTTTTTTTCTTTGAAAATGCAATATCCTTTAAAATACAAATTTATAACAAATCTGTTTTAATGCTGAGCCAAGTAATAAAAACATACTGTTTAGATTGAAAAAGAGCAACAAGGGTAGATCACATTTTTAAACATGTTTAATGTACAGTGCCTGAAGTGGAAGACTGCAATGATGACCAGCAGGTTGAAGGTCACAGTTATCACAGCAATACATGAGAGCAGAATATAAAGAAAAGTGTTCTCAGCGTGACGTTTCAATGGCTTTCTGCAAGAGTTGTTGAGCTGTGGAAAGCAAAGTTCCTCTCTCTCAAGAGTTTCCATCATTAGAAAATTTTACAGAGGCAAGCTGAGCTCTGATTGTTGTGAGACCAAAGCAGTCTCTATTAAAGCTGCTTTGTTTTGCTCCTCCCACTGTCAGTATTTGGAACCAGCCATTAGCCATTCCTTTCTGTGTAACCTCAGTTACACAGTGTTTCTAACCCTTTTGAGTGTGTGTGCCCATCCAAGGTATTTCAAGGAACTGGATCACTACATGATGGATTCTGACTCCAAGGTAGACCTGCCACTTGCCAGTTCTCTCTCCATGACTTACTGTCATCAGGATTTATACATGAAACTAGACAACCATTCAAGAATTCTGATGACAATTGGTCTTATCCTCCACAACCGGTATTTGCTCCTCCATATTCAACCTTGCTGAGGGAATCTGCACAAGCCACCCGCTCTACATCCTATCCAGATTATGTCACTTCCTACAGCCTATTTTTTTATTGCTTTTTTAATAAAAGTTTGAACATTTGTTTTCCTCATTTTGCCCCTCAGCAGATAAAGCAGATTTAGTTTCAATTAAATTCAATTAAGTTTTTTTTAGATATAGCAAATTTACAACACACGTCATCTCAAGGCACTTTACAGTTCACCAAATAATCCAGTCAAATTGATTCAAAGTTTTCTATCTAAGGAAAACCAGTTAAATACATCGACTCATTGACTCAAATACAATCCCTCACACTAAGCATGCTTGTAGCGACAGTGGAGAGGAAAAACTCCCTTTTAACAGGAAGAAACCTCCAGTAGAACCAGGCATAGTGTGAGCGCCCATCTGCTGAGGCCGACTGGGGTTCAAGGAGACAGAAACAGAGATACAAAAAGCAGCTGTAAAAGGCGGCCCCATGCAGGAAACACACAGCCAGGCAGACAAGCTCTGAGCCAGCTCCCATGTCAGAGGATGAGAGGAGCACATCTAGCCGGTCACAGTCAGAGAAACAGGACCAAACAGGACTAATTAAACATGGAGTTTAATTATTGTGAGTTGTAAATTCCTTATATTTCTCTTAAAAGTTTTCATACTATATTTATCTGTTCGACCATGATTTGAGATTGAATCACACTTTAATTCTTTGTCCTAATAGAGAATCTGTTAGGTGTTTGTTCAAAGAAAAACCCATGACAGTTCAAAGTTTATTTTCTTAAATATTAAATAAGATAAATGCATAAAAGTGCAAAGGAAGTGTATGCTATATTAGGGAGATTTTTTTTTAAATCATCGGTGTGGTGGCCCACGGGGTAATTATTTGTGATTTTTTTTTGTCGCAGGACAAAACTAATACACACAAAGATGTACAGCCAATGCACACACACACGGCAAATGAGTTGCCAATTAACCTAGCAGTCATGTTTTTGGAATATGGGAGGAAGCCAGAGTACTTGGAGAAAACCCACACATGCACAGAGAGAACATGCAGAGTCCATCCAAAAAGACCCCAGGTCTGGAAATGAATCCAGAACCTTTTGCTGCAAGGCCACAGTGCTAAAAAATGTGCCATTGTGCAGCATGCCACTGAACTGGAACTTCAAACGCATTCATTCAATTAAAAAAAGAAAACTTGGCCAAAATGTAACTTAAAAAACTAATTGTTTAGTTTGATAAGAGCAGAGATAAATCAATGAGTGTACAGATTATTGAGCTTGTGCAGTGAAATGTCACAGTATCTGCAACCCGGATATGTCCCCCACAAGCTGACTGTTTTTATTCACTGGAAAATCAGGAGATTAGCAGAAGAAATGACTGATCGGGAGCTCGGCAGGATTTAACATGATATATCGGGAGTCTCCTGCATAAATCAGGAAAGTTGGTAAGTATGCAGTTTAGGTCCAAATGACATTAAAAAAAAAAAAAAGTTGAAACTTCCATTTAGAAGTAAGAATAGAGAGAAAATCATGTATATCCACTTAAAACACATGATGTAAGAAAATAAAAGGGCATGAAAATGTGCAATAAATGTCAGCATGTGCATAGAGTAAATGTATTAAATGATTACATATGACTGCAAGTCACTGTAGGAGGAGCAAGATAATGAAGCTTTAATAGAGACCGTTTTAGCCCTTTAGCAACCAGGGCTGAGTTTGCTGTTTATCTCACTGCTGATTACTCTGATAATGAAAACTCTGGAAGGAGAGGATCTCTGTTTTCCACAAATCAACAACTCTTGCAGAAAGCCATTGAAACGTCATACTGAGAACACTTTTCTTTATATCCTGGTCTCAACTATTTCTCTGATAACTGTGACCTTCAACCTGCTGGTCATCATTGCAGTCTCCCACTTCAGGCACTGTACATTAAACATGATTCAAGTTAAATGTTTATCTTTATAATAAATAACTCCTGTTGTAATTCTCAGTAAATGTGATCTACAGTTGTTGCTCCTTATCTACTTTAAATTAATAGTAATGGTTTGTACTGTAGTACATGGCTTAGCATTAAAGCATAAAAGTATTGAATATCATTTTGTTACATATAAAAATAATTCTTAATACTAGAATATTTCATTTTTGTATGACTTTATCATATTATTTTGCTATGTTTCAGGAAGCTCCAAACCCCCACCAACCTGATCCTCCTCTCACTGGCTGTCTCAGACTTTCTTGTTGGACTCCTGTTGATGCCGATTCAAATCACAAAGATCGCAGGCTGCTGGCTTTTAGGAAGCTTTGGCTGTGGAATGTTTAATTTCACTTCATATATCATTACATCTGCCTCTGTAGGAAACATGGTGCTAATATCAGTGGACCGATACGTGGCCATCTGTCAGCCTTTGTCTTATTCAATGAAAATCACTAGAAGAAGGGTTCAAGTCTGTATTTGTCTGTGTTGGGGATCCTCTGTGTTCTATAATAGTATGATACTACAGGATAACATCAAATATCCAGACAAATATCATTCCTGCTATGGAGAATGTATATTTTTCATTGCTTTATTGCCAGGAGTCTTTGATGTCATTTTGACATTTGTAGGTCCTATTACCATCATCATAGTTCTGTATATAAGAGTTTTTGTTGTTGCTGTTTCTCAGGCTCGGTCCGTTAGGTCTCATATTGCAGCTGTCACTATAAAAGGTTCGGTTCGTATAACGGCTAAAAAGTCTGAAAGAAAAGCAGCTACAGCTCTAGGCGTGGTTGTTATTGTGTTTCTCTTATGTTTCTGTCCTTTTTTTTGCTACTCTCTTATTGGTCAAAATGTTGAGACTGATGCAGAGATTTCATTTGGAGTCTGGTTGCTAGATATTAACTCCTGTTTAAACCCAATAATCTATGCTCTATTTTACCCCTGGTTTAGGAAGTCTGTTAAACTAATTTTAACTCTTCAGATACTGCAACCTAACTCCTGCCATGCAAACCCATAGGATAGAAACATTTACTGTTAACCCTAAGCTTTTTTAAATAAAAAAGCAAAATAAAATTTTTGATAACTGTTGGTGTGTGACAATTATGCTTTATTCTTTTTTAATCTGTAGAAATGAAATGATGTTTTATAATTATATTTTTAGACTGTTGAACCAACTATGCTATCCAAGAACGTTTTAAGCATCCATCCATCCATCCATTCATCCATCCATCCATCCATCCATCCATCCATCCATCCATCCATCCATTCATCCATCCATCCATCCATCCATCCATCCATCCATTCATCCATCCATCCATCCATCCATCCATCCATCCATCCATCCATCCATCCATCCATCCATCCATCCATCCATCATCCATCCATCCATCCATCCATCCATCCATCCATCCATCCATCCATCCATCCATCCATCCATCCATCCATCCATGTTTTAAGATCAAATGGTAAAATGTAAGGGAAAATACAGACTTAAAGGTGGCTCAACATTATACTTATCAGTCATTTATTTAATTCATCATGTGTCTCTTTTTAACCTTTTAACTCTAACATAATCTGTTCAATTACCGTACATACTTTTCTAAGTAAAAAACTCCACATAAACTTAATGTTTTCAGTTTTTTTGTACAATGAAACTTGTCCGCACATTTAAGCAAATGAGACACAACTAGTTAAACAGTTCAACTGAAAAATCATTAGTACAACTTTTTCATTTTCTTTAGTCCAACAGTTTTTAATATTCTTTTTTGTTTCTGCATTTTTTTTATTTTATTTTTTTTATTTTGTAATTTTTTTCCTTACTTGCTTTGATTCTTTTTTTCCCCTATATTTTAATCATGTAAAACACTTTGCATTGTCTTTGTACTGAATTGTGCTAACAAATAAATTTGCCTTGCCTTGCCTTGCCTTACAACATGTTATACAAAGTCATGTAAGTATGACTTATTCTTTAGAAATATTTGGTTGTTGTTAGTTTCCCTGCCATAGACTGGTGACCTGTCCAGGGTGTATCCCACCTCTTGCCTGTTCACAGCTGGAGAAAAGCACCAGTCCCCTTATGACCCCAGTTGGGATGAAGCTTGACAGAAGATGGATGGATGGATGGATGGATGGATGGATGGATGGATGGATGGATGGATGGATGGATGGATGGATGGATGGATGGATGTGTTTACTCTATATGAGAAGTTTAATTCAGAGAAGGCTCGTATCAATGGATTTTTAGTTTTCTTTGATTGTCTTTTCAGAATTTCATGAAAGTCTCAGAGAGAGCCTTGGCTATTCACACCACATATAAAAACATTAGAAGAGGATCATACAAAAATATTAATGATAAATTAATAAATTAGTAAATCAGAATATGATAGCATGGATCAAGTATTTCAAGCATGCTTAAACTTTGATTCAGAAAACTCTTATTTATAGTTCTTTGCATACAACTATTTATTGTTCCGATCTCTTCTCAGCCGAAACATTCCCATTTCATGACTGGAACAGGTTCTAAATTTATCCCCCAACAGGTTTTGAAATGTCTGTTTTGAGTTATTGTCTTATAATGTCTGTGTGGAACATCTATTTTCAGTCAAGCCAAGTGAATATAAGCAATAAGTAAAACATGTTTTTAAAATCAAATCACAAAATATGTACAAACCCTAATTCATTTTTCCTATCCATTCTGAACAAACAGGTTTCCTTTATGCATCATTTATCATTAAACACTGATTTCAAGCAATACTGTGTTAAGTTCTGTGTTTATTATTGGCTTAAAGAAGATACATGGAATAATTTTTCAGGTCAATATCCAGGCTTGGTGTCTATTTGGCTGCACTTCTGGATATTCCGCTAAATGGGTAATAGAGCACTGTTTTTAGGCAGTCTGCGTCCCAGTTTAAAGGAAAAAATTGGTCATATTCAGAAATCAAACTTCTGAGAGTACTTAAAATATGAAATTATTACATACTGTTCAATAAATTATAATTGTTTAAATTAAGAGTAATTTTATTTGAATTAAGGGTTTAAGGATTTACTGGAGACATCCATGTTTGTCACAGAACATTACTCCCCCCCACCAGTTTGTGATGTCACGTTGTGGTATCGGCTGCTCTTCCAAATGTTGGCTACAAATTACGTGTTTACCGTCATCCAACCTGTAAGCCATTAATACCACACAAAGTTCATTATTCTGTGTCTTCCTACGCAGAATAATGAGAGCAGTATTTATGTTTAACCATATTAAAATGATTGTGTATTTAAGGTTGGGAAAGATCGCTAGATGCGCTCCAGCACTTCCATCCATGTTTATTTCCATAAAAACAGCGACGCTGGCTTATGACATCATTATATCCTCTACTGAGCATGTGGTACACTTGCGTCATACAAATGCGTTTCACACAGGAGCCACATATATTTGGAAATGTGAATGAGAACGCAAGAATTTGGATTTCACAAAACAATCAGAATGGAGCATTAAGGCCTGCAATGTTAACGTAGCCAAAGTGGTCCAAATGGAGTTTCCAAAACAAGGTTAAGCTTAGATTTGACCTGGGAAAACCCAAAGTCAGTTAATTTAACTGACAAAACATGCTGTAAATACACATATACATGTGCTGCAACTGTGTAATGTACAGTATACAGTAGGCAGTGGTGTCAAAAGTACACACATTTGTTACTTAAGTACAAGTATATTCACTGCAGTTTAAAAACACTCTGGTAAAAGTTGACCTCTTTACTCAAGTAAAAGTGAAAAAGTATGTGCTCCAAAAACTACTTATAGTATAAAAGTATAAAGTAACCTTTAAAAAAAACAGCCAGATGCCACTATATGAAGTGAAAGCTCAATTTTTCGACTATTTAGAAAAAGTCTTTGAGATAGGGCCAAGGATGAGGGAGGTCTTGTTGGTCTCCGCCTCCACCTCCGGATACGCTCTCGCCGGACATTTTAACATCTTTTTCTGAATCCGACATTGTAGCATTGCATAGACATTTCACGTTTACAGTTTGAAGAACACCTGCTTGCTTCTGGTGATTTCCTTTAGCTAACCAATGAGTGTTTGCGTTATATGATTCATCCAATTACACTAGTTTTCACTAGATGTGGATGGAGCCAATGATCTGCATTGAATGGCGCACATGACGTGAAATGAATATTTATAAACATTAAACCAAAGCCAAGAGTAACGAGTAACATTTGTTTTAAAAATGTAAGGAATAGAAAGTACAGATACTTGTGCGAAAATGTAATGAGTAGAAGTTAGAAGTAGGAAGAAAAATAAGTAATGGAGTAAAGTATAGATACCTAAAAAGTGTACTTAAGTACAGTAACAAAGTATTTGTACTTTGCTACTTGACACCTCTGAGTATAGGAGCATGTGCATTATTAATGATTATGTATGAATTTTAATCAAAGTGGGAGGATTAAGCTAAAGCAGCTTTACTAGAGACATATTTGGTCTCAGAGCAACCAGATCTGAGTTTGTTGTTTGCCCTCCTCTGATAATTGTGCTAATGATGGAAACTGATAGAGAGGAACTCTGTTTTCCACAAATCAACAACTCTTGCAGAAAGCAGCAGAGGCATCATGCTGGGAACATTTCTCTTTTCATTCTGCTCCCATGTATTTCTTTCATAACTGTGACCCTCAACCTGCTGGTCATCATTGCAGTATCCCACTTCAGGCACTAAACATGTTTTATATTAATACAGTAAATAGTATCTGTTATAATGTTTATCAAATGTGATCCAAACCTGTTGCTCTGAACCTACTTCTAAACCAATACCATACTTTATTTTTTTACAAGGCTCAGCCTGATCACAAGTGTTGAACATTCTATTTTGATGTTTATTTTTTTGTTGTTATTAGATATTAAAAAATGTATTTATTATATCACTTCATTGTGTTCCAGGCAGCTTCACACCCCCACCAATCTGTTTCTCCTCTCACTGGCTGTCTCAGACTTTCTTGTTGGACTCCTGCTGATGCCTATTCAGATAACCACGATAGGAGGCTGTTGGATTTTAGGAAGTTTTGGGTGTGGAATGGTTAAGTATACTGCACAAATAATTACATCTGCTTCTGTAGGAAACATGGTGCTTATATCAGTAGACCGATATGTGGCAATCTGTGAGCCTTTGTCTTATCCCATCAAAGTCACTACGTTAAGGGTTCAGGTCTGTATTTGTCTGTGTTGGGGATCCTCTGTTTTCTACAATGGTTTGATACTCAAGGAGAACATAGAATATCCAGAAAAATATAGTTCCTGCTACGGAGAATGTATATCATATATAGATCTATTACAAGGAGCTTTTGATGTCATATTGACATTCATTGCTCCAATTACAGTCATCATAGTTCTGTACATAAGAGTCTTTGTGGTTGCTGTGTCTCAGGCCCGGGCCATGAGGTCTCATATTACAGCTGTCACTATGAAAGGTTCAATTCGTATAACGGCTAAGAAGTCTGAGAGAAAAGCAGCCACAGCTCTCGGTGTTGTTGTAATAGTGTTTCTCTTTTGTTTCTGTCCTTATTTTTGCTACTCTCTTATTGGTGAAAATAAACAAACTGATGCAGAGAGTTTTTGGGGGATCTGGTTGCTTTACATTAATTCTTGTATAAATCCAATAATCTATGTTTTCTTTTACCCCTGGTTTAGGAAGTCTGTCAAACTCACTGTAACTCTACAAATACTTCAGCCTCACTCCTGTCATGTTAACCCATTGGATAGAAGCATTTAGAGTTATTCTATGAAGAATCGACCCAGTCACTTAAGGCTGGACCTTGCCTTATTCTGTTCGACTTCTAAATGTAGTAGTTAGATAAGCCTTATCCTGAGGTTTCTAGTATATTCTCATTAATAAGATAATTATTTAATTATCCAAACATTTTAAATTGAAATTGGTAGTTTTATTTTGATAAAGCTTATAGTTAGGGTGGCTCAGGTTATCCTGAGCTATCTCTATAGTTATGCTGCTATAGGCTTAGACTTTTGGAGGACATAGGGA